GTCTACCCGACAATGTGGTTCCTCCCTTCACCCTCCCTTCGCCCTTCAGGCACAATTGAACTTTGAAGGCCGAGGGGAGTGGTGGTTGGATGGTGGTGGTTGTTGCAACTTGCAACCACCTTACGCCCTGCGCCGCCCCGGTCGGACCCAGAGAATCGAACTGAACTGAATCGAACTGGAGTGGACAGGACCGAACTGGACTGACCTGGACTGACCTGGACTGAACAGGACTGGAGTCAAAAATCTCCCGGGATCTATGCCGTATTGGGCCCTCCAGAGTCTACGGGGGAGGCTAACTAGGCCGTATATGCGGGGGGATGACGGAACGGGAAGTATGCTTACAACTTAACTGCGCAAAACAGATTGAGTGAGTACATAGAGGTCAAAGCATCACAACACAATACGAAACTTCTCTCTCTCCCCGTGAAAGTTGAAAGTCGCGATCCTCCTCGTGAGCAAAACCCCCTACTCGACTCGATCCGATCCGATTCGGGGGGATCTGAGATGCGGGCTGTGAACAAGACGGACGGACGACGGACGGACCAAAAAGACGGTGGCCGTACTACTACCACTACTACTACCGGTAGTTACTACTAATAATAAGGATAACTACTCGTAACCTGGGTATGTATCGTGGGAAGGAGGCCTCAGCGTCGCCGCCTCAGCTTACACACATCATGCTAGAGTAGAGTAGTAAATACGCCCACCACGCCCACCACGCCCACCACGCTTGGGCTTGGATCGAAGGCTTCGAAGCTGAGCTGCTGAAGGTGGACATTTACTCCGAGTCTCCGACTCCCCGAAGGCCGGAGTTCGAAACTTCAAACTTCAAACTTCAAAGTGCGAAACGGGGTAGAGTAGAGTAGAGTATCTAGGGGTTTTGCTCCACATTGTTTTTCTCCACACCACTCCATAGTTGCCATACTACATCGCATCTCATCACATCACATCACATCACATCACAGCATAGCCCATCGCATCACATCGTAACTTCGTAACTTCGTATGTAGGCCCCACATGGAGCTCGCGGCCTGAGCTCCCCCCTCAAGTGCCAAACAAGTTCTAAACAAGTTCTAGCCCTACGTACTCCGGACGAGCCGTACACACGGAGTACACATACAGAGTACATACTCTGGGTACGCACCTGCACGAGCGGCCGTGGCTGAGGCCGTGACTCGTCAACGCGGAGACGCAACCCGCACCGGCGACCGCTGCTTCAGTTGCTGCTGCCGCAGCCGGTCCACTATCATGCATGGTGGTATGCCGGGGTTTCCGGTTTTTCCGGGCTGCGTAAATATTTGTAGGTACTCTACTCTAGAGTCTAGAGTACTTGGGTACATGCCGTGGATAGATCCATAGATACCCAGAAAGCATCTAGATATCCTACGCGGCTGCGGCGATGCTGTATCGTGCCGTGCCCACCATCACCACCACCACCACCGCTCGATGGGTGGACGGATGGGTGGGGTTCTGCTCCGAAAGCCCCCCCCTCCCCCCTTCCCCCACACCAGGAAGCACGAGCTATGACCTGGTAGCGGAGGGATCACCAGATTCAGGTACGGGCAAACAATCGCCGAGGAATGAAGAAGAAAACACCGTTTTTGCGCGAGTACCTACTGTACTTTACTATACTCATGTAGATACTAGAGTATTAGAGTGCGGCAGATCTCGAAATTCGGGACACGCTCCACCTTAGTCACAGAGATATGTAGGTGTGTAGATACTCCGCATACACACACGGGCATCTATGTACCATAGGTACCATTGGTACATACACGAGGCGCACACGATCTCGCTGGTGGCGCTCCTCGGGTCCCGGGCGGTCAATGGACGTCCTACCTCCGCCAGATGCAAGCCTCTTCGATTTGCATCCGAACGTTGACGTCACGGAGCATCGATCTTCAATGGAATTGCGGCATGGAAGTGGAGGGATGGGAGGTGAGCCGCTACCGCAGCAAACGATATCTCCGCCGTAGTGCCTGTGTGCATACCGACGACTGAAATCGCTCAGGATTGGTGAGGATACCCTACTCTACATACTCTACGGAAACGGAACTGAAGTTCTCATAGGTGCCGCTGGGTAGAGTACGGATGTAGAGTACATGCTACACCCTGCCTGCCGGCTTGCTCGGAGGCATTGAGTGCTCGGTAGATATCGGTAGATAACCCCCCATTAGTGTTTTGGTGTCTAAGCAGCAGCGGGCTGGATTGACGCTAGATGCGGGCATAGCAGTAAACACATACCAAGGCTCGTACGCAGGCGGTGGTGTGTAGGGTAGTGTAAGCGCATGTAGTGTACGTAGTGACTAGTAGTGAGTGAGATCTGGCAGGGTCTGGGGCCTCTCGAACAGCGGTCCGTTTGACCTTTTCGAGTCACGGTGCGGTCGACAACGTGCTAGCGAGGGAAGCGGAAACGCTTCGTTTTGCGGCATGTTGATGACGGACTTCACCCCCAGACCGGAAGCAGGGTAGAGCACGTATGTAGGTGGTGATATCGGATTGATTGACTGTGAGGACCACCCGGGAGTGTCGGAGACTGTCGCAGCCTCGCAGGACGGAAGCAGCTTCTTCTCTCGAGTCTCCATCTCCAGCGTCAGCTCGTGGAAGCCTGTCTGGGCCTTTGCGGATCTTGCGGGGCGTCAATCACAGGTACTCTACCGCCGTATGTACATAACAAAGGGGGCAAGTACTTACTACATGTTCATGTACCTCGATAGGCACTTTCTCACGGTCTGCCCCTCCCCCCCTCCCCCTCCACCTTCCCCCTCATGTGCTGGCTGTTCCCGAGAATTGCCGTCCTAGAGCACACTCTGTCTGATCTCGCCTGGCAAGTACCGACGTACCGGTGGGTACGGGCCTCCTGATGCGTTCGCTTCCCGCTGGCGGCGAGTGGGGAGGGGGGAGGGGGCGATGCGGAGTATGAGGAAGAGCGGAGCGAGCAGACAGGCAGGTAAGTACAGGGCAGGGCAGGGCAGGGCACGACAGGGCCGGGCAGGGCAGGACAGGGCAAAGGACAAGGCAACTGCAAGTGAAGATACACAGATAGCTGCTCGAGATGGAGTATGTATGTAGAGTACCCTATACTATACCGTACTATAGGCATAGTAGATGGCCGCACGGTTTGCTGCAGAAAAGGCTAGCCTGCAGATTCCACTCCACATCCATCAATCCCACCCATGATCCCATCCCATCCATCCATCCATCCCTCCCTCCCTCAATCCCTCCCTCAATCCCAATCCCTCCCCCTCCACCATCTGTTCAGGCCATAGCCACCCATGGTCGGCCATCACCACCACCACCATCTACCGATTCTGAATTTCTCCCCCCCCTCCCTTAGAAAATCCCCTTTTCTTGGCTTCACAGCTAGCCAGCACTGTATGCAACTTCTAGATAGCTACGAAGTAGGTAAGTAACCACATCTACATAGTTGCGGTGGGTAGGTAGGTACTCAAACTATGTACTCATCTACAACTACTCAACTCGCTCTGCTCCTTGTACACGCCTTCTCGGCGCTTACAAGGAACACAACAAAAACCCACGCCCACCGCCCTTGTCCTGCATCAGACGCCTAGATGTTCTGTTCTGCCACTAATGCTGTTATTATAGGTAGGGAACCTATAAGGCCGCTAACGTGCTCTACTGTACTGTACATACTTCTTAGCTACATGCCCACGGCAGCTAAGAGAGAAGAAGAAGAACGAGGACGTGAAACTCATCGGCATCTCTGTCCCCTCTAATTCCTTCCTTCTTCCTTCCTCCTTCCTTTCCACGCATTGCATCACCGTCTCCTTCCAGGGCCAGCATTCCGATCTTTACGGCCAGACCAGCCATATTTACTTCGTACATATACGCGCAGAGCGTACATACATACACACACACACACACACACACTACATACACACATACATACCGAGACCAGGCCACTCGCTTTACTGACCCACATACATACATACCTTCGTTTTCCCACCGTCTCGTTCCATTGTCTTTTGGCCCCAACGCCCAGTACACTCGCTCACTCGCATCGCAACCACCGCAACCATCACCATAACCATCACCATCACCATCACCACAACCCACAACCACAACCACATACTCGCATACTCCTTCCGTATATCCACTCGCCCTCCTCGATCGACCACTGCTACAGCCGTCACCATCGTCACCTGCAGACCTTAACCGGCGGCGTTCGTTGCGAGTTCCGTCCCACCACCACCACTACCTTCTCTCGAGCCCTTGGCCAGCCGTGTGTGTGCAACCGTCGAATCCGTCCGTTGAATCGGCACCTCACTATCAGCCCATATTACCTTCGAATCTCACACGTAACGCTCTGCCAATCTAGAGTCAATCCATTGTTGTTCGTCTCACCATCCAATCCGTTTCCCGTTTTAGCTGGCCAGGTTTCCGGTGGGAGCTGTGCCTGTTCTCCCCGGTTTCCCAAGTCGGCTGTCCTCGTCCTCGTCCTCATCCTCCTCCTTCCCAATCAAAAACCGCTCTTTACTGCCTCTGCAAGGCCAGCGGGTTTTTTGCGTTACACTGTTCCTGCGTCAGCTTGTTCAGTGGCCCTTGCACCTCACTAAAATTGCAAATCATCTCCTCCAAATACCCTCCCCCCCCCCCCTCTTCTACCGAAACCATGGGTCGTGGCTCTGCAGTGCGCTTACCAAGTTACTGGTGCAAACAGAAAGAAAAAAACCGGCCAACTCCTCCCCACCCCCTTCTATAAACGGGAAATCCATAAACCCTGCGATCGAGAACCTCAATATATTCATACCGACTAGCATCCGTCCGCTTGTGTCGCCCCATACTCGGTTGCTGGTCCCATCCATAACCTTTAACGGCCCCCCCGCCATATATCGACGCGAAGCGTGACCACACAGAATCATTGCGCCTCGGCTTCGAGAAGCAGGACTTTCACAACAGCAGACATGTTTCTATTAAATAAGACCAGGCGCAACTCGTCGCGCGAACACAGCTCGGAAGAATGCACAGGGACGGACGATATGGACTACATGTACGCGGGCTGTTCTGATAAGCCACCGCCATCTAGAGACCAGGAACGCCCATCGCGGGACCGCAAGCAGTCGCGAATGAGGGTCTCGTTCTTCAACACCGGGAGACGGAGGAGTTTGGATATCCCAGTGGACGAGCACCTTGCCGACCCGCGGAGTCCGTCGGCGCGGACCTTCACCGAAGGGACCGACGATACCAACAATTCCATATACTCGCGACGGAGAATCCTGCGAAAGATGTCATCCAAGAGCAGCCTGGCCTCAATCGCCTCGTTCTCGACCAACTCTGTCCCCGACAGCGCCCACGATGGAAAGTCAAAGTCGCGATTGTCCGAAACACTGTTCAGAGCTAGCCCTTGGGCTCCTACACCGCAGCAGATCAATCTCAGTACGGGGAAAAATCTCATTCCCAGCGGGTGCGTGGTGCGGTTTGCTGACGTTCGAATTAGCGCGGCCAAAGATTTCCGTCACCCACGCAAAACAGTCCATCAGCGGCCCTTACAACTTCACCCACATCACGCAGGTCAATCCTCTGGATGCCTCGCGACTACGCCACGGACAAGAGTTGGGAGAGGAATGGAACAGAGCCCTACACCGCGAGTCCCAATCGCGCCCAGGAACGGCCCAGACCTATATGCCCACTCACCTCAGGAACGATTCCGTGGCCACTTTCGAAACGTACCGATCGCAGAGTCGCTCCCGCTCCAATTCGACCAAGTCGCTCTCTCGCCCAGAGCCTCTACATGTAGAGCCCACGTCCACGTCCACGTCCACGTCCACGTCGACCTCGCCGGAGCCTACGACGGTAACGCCTCCTCTTCGGTCGTCGCGACTCTGCCTCAGAATCGCTGAGCATCCCGACGAAGAGTTTCCGGCGTCGTCGTCATCATCCCAAAGAAATAGCAACGCCGACGATTTCGATGAGGGTATCGCACCCGATGACATCAGCTTTGGACGAAATTCGACTGGGGCCGACAACTCGTTGGATTTCGACCTGGAAAACTACTCCGAGTCACACTCGGACGTGCCTGCGATCCGGGAAACGCAATCGACACCCGACTTGATGGAATCGAACTACGGGGAGGAGGACGACGTCGTATACATGCCTCAGATGTATCTGAGCGTACGGCCGCGTCCGATGTCGCAACTGAGTCACGCTTCCGATACTCTGAGTGGCAGCTTTCACGTTCCCGCGAGTCCTACGGTCGGACACGGCTCCATGCGTCCGCGACGCATTTCGCAAAGGCTTTCGACGCATCTGAGGTTGCATGGAGGCTTCACTGCGGATAACGCAGCCATCGACTCCTGGGAACAGGATATCGACTGGTGCTACGAAAACGAAGCGGAAGAAGATTGCGATTTCGATTGGCAGAAGGAGGCGAGCAACGTGGAAGTTGACCTTGGCGACTTGGACGAAGAGCTGGAGATCATCCAACCACTATCGCCCCGCCCGCGGTCTCCTCTGCCAGTGATGGAACCCACCATCGTTCCCACTGAGCTCCACGGAATTCCGGAAGAGCCCAAGGAGGAGCTCGTGGTCGAGCGGAGGATCACGGGGATCTTTGAGGACCGATTGCTCCTCCCACCTAGCCCTCGGTTCGCGCCTAGTTCGTTCGGGTTCGCCGGTTCGCAACGAGCAAGGGACAGCGGTTTTGAGAGCACCCACAGCAACGATGAGTCGTTGCTGTCGCGCAACAGCAGCATCTCAATGCGCCATCGATCCGTCAGCTTGTCTCCATCGTTGCCCGAACTGGTTCCCGGACGCCCCTACCGCGAGGAGCTCTGCCGTGTGGCGAAGCAACTCGACGAACACATCGCGGCGCTGAACGCGGAGTGCTACTACCCCACTACATCATTCTCACTGCCCACGTTTCCCAAGCGCCGGTCTTCAATCTCGGAGCACACAAAGTCGTTCAGTGGAACTAGGTCGAGAGCGGACTCCCAGACGACATGTGTCACTCTCTGTTCCGACACCGACACCATCACCCCGCTGGAAGTACACGAGATCATAACTCCCTCCAGCTCAGCTCACAATTCGTTCCAATTCATCAAGCAACGAGCAGCCTCAGTCACCGGTGCAGGCTATGCCGTTGAAGGGCGTCTCGAGAAGGGCCTTTCATACCCCGCCGCCGCAATTCCCGGTGTTGTCGAGGTCGGTCCGGACAGTCTGCATGGAGTCTGCCCGGAGGAAGCAGAGTTTGTACATTACATCTAATCGACTCATGCTATTCCGCGAAATCACCATTAGGGGGGGTTCCTCTGCAGGACAACCCAGTGAATAAGCTCCTCCTACTCCTCCTCCGGCAAGTCCCTTGTTCACTCTTCCGAACACGGTGCCGGGGGAGCATCCTTTCCGTGCCATATATTCGTGTCCTTATTTATTTGGAGGGATCCACTTTACATGTATGCCCTCGTCACAAGCACGAAAGTTTCGATAACTGCCTGCATTTCCATCCATCCAACCATCAATCCATCCCACGGCGCGGGGTCTCCGGACTTTACCGGGCCCGCCAGGGCAGCAGCTGGAAACCTGCTTCTAGATTTCCTTCTTGCATTCCACAGAACACAATGCACCCACCTACCCACCCACTCGCCCCACTATCACTGTCGCTGTCGCCTCGCTATGCTTGTTCACAGCCACAATTTCGATCTTGCAAAATCAACCTTTTCCCTTTTCCCTTGTCTCTTGGGTTTTCATTTCTGTTTGTTTGTTTGTCTCTTTTTTTGTTTTTGTTTTTTTTGTTTCGTTCTTTGTCACCAAAAACCGTTTCCTTTGTCACAACGGCAGGCGCAGTACTAAAGAGGTGGTTGCTTTGATCTTTTGACACTTTTTTCCGGGACTTGCTTAATTGTTATTCTTATTTAAACTTTTTCCGTAAGATTTCTCGTGCTCTCGACAGCAGGACAATTGTCCGACATTTGTTTTTTTTTGTGTCATTTCTCAATTCTTAGTTGTGTTGGGGTGGGCTGGGCTGGGCTGGGGGGCTGGGCGGCGATTTGGAATCATCTATTATTTTTTTCTTTCCCTTTTCCTTTCTTTTTTTCGTTTTCTTTCGGTCCTCTCTGGAGTAGGTTCTTAACTTGGTAGTATCATATGTAGCATTTGACTGGGCTGGCTGGCATCGGGCTTGTTTTTTTTTTTCCTTCTTCACTTTTGTTTTCTTTTGTTTTCTTTCATGTTTTTGGGTGGGGATGATGGTTGGGCTGGGTGGTGATGATGATGGTGGGGGGGGGGGGGGGGGGGGGCGGCGGGTCGGTGGGGGATGGGCGGAATGGGGGGTCGGTTGGGGAAATGGATGGATGCTTTTTCTTGTTTGTTTTTCCACCGTGGAATAATGGGTGTACTCTATCTATATCGTTATGCGCACAGGGAGGAGTGGACTTGAATGATGGTTACCTTTGCTTACTTACTTGCTTGTTCGGAATTTGAGAATTCACACGTGAGTGATTGGAAATGGAATGGACCGAGGTGGTGACTCTGGAGATTTCACTGGTGATTGATGCTGATATGTATGTGAGTATAAAAATCCACGGTTTACGCCGCGGTGTTGACTGTTTACTTGTGATCGATCCATGGCCTACGCCGCGGTGTTTACTGTTTACTGTTTACTTGTGATCGATCCGAGGCCGCCACCGGCGCCGCCGGGGATTTTCTGACATCTGTCTAGTTCCAGTTCCAGTTCCAGCGCCGGCGGGCGTCTTCACGTGTATGTGTAGTCCATATCTAGGTGCTTACAATAGTAGTCTGCCGGCCGGATTGAGATGTATCGACGCAGATGCACCGCAGATGGATCAGATGGATGCATAAGGTATAACTAACGAACTCATTCCGTTCTCGGTGAAACACTGCAATACTGCATGCGCAGGCCATCTCGGGCCAGCCAGCTTGCGCACATTCAACTTTCTATATTTCCACATTGTTTCTGTGAGTCACGACAATCGGCCGCGGAATCCACTCAGCTAACTAGGGGCAGTGGGAGCGCCCAGATATGTCATATGTGTATATGGGCGCGGCCGAGGATCTACCTAAGTACCTATGCATACCCGTAGACCGTGGTGCTGCTGATAATTATCTGGATTCTACATACCTCAAGGACGTGCGTTTAGTCTTCACCGGGCTGTATATAGGTGGAGCTTCCCTTCCTTCCTGCCTTCCTTCCTCGTCAATGCTTCCTCGTAGATGCTCCCACGATCACAACACTTTTGCCCAGAATACCGGTAACTACCGGTATCCTCGTGCGATTCCTATGAATCCCGACATGCGTGCATAGATGCACACTGTTTCCTTCCTATTTGTATGTCGGTGCAGGCCGACATCATGAGATCTCGGGGGGTACGTGCGCGGACGGGGGAGGCTTAAGCTCAAGCTCAGGCGGTTTGAGGGTTACAGCGGGAGGTTTTGTAGCTGGAGCTGTAGCTGGAGGAGGACGAAGAGCGGGGAGGGGCCTCGCGGACATCGCCTGATACATGATACCGGTACGGTATCAGGCGTTTCGCGCTTGCTCGCCCCCTGTAGTTGGGTTTTAACTCGGTGTCCGCAGTGTGTGTGCTCCGCCTTGTAGCCCTGTACGCGTACCACGACGACGACAACGGCGGCGGCGGCGCAGGAACTGTAACTGTGCTGCTGCTACTACTTCCAGTCCTGTCCAGTCCTGTCCAGTCCGGCAGTAACTAGAGTAACGGACTCGTGTGTCAGCTGCTGCTTATATGCACATAAATCAATCGCCGAGTACGACTGTCGACATTCACGGCTATCATACCGATACCGATACTATACACGCGCCGTAGGCAGTAGCCGTCCGGCGTCCGCTCTTCGCCGCATGTGTTGTGTTGTGTCGTTGGGTCCCGCCATCACCCCCGCCTACCCCCCCCCACACACACACACATGACGGATCGGACGGATATGCATACCCAAGACAGCGGGTTGCAATTACAGTTACAGTTGCAGTTAACTATATCGTCTCGTCTCGTTTCGTCTCGTCCTTCTTCCTTATCCGACCGCTTCGCCGACCGCTGGAATGTCGAAACCGACGAGACACCAGCTCGTGGGGGATGAAACCGCGACCCCGCAGCTCGGACCCAGCCAACGGTAGCTACTCTAAAGCTACAACATCGGCGTTCACTGCATACTCTGGGGCAAATAAGGCATGGGACGAGTCACGGGAGAGCCCCCCCGCGGTACTTGACTGCATTGCACTGTTGGAATCGCCGACTATACAATATAGATAGGGCTGGCCAGCTATGTAGCTACGGCCATCAAGCAGGTAGATATCGTACATGTAGAGTAAATATTCCCGTCGGGCACATACGCTCTCGAGATCGTCGTTATCGATCTGACTCGAGCTCCAGGTTCGGACAGCTCGCTATTCCGACAAATGAGCTCGTACGTAGATATCTGGGGTAACTACCGCAGCTATGCTATATGCACCCCAAGCGAACCCGGTACCGCCTGAAGGCTGAAGCGCGCCAACGCATGCACGAACTACCTACGGTACCTATCGCCGACCGACCGTACGTACGTATCATAGGTACGTCGATAACGACTCGCTTGCTTGCCTGGTGGCCTGTGGAGTCTCTATGTACTCTAGATACCTGTGTAGATACATACCTGTGTAGATACCTTTCGTAGATACCTACCTTCGTACCTACCTCCCGCCCCGCAACTTCAGGGTTCCGAGTTCTTCCCCATCGAGCTAGAAACGTATTTTCTTATTCCGCTCGGCGGCCTCCTCCGGACATGCATGTTCCAAATGCGGAGGGAAACCGAAGGTCCGAAGCTTCCACGTAGTATTTGTGCGGGGATAATAGCCGGCACTGGCGGTTCGGGAGTGTTAGTGCCAGTGCCAGTGCCAGTGTGTCGGTGCGCGGAATCAAAGGTGGGTGCTTGTCTACCTCTGCACTTATGCACCTGCTTCGGGGGTTAGGGAAGTCCTATCCGCCGTCGGGGGAGGATTGCGCACGCTGGCTCGTGGCGGAAAGAATCACAGTGAGAGTGAGATGTTGTGAAGTCGCTCTGTACTCCAGGGGGATGGGAGGCTGGGAGTCAGGCTGTGTGTGCCGCGTGGTGCACACTCTGCAGCCGCGTGGTAGATATATTGTAACCAACAGCCGTGGGGCTAATCTCGTTGCATATTACTAGTAGACACGTGTTCCCGTTCCCGTGGCTCCTCCTGTTATGTGTCTACTTGGTACCTACTCCACTCGATCCGATTCAAGACAGCTACAACCATATACCTAGGTAGGGCACTTTCCCCAATTATTCCATTCTCCCTCCCGCCAGTTGGTATGTATCCAACTAACTGCCGCCGATGCATCTCCCTTCCGCGTTATCCTGCGTGCATGCCGCCGTCGAATCGACCTAGCCCGTGGTTCGGAGCTGGCTTCCGCGCCTCGAATCCGCTGGAAACTCTTTGCGGGATCTACATACATGGTTAGGCCTAGGTAGTTAATGGTGGATGGTATGTAGAAAGGGGAAGCGCCCATCAGTCACCATGGTACTAGTTATCGTATGAGCGAGCGGAGCGACTACATATGATCCAGTTATGTAGATATCATATTCAACTGCGAGGCGAGCGGCAGTTCCATATATGTACCTAGTTATTAGTTGTCTCTGACTTGATCGTAGCTTGCATCGGCTATGTACGATGATTATGGGCGGCACGATGATTAGTGGCGCCTCTTCGAGCCGGACCGCCTACCTATATACATACTCTACCTACCTAAGCTGTCCGCACGGCGCAATATCGTCACTGAGGATCCCGTTCGTCTGAACTCTGGAGGAGATTGTTTGCCGAAGGCGGTACATATCTGCCGGTATGCTGCGCCCGCACTATGCTCCTTGCAGGCGGAATCGGCGGAGAGGCGATAAATTCTCCTTCCGCTCAGGTGGGTGCTCCGGGAGATTGGGTGCGGGATCTTCGTGGCGATGGTTGGTAACTACTGCTGGGTAATTACGCATATGATATGTATGGGCTTGCAACTACCTATGGGAGTTATGCACATATGCACTTGTACCACCCCCCGGTATTGAATATTGGCCGCTGTAAGCGCGCCAACAAACGCCTCCGTTCATTCACTACTCGTTTTTTTCTTCTTTTCTTTTCTTTTCTTTTCCGTCCGATCAAAATGGCCCGATGTGTGCATACGCCCGCCGGCCGTCGGTGCGGCATCAACCGTCACTCATGGTCTGTTAGGCCCGAACGATATATTGCATTTCCCAGATCCGAGCCGGCGGGTTATCAACAGCTTGGCCTTCTCTGTTGCTTTTCTCCTCAGCTGCCTCCCCAGCTCCCTCGCCTATACTTCCTCACCGGCCACTCATTGGCCATGGCGTTGCTGGATGGCATGAGACAAATGTGTTGAGTGAGAAGCATCAACCAACCACCCCCCCCCCCCCCGCCCCCGCCCCCACCCCCTTATGACCAACAACACACCACCTTTTTTATGTAGAGTACCATCACAACCCTCGACAACGTGGTGCTGCACAGATCGAAAGGGAGATTAGTCTACTGCACTATACTACAGTAACGGTCTTCTTTCCGCCTCGATGGACCGTCGATTCGTCAAAGCCCAGTTAAAGCGCTAACTAATAGCATAGTAGGTAGCCTTGATCGAAGCGACAAGCCCGCTGGCTGTGCATTTATGGTTTTATGGTTTTGTTGTTTCTGCCGCTCCAGTGGATATCCGGGGAAGTGGAGTGCGGCCTAGGTATGTACTCGGAGTACCTGTAGGTACGTATCTGATGTGTGTAGGTACTCGCTTCACGCAGGCCGCGGCAGCGTGTATTTCTGTGTCATGTCGATTCGGCCTCCCGGGTCCGCCGAATACTCCTTATCCCGCTGGACCGTAGAAGAAAAACCCCCTAGTTCGGGTTGGGCTTCGAGATGGCCGCGGTAAAAATACATATCTATGTACCAGCCCAGTCGTCTCCCCCCGAGAGCCTGAAGTAAGCCGGACGGGTTCTGGGAATTCACGGAGAGAACTTCTGGTTTCTGGTCTCTCATTGCTACTACAGTGTAGTATTCTCTACAAACTTCCACGCTGGTGCGTAGGATATAGGTGCTCAGAAATCATCAATCAGCCGAATCATATTCACGTGACTTAGAGACGGTCGTCCTCCATCGTTGGACGGGGACCGACCCGTCCGTCTCAGACTTGGACCCAACGGACAAATTTTGCAACCGTCCGTACCAGGCTCGGACCGTCCGGCATTTTAGCCGTCCGGACCGGATGATGGAGAACACTGGACCGTACCCAGTGAGGGGGCGCGGAGGCAGAGGCGGCTTGGGACCGTTGGCGAGCGCCGGAGAGAGAAGACCTTATTGAGACTTGGTGGGACCTGATCCAGATCCGATGCGGTCATCCATCGTTTATCTGTCTCTATTGTCAATACTTCTGTCTGCCTGTCGTTGTTCTTGGTCTCATCATGAGACTTCACCAGTCTCTTCATCAGTCCTCATGAGTTCATCAGTTCATCACCTTGTATTAGTATCGCTACTTTACGTTTTCTTTGAAGTATCCTGTCCTGCTGCTGTTTTCCGAATTGATCACTCATCCGTGGGCCTCTCACCAGTGGACTACCTAGGCCGTCTAGCACACACCTCCAGGCGGACTGGATGTATGTAGTCCAGTCCCGTCTATGGGCCCCGACGGACTGGACTGGTGCATGTAGATAACTGACCACAATTCAAAGAGACGATGACCCCTTCATCGAAATCCATAAGAGATTTCCGCCTACATTGTTAGTGAAGCATTAGGACCGGGGAGACCCTTTGGCAACTTTGATAAGAGATAGAGAGAGAGAACCGATTGTATTTCACGAGAGAGGAATCGATAAGTAGAGAGAATAGACCGCCTGTGTTATTTAGGAGATCATAGAACCTCGCGAGTTGAATGACGAGGTCAGGACAAATAACAACGAAAAGCATACTGATGAAAACCCCGACAACGAACAGATGATAGAACGATGAAACAGACAGACGATGAACAGACAGACAGACCCGCCGGCAAAATGAGCAAGTGCACTCTGAACGTTTAACTTCACCAAATCTGGTCTAGCCAGGTCGGCGAAATCTCACCGCTCGTGCATCTGTCATGCCCGCCGTTTCCGCTGTGTCCCATAGGACCTTGGCTTAGGGACCATTATAAGTGGAAATGGAGGCTGAAAACGAAAATCAATGCACGTCACCCCGGGAAGGCCGCGCAAAAAGATTGTGTCCGGTGCGAGGATCGAACTCGCGATCTTCGGATTGCTGCCACTGGGTGGGAGTCATACTGAAGAATATGAGACCGACGCTCTACCAACTGAGCCAACCAGACTGCGTGATGGGCCTAGCAGAAAATTTAACTCCCGAGCTGACAGCCAAAGAACTGGCGATTGGTCTCAGTTCCGAGGCCGTGCTCGAAACCGATTCGGCATTACGCATACACGTATGTACACACAGCAGCCCTCAGAGCCTCAGGCGGACAAAGCCGAGGAATTCTGCTAGGCCTCACTGCCTAGAGAGGGAATGCCCGCAGTGCAATCGATCAATCATTCCGCGCTTCATCGCGTCGACAACTTCAATGATGGACGGTCTCTCCGTGGCATCGTCAATCACTGGACTTCTCCAAGTTTCGGTCAAGATCGTTGGCTTCCTCTCCACCATGAGCGATGCCCCAAACCTTGCCCGCAATGCCCTCGGCCAGCTTACCGCGTTCACCATGATATTCCACCAGCTGGACGATTTCATCGCGGAATTCGAAACATCCGGCAAGGGATATCGGAAGTCGATGCTCTACCTCAACCAGATCGTCAACACACTGACCGGCTGCGTATGTGCGTTCTCGGAGCTCGAGGAGGCACTCGAAGGCGTGTGGAGGGACCGCAGGTCCGGCATGACGTTTTGGAACCGTGCGGTATGGGCGGCCAAAGAGGGCGATCTCCGATGGATCTTGGGAAGTCTTGAGCAGTACAAGTCTTCCCTTAATATTTTCCTGACCATCTTCAACTGGTACGTAGGAGAGGCATGCCCGAGTGCCCTGTCTCGCTTTGTTTCTTCTTTTGCGACGGGGGATGTTGATTTCTTCGTAGTCGGTCGAATCGGGACGCCCGTCGTGGCATAACCCAGTTGTCAAAGCTCATGGAAACCATACTCGACTGCAACCCGGCTCTTGCGGCCCGTGTGCTCCCTGGGTCCCGGCAATCGCAAGATTCATCTGATGCGTCTACCATCCGGTCGGCATTCACGAGCGTTCAAAGAACGGTCCGAACAGCTCCGTCCCTGATCAGCGTCCGCGGATCATCGTTGTTTCCCTTCGCTTTCGAGCAAGTACTCAACCAAACACGGGTTTACAGGAGGGCATTCAAGAATGTGTCAACGCATAGTTTCAAAAGCTTGGCCACAAAGGAGTCCAACTGGTCCCAGCTCACGCGTCTGAGCCTGTCCCAGATCTCTTGCATTGCAGTTATATTTTTGCCGGTGTATATAGACGAACTGTTCAACAAGACCCCGTATATGGAAACACTCCCGGAGGATCGCAGCCTAGTGGATAACGGCAAGAGTGTTACTGGACCACCTCCGTTAGAGGCGCTCCGCCCATTCTTCTCTCAGCTGGATGGCCATCCAAAAGTCTCCATACCTTCGGACTCTCAGGGCCCCCCTCCCGTATCGCCCTCTGGCCCATCCGATTCGCCCGTACTGGGACTGGGGCTGGTTGGGATGACAGCACCCATGAGCCCTATTATCCCTGCGTCCTTTGCTATGCCTGTGGACCTCGAACTCAAAGCCTCATCTAGCCCTGGAGATTCGTCCCTTGGGCACTTGGGCCAACAGAGAAAGAGCTTCCGATAAACCGACCCGGCTCACCGTATTCTCTAGCCGTTAGTGCCGAGGGTCTTCCTTGGTTACCACCCAGCCATTGGGGTTCGCCCACCCTCGAGCCACGACCGACAGAGACGGATATGCCGATTAGGGACTCCGGGTTCTCTCTTTCTATTCTCGAGAGCCTGCTAGAACTTCCCGCCAGCGCATTCAGTTCACCGACACTAAGTCCCGTGCAACCGCCGCTCTCCGAACCAGACACCAGCGTTTCCGAATCAATGCTGACAGAGGCATCACTCTTGATGAACAATCTTGCGATCCCATATGCTTCTGTCGACGGTTCCGCGGGGCGTGATTGCCCCCCTTCTGCTCCACTGGAGTCCTTGAGGTTGGCGAGGGAATTGTTCGCCAGTGAACGAATCCTTTCTAATGTCCTCAAGCATCGAGCAAGGCAGGAGAGTGACCGGCGTGTAATCGACATAGGATTGACTCGATGACGAATGATCAACCAGTTATATCATGCGGAGAGATATTATGGAATGACCTTGGAAGATTGATATGACGGAATTTGGTTTTCGTTTTCCTGTATCTCTTTATATACTCTCTCTGTTGCCCGTTCATTCTCTTCTGTATCTAAACAACTACTTCTCTCTCTCTCCCTCGTTCGCTCAGATCCGCTGTGACAGAATGGGTTTCCCCAACGGCAGGTGAGCCTGTGCACTAGGTAGCTTTTTGAGGATTATGTACAAGCCGGATGTGCCGATGATAGGAGCGGAACTTCTCAATGACGGCAGTGGCTCGGGTCACATGGCTCGGGGCAAGTGAATATGAGTCTTCGGGCGAGACCTTAATTGTCTCTAAAGATACACTCGGGTGTAACTATGGATGGTGGGTCTGGGCGCCGGGGATGGGTATATATGGAGTTCGTTTCTGCTTGCGGGCATGGGCTTTTCCGTAGGACTTTTGTTGATTGACCGATTCATCTCGTTCGTTTCGTTATCACTTGCACAGTTGCAGCTATGTACCACAATTCGTTCTCTAGGTACTGTCCGAGCCCAAAGCTCGAACCCAAGCCCAGATGCTCTGCCTCACGTTCGAACCTGGCTATGCGTCAGGATTCATCCAGATCATGCACAATGCCAAGAGAACACAAGTTACTGCGAGAAATGTCGAGAAATACTGCTGCAATTCCGCATTCCTTCTGCAACCACTTTGCGGGTGATTAGATCTCAGTATTCTTCCAAGGCCCAGCGGGGCCTGTCGTTGAAGGTTGCACTGAGGCCGGTGGACTCACAACTCGGCTACCTAGATATCTGTCTAGGAAATGGACCCACATTTCTCTCTGTATCGAGCGCCTAATAGGAGCGCGGAGCCAACGAGATCGAGACTGGATTGGACTGATGGAGTAGCGGTTAACTACATGGCCGATTTATTCTCATTCATAAAATGTCACTCGGTAAACGGAATTGTCGTACTGACCGCGCTCCGTTTTTATACAAGTTGTCGTAGACACATGTGCAAGGAAAGGAGCTTGGGGAGACTAGTTGTCGGCAGTAAGTACAGTAGCAAAAAGTGGGGTGCGATTGATGCCGAAGGTCTCCAGTAGTACTACCGCTCGGATTCAAATCCAGTAGTCTCAAAAAATACAGACTCAATTTGGAAGCAACCACGAAATACCCATAAAGAAAGAAAGGACATGAAACCACCAGAGTAATACACAATGAAACAAGAAAATCGCAAAAGATAAAACCACTCATCTTGAATCCACAAGCTCGAATCGCAACCTCCACCCCCTTACTCGTCTCCTTACTTCTTGCAGCAAGCTTCAGTCTCCAAGGCAGCCCTAAATGCCAATTTACTCGACTTATCCGCCAAATCTGTGATACCCTTCCCAGCCGCCACCTGGCTAGGCGTGCTAGCATAACTAGGCGGTACATCCAGCACAGGATTGCGCAGAAAGAAATGTCTGGGACGGAGCAGCAAGCTCATGGGCTCAGCTGGCATGACGGGGAAATCTTCGGGCGCGGGAAAGTGCGTGAGGCCAAATGTGTGCCATAGCACGATGTCCTCATCCTCTATTTTGTCGTTTCCATCGCCGACCCATTCAGGAAGACCTAGGGATGGTTCGCCAGATGTTTGAGGTACGTGGCGCCCGGCTGGGTGCAGTTGGCCGTCCTGGTATTTGGTGACTTGAACCGCGTGTCTAGCGAAGCCGGCCCGCTTCCAGACCAAACTGCCGGGCTTGGGGAGGAGACCCGGAATCTCGCGTGAGACAAGTTTGTAGGTGGCTGGTTTTTTGGAGTAGGGATGCAGCTTGCTGGTATTGGAGATATCCCAGGTGCGAGATGTAGCTCCGTTGTAATTAACCTGGGACTCTGCGACCGTCTTGTAGGGTGTCTTTTTGGCGTAGAAGGCGTTGCCGTAGAAGTTCTCCTTCGATCCAACTTCGGCTTCGCCCGGTACTGCGTCGACTTGGAAGACGGTATTCTTCTGGCCGTCTATCTGGGGATCGATACGGAGACAGAAGAGATGTTGGTGGTTGTGGGCCTAGAGAAGTTAGCATTGGAGAAGACAAACAATGTGGTGTCGTGGAGTACTGACATTGACACCGGGGTGCACCTCGGTTCCCCATCCGTGGGTGTCTTCGCCGGGGGCCATTGCGTAGGTGTTTAGGATACCGGTGAGCTTGATCTCCAGTTGAATGGTTCCATCTTGGTGCATGATCCAATAGACACAATATTCGTAGTTGGCGGCGGTGAAAATCTGGGAGATAACAAGCTTGCGGCCACGGGTCACAATGGTGGAACCATCGCGGAAGTCGGTGTGCTTGAAGAGGATACCCGCGTCCTCTTCGTGGATGCATATAGCATTCTTTATAGTCACGGGAGCACCGGCACGATTGCAAAACTCAGCATCCAGGTAGTGGATAACACCTTTGCAGTCGCAACCAAGCCTAGAATCTTCATCAGCTGTATCACTGTCTGGTGTTGTTTATTGGAACTTACGAGAGTGAATTTGTCATGTAACCACCACCGTATTCGCCCAAATCGAATGCGTGCTTGCGTTGATGGGGATGCTCGGGGTTTCCATAAGGGACAACCATCTCAGCCAGCGAAAGACGGTAGAAAAGAGGGCGGACATTTCCACGGTCATTGAAAGAGATGTTGTTCAAAACGATGCCCTCCTTGTAATTAAAGCCGATGTGCATGTTGAAGTTTTGCCAGTTGATCTCGCGTCCATTCATGGTAAAGGATACACCATCTGGCTGCGTGATGTTTAGTGGCTTGATATCCGTGCGGTACCCACCAATCTTCTCGATGTCCGGTGGCATGTAGTTGCTAGCAAAGGTGTTGACGGGCCGTCGGACGGACGGGATGTCAATGTGGATGATTTCACCGGTCGCCGTGTTGACGATCGGGCAGAAGTCCAGAGGGAATGCATATTGCATGTCGTCCACGTGCGGCCTGTAGTACATGAGCGCCTGCTGAAGGCGGACATCACTGCCGAAACGTTCATCATATCCGATCGTCCATGCTGATCTATTGTGAGCAATCTCAAGCTGTTCCTAGGCAACGTAAAACTCACGGTCACAGTAGACTTTGGACATATCATCGATGCCCAATATTCTGCATTGCTCAATCACTTTCGGATCCTCCCGTACTACCCTCTCCGTGTCTTGGAGGTCCTCCATTGTGATCTGACCATCTCGGATCAGCATTGTGCGAGTGACGAGTTGTGAGGCGCAATGGGATCTACCAGTGGTTGCACTCCGGCCAACTTCTCCCAGCTCACGATCTTTCCGTCCTTGAGGTCGGCCACACCATCATAGAGTGCTGAGTCCTTGTCGACCGCAACGATTTCCGCCATCCGCCGCGGTCGCGGGAGAGACGGATCTGCCAACCACGCAATCATCTCCTTCTTCTTCGGCTCTGAGAGAGTGATAGCATTATATCCGAGCTTGCCATGATCCCTGCGAACAAGAGCAATGGCGTACTCGATTTCAACCGACGACAGAGGGTCGAAAGGATGAGGAGGTGTAGTGGTCTGAGAGATATGCTGGTAGAGTTGCTTCAGACGGTCAGCCATGGTGGTAGAATTATGTGGAGTAGAGTTCTGGTGGTGGGATCTCGAGAAAAAGGATGCGAGTCGGATGATAGGGTCCTTGACTTATGAGCTCTGAATGTGGGCCCTCTCTATATTTCAATGCCTCTGGGAGTCTTCCCCACTCAATGGTCTTTGGATCACGATCGGAATTTAAAAGTCGCCGCCGCGTCGGGACATTGTTGTACGGCGGGACGCTGCTGCATGACATCCTTTTTCCTTAACAGCGCTACTCCAGAGTCCAGTTCCACGCGCCCAAAAGCCCCCGTCGTAATAGCAGAGCGCACTCTTTAACCCCACGAAAAACACCCCACCATTCGAATTCGCAGTTTCCAGGTTTTGTGGTAAGGCAATCGATACCTATAACTAGAACCACGGGCTTCTATTCCGGCCTTAGATACTTGGTATCAAGCAGCAAGCACAACTGCCGAGTTGTATAAAGGTTCGCTTCACCTGTCAAATTATCAAAGCGGAGCTTATCGGACAGCATGGAGGAAACCCGCCAATGTTTGGAACATCCTACGTTGAGATGACAAATCAAGTTGGTATTCAGATGGCAAAAGACGTGGACGGCAGTCCTGAATCCCGATCCCACTTCTTCGTGTCGGTGTCACGTGCAATGTGCTGCTGCCTTGTGTGTTCTCTTTTTCAGGCCAGATCGGTGGCTGATTGTTCTGTCATCTGCGACGGCGACTTGTCGCGATCCTCCGGCTAGATATGGCCGGATCACGGTAAAATGTCGTTCGTGACGGTAAAGGCTTGGCCGTCATGATCGATAGCGGGAGACACGCACGTGATTTAGGCTGTACTTCGAGCCGCCACTCATATACATAGCCCTATCACAACAGCTCTCCCGGTAGCTAGCGTCGGTGGAGAATCGGTCTCTTCTGGGGATGGTGTTCTTCGTCATTCCCCTCCGCTGCGAGAATGCGAATCGCTGGTTTCCAGGATATATTGACTGGGCCCTCAAGATCTCCTTCGCCGTGGACATTGATCCCAGGGTGCTTGACTGGTATGTATGACTCGGTATTGTCTTTGCCTTCGTGGAGCTTCGTAAATGTGAAAAGGACGTGGGGAATAGGTATTGAAGTATGTACCCGTCGAGACTCGTCAGATTCCTTAGTGCACATGTGAAACGTACATCTTCGAGCATCTTGTGGTTGATTAGGGGTATGAAAGGCCCACCTAAGTAGTCTAGGAGGATAGAGAAGTAGAATTGGAACGCTTGGTTTTGTTCGGTGGTCCAGAGTGTATGAATGGAGCTGGAGTTTGGCTTGGTTCCAAAGAAACCCAGTTCAGTCGAGTGTTTCGGTTTACTCTAATCTGATCATGGCGTATGGTTGTGCGGAAACGGCAAATGTCTAAAGTCTCTCTTTCTCATGCAACTGGTCAAAAATCATCTACCAATATAACGATGGATCTGGACACGAGGAGAGTCAGTATTGTAAACCCGGGAATCCCAAAGAAATATAAACTCAAACTCCTTTGGCGCAAACAGCCGATTACTTTACATAGGGCTGGTAGGATAACCTTACTCCCAATATTAAAGAAACGCCGTGGGCGCTTATACTAGTAGAAAGCTGGTACGTTGGATTCCGCCGTAGTTGATCGCGCTTACACGGTGGGATAGGCCGCCCATTTCCACCTGCCCGTTATGTTTCGGTGCTTTGAGACGCGGGACGTCTGGTGTTCGTAGGAGGACCTGAAGCCTGAAGAAGCCGGCTGGAGAGTGCCAATCTTTGACTAGTAATATGTTGGGAACCGGCGCATTTGGCACAGTTTGACGGAGAAAAATCTGCTGCAGAGCAGGACCAGCAAAGTAATTCGAATGGAAAAATAGCACACTTCATACAAGACGCACGTAGCTTAAAGTCCCTATAATTGGCAACTCGTTCTACTAATATTTGCACTTTTCGATCAGCTCTAGCCTTTGGATAGGCCAGGCCTGTAGGGCCGGTACATAAACGTAATCGAAGGCTTGCAAAAGTCCCTACGATGGACTGAAATCCACCAGACGGCACTGGACGGCAAGGGATCGGCTAGGGGTGATTATCAGGTTTCCCCCTGCTCCGGGGCACGAAGATCATCCATATTCGTGATGGTTGCGAGCGGACTGTATTCGTCACAAGTTCAGCGTCGTCTGTAGCCTTGACACCTCGCTCGTCAGAATATGAAGTCCGCGAGCTGCGCGGTAGAGCCCTTGCTGGAGTGCAAAAGCATGAATGCGAGGACACTTGATGCCCCGGACAACTCTGGACCTCGATGGTTTCCCTCCGTGATGTTCCACGATCTGTGAGGATAATCGGCAAGGGATTTGCGCCCTTTCGCATCACGTGCTGCGGAGTTTTGTCTCAACCCAACGGCTTCAAACGCTAAGATTGGTGAGTCTAGTGCAGGTGCAAATGGAGGCAATTATGATGATGAATCCTTTCCTTTTCAAGCTTCTGCCACCGTCGATGAGACCCCATTTCCAGAGGCAGTGCTATGGCAACGCACGATATCCTCACGATCGTCGTCACAGCGACCAGTGGCCAGTAGCTACCTCTCCCAATCTCTGTGAAACGACGAATGAGGAATGATGACCAGGGCAAAACGAAGGGACGTGAATCTGTCTGTTGGTTTCTCCGTTGTTTGGCTGCTCCACGCTAACTGATTGCCTCCGTCTCTCACTCTTCGTGCGCGTTGATTCGCCTCCGTGCCAGCCATTTCTTTCGTTTGCAAGGATTCGCAAGCTCAGTGCAGAAAGGCGCGTAAAAGCGACGACCAGGGTGGACGTAGAGCAGAGCAGCACCACACACACCAAAGCTCAATTTGAACCGCCGCCATCGTTCGACCTCAAGTTAACTCCACAACTCGGAGATTCCCACCTCCAACGCAGAAACAAGAGAGCCTCCGACTCCCCCGGATCTCCATCAACTCCAAAAACCTCAACCCCGTTGACAACAAGTGCCGTCGACATCGCACAACCGCTTCTGCACCGCTGACTCCTCGATCCGGCTCCTCGACCCGCTTACCTACCTAGTTCCCGTACCCCTCGCTACCGCTTCATGCCAATGGCGAGTCCACAGTGGGTCATCACCCAGGACAAGACATTCAGAAAATGGTGTGTCGCCCCTCCACAGGCCGCGGCGGCGCTTCTCGTCCCTCCCCGGAGTTGTGCTCACTTGTAAACCTATAGGCTCAATTCCAAGCTCGCAGTGAGGCAGTTGAAGCCCGTTGAATCACTACAGACGGGTCTCAGTGATGGTGTACGTGCATTCCCTCGTCGACTTGTGTTTTGTTGGCATACCAAAGCCCGGGTCTGACATCGCAACCCGGAATGTAACAGGTGGTCTTGATCCACCTTCTAGAAATCCTCGGCAACGAATCGCTCGGAAAGTACGCCTCGAATCCACGGCTGCGGGTGCAGAAGTGCGAAAATGTACACAAATCCCTCGAGTTTATCAAAGGCCGCGGCATCGGATTGTACAACATTGGCGCGGAGGATATCGTCGATGGAAGTCTCAAGTTGATCTTGGGCCTGATATGGACGTTGATTCTCCGGTTCACCATCACAGACATCAAGTACGTAGCCACGGGCGACGAACCCCCCTCATATTCTGGCCGGATGAGACTGACGATCCGAACAGCGCCGAAGGCTTGACTGCGAAGGAAGGTCTTTTGCTATGGTGTAAACGGAAAACGGCCTGCTACCCGGGGGTGCAGGTGCGTGACTTCTCGGCGAGTTGGAACGACGGACTGGCATTGTATGGCTCGGAAATGCGACCTTGTCGATCTTTCCCAATGTGCTGACTTTGGCAGTTGCGCTTTGTTGGACATCCATCGCCCAGATCTGATCGACTTCGATCAACTCGACAAGAGCGACCACAAGGGCAATACCGCCCTTGCTTTCAAGATCGCGAGTGAAGAGATCGGTATTCCATCGCTGCTAGATGTCGAGGACGTGTGCGACGTGCCGAAGCCCGACGAGAAGAGTATGATGACCTACATCGCGTATTGGTTCCATGCCTTCTCGCACCTGGACAGGATCGAGACTGCTGGACGGAGAGTCGAGAAGTTCGTCGAGGTCATGCAGAGCGCGTGGGAGATGCAACATAATTACGAGAAACGAATGACGGAGGTTAGTGGAAAAAAAAGCCCACGTGTCGCAAGCGAGAACCACGTGCTGATGTCCAATTACCTATCTAGCTTCTGAAGCAAATCGACGAGACCCGGAAACAATGGGAAGCAGCGACTTTTGAGGGCACCTATGTGGACGCAAAGCAACAATCGATGAAGTTTGCCGAATACAAGCGCACACTGAAGAGGACATGGGTAGCCGAAAAGGCAGACCTCATGTCGTTGCTAGGAAATATCAAGACGAAGCTCGGTACATACGGTCTCAAGGATTACACTCCACCCGCACATCTCAGCCTTCCGAACCTAGACAGAGTGTGGACCAGCTTGATGCAGGCCGAGAACAGGAGGAGTGTGCAGATAAACCAGAAGATCCGAGAGTATGTAGCGCAATTCCTAATGTGTCAACAAGAGATCATGCTAAAAACTAGCTTAGAATCAAAGAGTGGCTCAGGAAGCAATTCTCCGAGGCGGCGAACGAGTTTGCCCTATGCCTAAACACTGTAACTATGGAGATCAGTGGGTTGGCTGGCGATCCGGAGGTAAGCGCTCTATCGCATCGCGTGCCGGCACTGGTGCTAACAGTGTCCTTTCCCAGCGCCAACTCAACATCGTACGAAGCCTACACAGCAACGTCATACCTCTGGAGCAAGAGCTGCATCGCATCAAGAAACTGGATCAAGATTGTGAGGAAGCTAATGTTGAGGAGAATGATTACACTGTCCATTCTTACGACGACCTGGAGTATGAGTACGGACTCGCGAAGGGGAGTGTGACCAAGAAGCTGGGCTTTTTGGAGAATCAGGTACTTGTCATCGATCCAGCCCAACCGGTTGCCATATACTGACGTGTAAGATCGTTGCGCGAAACATGACCAACCTCACGCCAATACAGCTAGAGGAATGGGAATCTGTATTCCGCCACTTTGATCGTGATCACTCCAATACCCTCCAGGAACTGGAGTTTTCCGCTGCTCTGGCTTCCTTGGGTCTCGTATACGATGAAGAGGAGATGCACGAGGTGTTCGAAGATGTCAGTGAGGGCCGAACCCAGGTCACGTTCGAACAGTTCATTCGCTTCATGGTGGAAGAAACCGAGGACCAAAACTCGGCCGAGCAAGTCTACCAAAGTTTCAGAGAGGTGGCCGACGGCAAGGAGTACGTGACGGAGGTGGACCTACGACACAGTCTGATTCCGGACTCTATGATCGATGACTTGGTCAAGACGATGCCAGCAATAACACTTGAAAACGGAAGGCAAGGCTACGATTATGAGAAGTACATGGAGTCGTTGATGTCGGGGCCGACGAACGGCACAAATGGCTCACATCGCTGAACGCCTGGCCGCCTTTGTGTGGGATTGGATTGGGGTTAGGGGGGGCTTGGGGGAGTGAAGGGCAATTCAATTCGTTTCTGCGCAATTTTGCATGGCCTTTGGAGTGTATCGAGCATTGTATTAGTCGTTCCGGGTGTTTGTGTTCCTTCCTCCCTTCCTCCTCCTCCGAGATGAGGGTTACTGTGGATGTGTAGAGTAACGAGCCTGTAATAACTGGAGAGGAGAGCTTCGCAATATTGATATGGCTTGCCATAGGGATCTTTGCTAGTACATATCTCGTACTTCTTTAGTACCTAATTTTTGGTGATTATGGATGATGGTACATGTCTCGTGGTGACGGTGATTGCTAGTGATTCTGACCGTGGATATGGGTTGTTTTAAGAACTGCAACTTCTGTTGTACGGGTGATCATATGCCCTGACCTCAATACCCATAGTTTTCTACCAATATGTATCCAAATGGTTCCTGGCATGTGCAGCCCAGAATAATGGTCCCACAGGGGTCTAATTACCAGGTAATCTGGCCCCTCCTACCGTTTCCGGGATAGAGTGTCTTTGTTTATGGAGATCTGTGGAGCTTGTGTAGCGATAACTGCAATCAAAAAAGCCTTCAGCTTTCTTCTCCCCTTCGTAACTATCACCAGGACCTCTCCAGGTCTTCCCCCGCTAGTCAGTGAGTTCGTTGTCCGCTGAGGGATCCGGTCGTCGAATCGGACACCGCTAGAGATAGGACCCTTCTGGGTATCCCTGAAACTCGCTTGCGCGTCACTTCCGCTTATTCCGCCCGTCGGTCGCCTTGTCTTCTCCGTAAACATTCCTCGTTATGCTACTACCACCTCGATAAACACACCTTTGCAACCTGCCTCTTACCTACTGTGTTTTTAACGACCAGCGAACGAACGAACGAACAGACGAACGAAACGATGGCACCGGCATTACCACCACTGTGGCGACGGCGAAGACGGAAACCGAGCATGACGGTGTTACTCCTTTACACGCTCATAGCCATCCTTGCACCGCGATGGAGTAGCTGCGCCGAGGAGCTTGATGGCAGCGGCAGTGGCGGCGAGCCCAGCTTTTACGCCGACGTAGTTATTGGCGGGCTCGGGGGTGGGCTAGGAGGATTAGGACACTCGGGGCTGGATGGCGTGGGCATTGGCGGGGCGCAGGTCGACCGGACAATCTCTACGCATTCAAAACGGTCGACCTTTACGCGCGAGGAGCAGAACAGTGTGGTCAGGGCACAGAACATCGACTGGGGGGATAACTGGGTGCATCACTTGTCGGCGGCCCGGATTTTCGGGGACCAGGAGGATGATGATGACAATGAACAGCGGAGACGTGGTGAGCTGAGGAAACGGTGGGATGACGACTACGAGGGCGACTACGGTGCAGGATTGGAGAGCCGACAAACGGTCCGGAATAGGACGGTTTATATCACCTTCAACACTTGTCTTCAGCCGGTATCGAATACGACCGATGACCATGCGTCGAGCCAACCGCCACAGCTTCAAGTATACGTCTCGAATTCCACGAGTAATAAAGCACCAGGGCCAAAAGTGGATGATAATGTGCAGTATGTACTGCCGGTCGATATGGGTTTCGGGAGGTTAGACATCGTTGCGACGGGCGATATTTGGGTCGGGGTGTATGCCGAATCACGACCGTCTAGCCAGAAGACGGCATGGCTAGAGAATCCGCCCTGGAACTATGAGATCTCACTATCGACGGAGGAGCCCTACCATGGGTTCAGTGAGGACCAGTTTCTCTATCTGGTTGATACGGACGATTCCACGGCGCTGTTGATAACGGGGAACATGACGGAGCATTCGTCGAAGAGCGGAGGTGTGGACGAAACCGCTGCTGATCTTGCGGACTCTTTGTATCATCCATACACAATGTACGCAGAAAACCGCGCAACCACGAGTCGGTTCGTAGGGTTGGAGAAGAGCTACTGCGCCGTGCGCCAACTCGCCCGCATCCGTCCCGCCAACTCGGCCGTTTCCAGAACCACCCGTGGCCTAGGAAACTTTTCGAAGCAACAGTTCCACCTAAGGGAGTTGAACCGCTCCTCCGAATATGCCGGATACCTTGCGCGTCCACGCAACAAGACGACGTCCGACACTTCGGGGATTCTCTGGCGGCCGGTATCGCTCAAAACAAAGACCGACGGCAACTGCGAGATCATCTACGACCTTCCCTTCTGCTCCGAGGTTGCGTACGCGGTGCCCAGCAATCCCACCGTTTTTGGAAACATCGCGCTCAAAGATTTCTACGACGACCTGTCAGCCAAGTGGTGGAAGAACTTTACCTACTCGCTCCAGCAAATCCAATGCAACGCCTCGAACTCGGCCGCCTACAGTCTTGTCCGCAACTGCGACGACTGCTCTGCCGCCTACAAGAACTGGCTCTGCGCCGTCACGATTCCCCGGTGCATGGACCACTCCTCAAACCTACCCTACCTCGCCGAGCGCTCCTCCAACAAGCTGTTCTGGAATAACACCGACTCGGCATGGCAACAACATCCGTTCATGCCTAAACTCGCACAGGACGAAATCGACGAGTGGACGAGCTCTGGCGGCTGGCTCAAAAACGGCAACCAAAGCATGAGTAGGGTTCCTAGTAGGAACACGAAAATCGACGAGATTGTCAAGCCCGGTGCATACAAGGAGGTCCGGCCGTGCAAGGACTTGTGCTGGACGCTGGTGCAGAGCTGCCCCTCCCAGTTGGGCTTCACGTGTCCCAGGGATTTCACGTGGGGGAAGGAGATGAGCTACGGCGAACGAGACGACGCCGGCGATATTACGTGTAGCTATCTGGGCGCGGTGTATTTCCTTAGCGCGGCGTCGAGACATGTGGTCGGCGTGTGGTGGCTGGGTGTGCTAGCGGGTTCGCTGGCTCTCTGGGCGTCCATGTGAGTTTCTGTTGGTGCCATGTTCTCCATTCATCCGTGCCTTTGTCCTGTCTTTGCGGATCCTATGTTTTTTCTTTCTTTTTTTTTTGTTTCAGTGGCCGTTGATGGGGGTGCGGTGGGATGACCTACGAATGGACGTGGGACTTTTGGACAGCGGCGTTTTGGGGGTTTCGTTTTTCGGGTTTCGTTTTACTTCAGACTCCAATCCCTCTGTTCTGTTATGTTCTGTTATGGGATATCTTTATTGCGTTGTGCAGTATGTAATACTGGTGATCGTTATCGATCGATCATAGCCTGCCTGCCTATTTCTTACTCTCAATATACCAACCATGTATAGTTGTCTGCCCCTTAACTGTAGTCATAGTAGTAGTAGTACTTGTTAGTTATACCCTATCAAAATGGTGGGAAGCTGGAGGAAAAGAGGGGGGATGCGGAAATTAATTTGTCATAGTTATGCGCACGTTGCGAGTTGATCTACCGTACCTGGGCACGGTTTTGATCTGCCCGGGCACGGTTTTGTATTGTAAAGAGCTTCAAGCCTAATGGATAGCGATATGAGGCCTATGTATGTCGTGCATTATTTAAGCACAGCCTATCTCGTAACTAAAATACTGCATCAGCTGGCGATTTTAGGTACCCAACTACTTTATACCTACCCCATCCTCGTGAACTTGGAGACCTATTTGCCAAAAAAGCTTGCTAGACTTCTTCTATACCACTTCAGCTCTAATACATTATTTACGTCCTATCGTAATGGACTATCCGTTTTCTACTTCCACACATATGACACGGTCCCCGTCCAACGGCCACTGCTACTAATGCGGCAGGGAATCACACGATATCACTTCCACCAGCAAACCAGATCATGGTTAGTGGGGGGGATACTCATGGGGGATTGATATTGATATTGCCGTCCATATGTACATATCTACACAACACATTTCCTCCTCCTCCTCCTCCTCCTCCTCGGACAGCAGCAACAAAGCATCGGCATTGCGCCCAGTGACCAGTCCACCTACTCGTGCGATCATCACGAACTCTCTCCGGAATAGCACAATCCAGCCAGCACCATGCCCCCTCCGGCAACGATCATGACGATGCACAGGCCGAGCAGACAATTCCCTCTCCTCGCATATTTGGCCGTATACGCCGTTGTAGTCGCGGTCATGGTCGTGGTGCTGCTCGGGCTCGTGCTGGGAGGAGGAGAAAAAGGAGGAGGAGGATGATGTGGAGCGTACGCTGGCGGATCTCGATCCGGATATGGGTGCGTCTCGGTGCTGGAGTAATGCGCCGGTTTGCGAGGGGTGTATTGGGGCGGTGCCTGTGGGTGTTAGATGGTTGATGGAGGGCTGGAGGGGCTGGAGGGGCTTGGGGGGGCTTGGGGGGAGGAACAGTCTCTGTGCTTGCACGCCAGGGTGCGTCCTCGTCCTCGTCGTTGTCGATGGTTCGGTGCGGGTCTTGCATTGTGGATATGGACGGTGGGTTACGGGGTACCTATAGACGGGATACCTACTTGGGTAGGTAGGTAGCTGGTGGATGTGCAGGAGAGCGGGGGAGTTGTTTGAATGGAAGTTGGGGGTTGGTGGTCCGTGGTCCGGGCCCGTTCATAGCATTGTCCGTGACATCGGTATCGGTATCGGTATCGGCGAAGGTTATGGTTACCGAGCTGGTCGGGGATGATGCACAGACCGAGTTCCCAGCTGGAAGTGCACCCGAACATCGATCATGAGCGTGGAGGACAGTTGTCATAAAATATTAATTCGATAATAGCAAATAACGCCAATGGTTGGTACAAGCAGTCCGGACATCTGAGCCAGCAATTCATCCTCCTCCTCCTCCTCCCCGTTCTCCTTCTCGTTATCGTTACTAGCAACAACACTACATCCAGTCAGCAATGGTCCCTTCACCTTCCAGCCAACCAAGGATTGATTTACCTCGCAACAATCGATACAAGTATCACAAGCGCAGCAACAACAAATCGCCGCCAAACTGCAGGAGCACATCAGCTTCCAATCCTTCATCCTCTCACTCGCCGTAAGTTGTTGGAGCACTTACATTCCCGCAATGAACCCGCGCTCCTTCTGTGGCGGCGCCTGCTGCATGGGTGCCGCATACTGCTGCTGTCCCTGCGGCGGATAATACATTGGCTGCTGCATATAGGCCTGCTGTGGGGGCGGCGGGGCGCCGTAGCCGTACTGCTGTTGTTGCGGAGGGTAGGACATTTCTTAGGGTGGTGGTGGCGGGATCGTTTTCGGTTGGCTTCGAAGGGGCGGTTTTTTTTTGGAATTGTAGATATCAATAAGCTCGGGGAGAGAGGGGGGGAGATCGACTGGTATTGATATACCGTACTGGAGTGCACTACACGCCGACGTCAGGGCTGGCTGGCTGCTGCCGCCGCCATGCCAGTGCTTACGCGGACGGATAACACGGGATGCTCGGGCCGAGTGGGTGAGTGTTTAAGGTTGCTGCTCCGCCCTCGCGTCAGGTGGTGGCTGGCGGCACCATGTACACACACAAAATTACTGGCGGAGACGCTTGGGAGGACTAGCTGGGCGCAGAGATGGATTACGGAGATTGGGCCTGGCTTGGAAACGTCACGCACTCCTACACCATCGGTCACTCGGTTCTTGGTGTCTCACTTGCTCGCTCTCATCTGCGGTCATCAAGAGACACACAATCAATCAACAACCAAACAGAGAAAAAAAATCACCAAGCGACATGGGTCATACCTTACACTCGTGGCGGGAATGGCTCATTCGGCACCCAGAAAGAGAAGGCGGTGGCGGGTAGCTACGGGTTACTCATGGGTTTTCACATGGTGACGCTCTGGGTATTTCGTGACGCTACCCTGTCAGCGAGCATCCCCTACCACCAAGCACAACTTAAAACCATGACTTAACTGGGGTGCGAAATACCAAAGGGTGAATGATGCCAGCACTCGACTCACTTTGTCTCAATTGGCTGGGCAACAAGGCGAACACCTCAAGCCTCAAATCTCGAACCCTCAACAGCCGCGGTGCTTGCCTTGTTGCCCCAATGTACGCCAATATCCAACACTAGGCTTATCTGGTAGTACTAATAGTACTGCGCAAGCTTTAATAGAGTCTCGATGGTGGCGCTAGGGCGCCACAGCCAAAAGAGCTGACTCTGGCGGGGGCGAAACAGCTTCGATTACGGCGGAGAGCGATGAATTGGGGTACAATGTAGGCATGCACCGCGCTTAATCGACGGGGCTTCGAAGAGCCCATTGTTTGCGCGAGGCTGTCAGTAATATCATCAACTCCATTCACCCCACCCGTGCACCTCGCTCACAAGCAACAACGGAATGAAGATACTCACTCGCTACATACTTACTGATCCTCCAAGAGAATAAACAATCGAATTGACTATGCACATTACCACGCACCACTAGCACGCCAAATAAATGGCGCCACCAGCTTCCCCAGCACCTCTTTGAGGACCGACCTCTCCTGCTCCTCGACGCCCTTAAGAACAACCGCGCAAACGCCCGCCCAGACGACCTCCCCGCCCTTCCCCTCCCTCTCCCTCGTATCCGCCGTTCCAATCTCAAGCACATCCCCATCTCCCGCAGCAACCATACGCTCCAACACCGCGCCAGCCCTGCGCCTAGCATAGCCCGCCAGCCTCGGCACCTCATACTTGACCGCAAAGACATACATCCTAAGATGGACCCTGACCTCGTCGCCCTCCGCATCGCTAGAAACTGTGTAACTCCCGCGCTCCAGGAACTCGAGGAACCGTGCGACCGTCGCCGCAGCCTCGTTGCGCATCATCATCGTCTTGTCGCGCGACTCGTATTCGCGACGGTTGGGAACCTGCGCGCGCAGATGTCGGTGCAGCGTGCGCGACGCCCGCGTCAGGTGCGACTGCGACGTCGACATATAGATGGGTGGCACCGTGGACCCGATGTACAGGTGTATTGTCGGGCTGGTCACAGTGTGAGTCAGAGGGGGTGATAGACTGTGATGGGACAGGGGGCCGGGGGAGGGGGACTTAGTACTTACTCGTTTCGTGGCTTGGGTGGCTGGTGCTGAGGCTGCGCGGAGGAGGAGGTGGTGGACATGCCCGGACGACGCTTGGCGGGAGTGCGCTGGAAGTGCAGGGTTGGTACGATTCCCATTGTGTCTGGTTGTGGTTGCGGTTGTGATTGAGGTGGTGGTGGTGGTGATGGTGAGGGTTGCGGCGGTCTTGCTGGTTCTGAGGAAGGCTGGAGGTGTTTGGGTAGCTGGGGGTTTATATCGAGCTCGGCGGGTACCTGCAGCTGACGGACGGTGATCACCGCAGTAGTAGGAGGAGTAGTAGTAGCGGTCGGTGAGTGCGTAGATAGAGTTGAGTTAAGTTGGTAGAAGGTGGTGGAAGGAGGTGGATATTTCAGCTATCAGGGAGGAAGCTCGAAGGGAAAGCCACAGCGGGGCCACAGCAACGATCTTATACCCACCACCACCACCAGCACCTCCACCCACTCAGCTCGGGTGACTCTGTGAGCGAGCAAGTGAGTCCCACCTCCTCCCGGTCTTCTATCGGTCGTCTCCTGACAAAGACAAACAAACATCCGGCGCGCGGAGGACGCCATCCCGGCCACCATAGCGGATGGCGGCTGTGTGCTTGCTTCGCTTTGTGTTTTTTGGGTGGTGAGTTGGGTAAGAGTCAGAGGTTACACTGCTCTAGACAGGAAACAGGACTGGGATGTGATCTCGGTAACTACATAACTCTAGACTGATCCATGCGTCTATGCGATCGCGTGGGCTGGGCGGGAGATGGCGATACTGTGGCTTAGCTGGGGGAAAGCCATGCCCGACAGTACTGCGGACTTGTGTTCGGAGGCGGTTCACAGTTCACCATTCACAGCTGTTGAGCACTTCGAGTCTCTGCCTTCTTTGCCCGTCCGCAGTTCACGTCAATTCCAGAGCCTTGTCCGTGAGAATACATTCCAGTGTGTGTCAGCCGTGTCCAGGTGGGAAACCGCCGGTTGCATAATTCCTATCTAGCCAAGATGACCGGCTCAGGTTGCATGGCGCACCAGTGGCGGATATCGATGAGCGGGAGGTGAGTCAAGAAGTTCCCACATCACATCACATCACAAGTCCTACGGTAGGTATCATACTCGACACACTCCACTCTAGTTACCCCCATCAATGATCTCCGACTCCGACTCCGAACCAACGAACGAGTCCTCATGAGAGAGGACGGGAATACCTAATAGTACTAGTACCTACATGTGTTTACTGACGCACTCGTGCTTACTCAACTTGCGGAATGAGTGTTCATCCATCACTTTTCACCAACCGGTAAGTCACGGACACGGTAAAATGACAGTCGACTGTTTGTCTGTCACTAGCCGATGTTTGCCCGGATCGAACGACCGTTTCGAGCTCTGGGACGGAAACAACAGTTCTAGAGAAAAAGAAGTCTGATGTACAGAAATCCACAGCTGCCCATTTTGGCGGTCTTCTTCCGAGTCCACCTTCAACAGCTATTCCTTCCCCACTCCCCCCTCAACAATCGGCCTCGCCTACGCCCCAACCCCCGCCGCTAGCTTAATGATGGCCCTCGTCGTGATGGTGGTCATCCTTCATGAATAGCTGTTCATACACGCAGTAGCCGGCGAACGCCACTGTCGCGATTCCGAGGCCGGGGAATGAGCCCTTGAAGCGGTTCCAGCGGGTAAAGGGGCCGCTGTAGCGCCACGCCTCACTGTAGCAGCAGAGACATGCATCAGCGACTGATCGCAGCTGTGGTGGTGGTAGCAGGGGGAAACAAACGCTCTTGTCCACGGGTCTACCCGGCCGGGCTTCTGCTCGAGCAGGATCTTGGGGTCGAAGGTCTTCGCCGAGAAGGTCTTTGCGGCGTTGTAGTTACGTGGATCCATTGTGTGCGCGTCGTCGAGGGGGATTGTGGAGATCGGATTGGCGGGTGAGCGGCGGCGTCGGAGGTTGCGGAGTTGGGCCTGTTGGAACCGTCGTTTACCCGGCTGCCATTGGCGTGTTTCGTCAGAGGGCCGATTATAGCTTGTCGCGGTAAGGCGAGCAAGCAAGCTATCTCGCAACACACAGAACACACCATGTCTAAACCATTAAAACAGCTCCCCGGCGAAGAAGAAGAGGAGGAAGAGGACTTTGAGGTTGAGACGGAGCAACTGCAACTGAGCGCCGACGACCCATTACGCAATTACCTCCCCTCTTCGTTTGGACGACAGGACACGGCACGCGACTTCGATGACATCTACTCGAAAGCGCGCCGAATACCACTACCGCCACCCAAAGCGCCCAAGGACAAAGCCGACGATTCGGACGATGACTCGGACGACGATGACTCGGACTCGGACGACGATGAGTTTCCAGTCTCGCATTCGCTCGAGCTCAAAGCCCACAGCAAGGCCGTCTCCAGCATCTCACTAGACCCATCCGGCAGTCGCATTGCCACAGCTTCCCACGATTGCTCACTGAAGCTCTATGACTTCAGCTCGATGTCCATGGACCACCTGCACGCATTCCGTACCATCGAGCCGACCGGTGGATCGCACCATGTTCACGCGGCGAAATTCTCGCAGCTCGACTCGGGACAGAGTATCCTTATCTGTCCTGCCGCTCCGCAGGCGAAGATCTACACGCGCGACGGACACGAGAGCGTCGAGTTCGTCAAGGGCGATATGTATCTGAGAGATATGCACAATACGAAGGGACATGTGGCTGAGATCACGGCGGGAATGTGGCATCCAACGGATATCAATGTCTGCGCTACAGCGTCGGCGGATAGCACCATCCGCATGTGGGACGTCAATCACAAGCGCCATCATAAGGAGATCATGGTACACAAGAGCAAGTCGAAGGGCGGCCGGAGCAGGATGTGTTGTCTGGCGTGGGCGGCGCCGCAGGAAGGCGCAAAGAGCATGCTGGCGAGTGTAGCGCTCGACGGATCACTGGTGATCTACCCGGGGAACGGCCCGTTCTCTCGACCAGCTATGGAGGTCCGCGGCGCACACCAGGCGGAAACCTGGACCGGCGGGATCGCCTTCTCCGGCGACGGGCGATTACTCGCCACACGAGGCCAGGACCAGACCGTCAAGCTGTGGGACACGCGCAAGCTGAAGACGCCGCTCGCAACGCGCACTGCCTTCCCGACGCCGCACCATCCCGAAACCGCGCTGATCTTCTCCAACAACAATACCTCGCTCCTAACCGGCGATGCCTCTGGCAACCTGCACGTGCTGTCAGCCGCAACCCTGACCTCGAGCGAAACCCACGCCATCTCCGCCTCGCCCATCGTCTCGCTCACGCACCACACGCGGCTGAACCAGCTCCTGCTCGGCACCGCCGGTGGGAGCGTCCACATCCTCTTCTCGCCGACGGCGTCGACCAAGGGCGCCAAGACCGTCCTCGAGGCTCCCCTGCGGAAACGGCACATCGACGACGACGCCTCGCTGACCACCGACGCCGCCGCCATCTCCGGCGACGCCATCATGGTCCCCTCACAGCCGAAATCGAAGCGCAGCGCTAATGATGCTCGCCGCCCGGCGATGCCTGCTATCACCCCTTGGGGCAAGAGTCAGCCAGATCAGGAACATATTCGCAACAGCATCATGTTGAGCTCGATGCGCGATGAGGACCCCCGTGAGGCGCTGCTGAAGTACGCGGATAAGGCGGAGAAGGATCCTATGTTCACTGGTGCGTGGAAGAAGAATCAGCCGACGACTATTTATGCCGAGCCTGAGGAGGAGGAGGAAGAGGAGGAGCCGGATAAGAAGAAGAAACGGAGGTGGTGAGAGACTGGTTTGGTTGGCCGATAGACTGAAGATTGTGAAGATTGATGGCACATGTGATAGCATTGAGCGGCTCACTGTAATGATACGAATTGTACTCCATAGAAATAAAAATAGCCTGGATATCCAAATACACGAAGAAATGAAGAAACGAAGAAAAGCATTCGGAAGAAAAAAGAGAAAAAAAGAAATACAAAGTAATCCTACACCGCCTGCATGTTCATGTCCATTTTACAACTTCGCCCCCAGCCGTCTTTTAGTCTGGTAATGCGGCAACTCCAGCACACCATCCTGATCCTTCGAGACCTCAATCTCGGCCCTCTTCTCGATGGGAACATAGTCCCTCAATCCCTCACCGACATACACCTGTCTGGGCCTCCAGATCTTGCCGTTTCCATGGTCCAGCATCTGCTTCCAGTGGGCCAGCCAGCCGGCCACACGGGGGACGGCAAACAGGATGGGAAAGAAATCGAGCGGGAAGCCAAGCGCCTTATAGATCAGCCCGCTCCAGAAGTCGACGTTAGGGTAGAGCCTGCGGGAGACGAAGAAGTCGTCCTTAAGCGCGGCGTCACGTAGGGCAGTAGCAACCTCGATCAGCGGCTCCCTGCCGCACGCCTCAAAGACGGTCTCGGCAACTTCGCGGATGATCTTGGAGCGCGGATCGGTATTGCGGTAGACGCGGTGGCCGAAGCCGAACAGCAGCTCCTTCTTCGCCTTGACCTTCTCCAGGAACGGCAGGACGTTGTCCACCGTGCCGATTTTCTCGACCATGCGGATGACGGCCTCGTTTGCGCCGCCGTGCAGCGGGCCGTATAGCGCCGCGGCGCTCGCGGCAATCGCGGAGTACGGGTCCACCAGCGACGAGCCCACGTGTGTCATCGTCGCTGTGGAGCAGTTCATCTCGTGGTCGGCGTGGAGGATGAAGAGGATGTCGAGGGCGCGCACAAGCCGCGGGTCGGGCCGGTAGTTCTCAGCCTCGCTCTGCGAGTCCATCATGTACAGCAGGTTCTCGCAGTAGGAGTAGTCGGCGCGCGGCGGGATCAGCGGGCGGTTCATGCGCAGCCGCATCGATGCCGCGGCCACAGTCCCCGCCTTCCCCAGGATCCGGATGATGTTCTTGTTCATCACGTCTTTGTTCTGGATGTACAGGTTTCGCCCCTGCAGTGCAGGGTTGGCTTCGGGCGCGAAGGCGCCCAAAGCCGCGAATGCGGAGATGAACACTGACATCGGGTGCGAGTCGTATCGCATGCTGCCGATCACCTTCTTCACGTCCTCGGAGATCTCGGTGTGGTGCATCACCTCGTAGCGCCACGTGCTGTCCTGCTTCTTGTCTGGGAGGCGCCCGTAGATCAGCAGGTAGGCGGTCTCGAGGAAGTCGGATTTCTCGGCGAGCTGCTCGATCGGGTAGCCGCGGTGCATGAGGAAGCCGCGGTCGCCGTCGATGAAGGTGATCTTGCTGGAGATCGCGGCCGTGTTCAGGAAGGCCGGGTCGAAGACCCGGATGCCGTTCGCCGTGTCATCGGTGTCGATGCTGTCACTGCTGATGGCGGGGGTCGTCTTGAGCGCTTTGAAGGCGACCGCGGGAATCGAGTTGTTGGTGATTGGCACGATGATGGTCTTGCCCGTGCGGTTGTCGGTGATCGTGACTGACTCCTTTGGCGGGGGCTTCATACTATTGCTCTTCAGTTAGTGACGTTCCTCCTCCATGAAGAAGGTGTTCAACACGACTTACGTCGTCTGCGTCATCGTTGTGATAGCCATGGCTGCTTGCTTGCTTGCTTGCTGGATTTATCGGAATGAGTCCGAAGCTGAAGCTGTCACGAAAGTGCGCGGGCTCGGTGAGATATATTTAACAGTCTAATTAATGGCAGGGACGCGGAGTGGACCTGTGGTGGTGGTGAACGAACATCTGCTGCTCGCTCAAGCACCTGCTCCAGGGATGCCGAGGTAGCTCATCGGGCCGTCTGACGTACCGTAGGAATGTGCGACCGCCATAGCCGTTTCACAAGCGTAAACAAATGCGCGCTACGCTGTCACATGGCAATCCGCTGTCTAACGCTCTCCGGTCAAATGATGATGGCTGCAAAGAGCTTGGTGGGAACACTGTACGAACTTCGAAGGGCTGATAGGTGGAGGATTACTGCCCGGGCGGTGACTCGCGAATATTAATACGTATGGAAGCAGACCACGGGTCGTCGATCAATGCCCGACGCCCAGCCCGGGCCTACGGCCTACGGGCGGACGGATGAGATGCAACGGATTCTCTATTCACATGTCCTCTACTGCTCTAGTGTAACTATGCTGATGTCCTCTGCCCCGCGCGACTCACGCCTTCCCGTCCCAAAACTGCACGACAGCCCACTTGCCGCTCCACCCCCACTTCCTGGAGAGCACGTCCTCTCCCCTCAACTCCTCATCCTTCCCTTTCGGCAATCCGACTACCACGTCGGCCTTACATGTCCTGAGGGCGAGGGTGCGCATTCCCGAGTCCTTCTTTCCGAGCGGACCGATGGCCTCCTCGAAGGGCGTGGTGGGATCCCACTCCGCATCGCCGGTGAGCTTGCGGTAATTCAAGTCGCCCTTGAAAACCACCAACTCTGCCGTCTTCAGCTCCTCGTAGAGCTCTGGCGCCACAGCGGGCAGTCGCCAGTAACTACCGGGCAGCGTCCAGAACCGGTCTTCGCGCAGCCGGATCTGGCCGGATTGGTAGAAGCCGTTCCAGTTCGAGTGGAGGAACTTGAGCCCCGTTTGCTGCTCCTCGGTGAGTTCGCTGGCGTTGAAGTATGCGACCGGGTCTTCGAGCGCCGCCAGGAGATCGGTGAAGTCCTCAGGCAGCACATCGCTGACGAACCAGGGCATGCACTTGGGGTGGAGGACGACCTCGGTGACTAGCTTTTCCTCGAGGAGATAGCCAGCGAGGACGAGGTCGACAAAGAGCTCGAAGCCCGAGTTGTCGAGGACGATGTCCAGCCGCCGGGACACCTTACCGGACTCCTTTGCTTTTCGTAGAACTTCAAAGACCTTGGGCAGATCATTGGCAAGAATATTCGCCTCAGCGTCCTTCCGCGCTTTCGAGCCCTGGAGCTTCTGAATATCCTCGTAGGTGAGCGAAGTGAGCAGCGACAGATCCGTAGCATTGCCCCACAGACAGATCTCCATCATCTCCGTAAATAGTAGCTTTTCTTTCTCGACCTCTACCTCCTCCTTGTCATCGTGCGAAGCCGTAACGATCTGTTTGTACCGCGTTGCGAGCTCCACTACTGCCGCCAGCGACGCCCGGAATGTACTATTCTTCTGCGCGTGGAACGGGTCGTAGTCGCGCCAGTACTTGGTCGGCGCAAAGAACGAGTGCAGGCGGCGGTAGAGGTAGCATTCGGAGTACAGCCAGGAGACATTGAACCACTTGGGGCTTCCGAGCTGTTCCAGCTCGTCATTGTATATCTTCACATCTGCGGCGCCATCATCCTCGATTGGCCTGTGCATCACCATCACCATCATCATTAGCATCCGCAACCCCCTTCTCCTACATCCACTCCCCAGCATCGAACGAGGAAGACATACGACAGAACCCGGTCATGCTGCACTTCGTATTTGAGCTTTGCCAGCTTCTCGACGATGCGCTTTCCCTCGGCGATCTTTTCGGGATCCGTGTGGTCGCGCGTCGTGCGGAACACGTCGTCAATCGCTTGCGTCAGGATCACGGGCCACCGATCGCGCGCGGAAACGTATGCGAACGAGGTCTGGTCGGAGGTCCGGTACGGAGCTGTAGGCGCGGAGTGTGAGTTAGCCACGCATGCATGCATTACGGGTGAGGATGGAACTACATAGGGGGGACTTACGGGTGCTGGTATCGTACTCCATCGTTGAGGTGGACACTGGAGGTAGGTACTGTATCTGCGGGATATGAATGGAGATAGAAGGAGGAGGTGGAGGAGCAGTTATGTAACTATAGTTGTCAAGGGATGTTCTCAACTTGGGCCCGTCACTGTTGACACGGCACTGGAGCAGTGCAGGTTGAACCAACCCCGCCCAGCGCCCCCACTTAGTGGGGCAGTTTCCCTGCCTGGAGAAACCGATTCGTCATGGCACAGCACTCGGAAGCGGACGATTCGTGAATAAGATCATCTTAAAAACTTCGTCGTAGAAACACCGTGGTGCGTAAATTTTAGCAGGAACTGCAAATTGTGATATGGGCACTTCGGATGGCTGTTATGGTAAAATATTATATAGGGCTATCAGACCCGCTTCGTGATGTGCTCTCAGGCTCTATGGACTTTGACTGTACAGATCCGTACTGGTACATATCGAGGTACTTGGCCATCCTCCAGTAAGAACGGGACAAGATCATCACCAATTACCGTCAAAGCCAGTCCAAGTTCGAAGGAATCCATTATTTCGTCCAGTCACAGCCTCCCGAGTGCCCTGCCGGATAGACTGTAAAAACTGCCCCATTGCAGGTGGATTGTACACAATAGTTTGGTTGTCAGATTTATCCGGAGCCCGAATGCCCATGGCCGCGGCATCGTCACACGGAGGAGGAGAAGGCCAACACCAAAGAGAGGCGGGGTATGCTGTCTAAGAGGAAATAGTTTCTCCAGCACGCGTCCCGGGTTGCCTAGGAAGCCATTCACCCTGGTTCTGTGCATTCAGATGGGCCAGCCCGGACGAGAATAGGAGCGCTGTAACACTGGAGAGCGACAAGTCTCGAAGAAGGCAGATAATCCTACCAAGAGTCACTCGTCCCCCGAACTCGCGCCCGTCCAGAGGCGGCTAGCCCTCTCGGCAACCTCCGCACCAAAAGCTTCCCCACCAGCATCCCTGCGTGTAAAAGTCGAATCCCCAAAACTTTCCGCCTGCAATCTCGACCTTCCACCTCCAATCTCGACCTTCCACCACCCCCACCAGCAACCCACTCCCACTTCTCCAACAAACAATTCAAAATGGGCCTTCACAACTGCAACCTCCCGACGACATCGAACCGGCGAGACCTAGCGCACAAGCGCACCTCGCTGCGGACGAAGTCTCGCGCGGCGCGCGGCGACAAGCCGCACGCCATCATCGGCACCGAGTTCTCGGGGATCCTGCGCGGCGCCGGCGTCTCGTCCAAGCGCGTCAAGAAGGTTCAGCGCAACAAGCTCTACGCTGCCGAGCGGAAGAAGGTCGCTGCCGCTGAGGAGCTGCTGAAGATGAAGGGAGAGGTGGTTATGGAAGGTACGTTCTGGATGCTTGTGCGGGAGAGGGAAGGGGAGGGGGATGGGGAAGGGGGAGAGTGCTGATGAACGGGTGGGATAGATGTCGCCACTGCGCCGTTGTCGAAACGTCAGCAGAAAATAGCGGCGAGGGTCGAGAAGGTTAAGGACGCCAATGCGGCGGCCCGCGCGGCGATTAAGGCTGAGGCACAGAAGAAGGAGGAGGAGGCGGCGAAGAATGCCGAGGAGGAGGGGGCGGAGGCGACTATGGAGCTCGACGATATATAGCCACCTACCCACCCACCCACCCACGGGTCCATGTCCACGGGACGCAAAAGTCTTGCTTAGAGGGGGAGGATCGGTGGTGGTGGTGGTACCATACTGGCGTTTTGGGGTTCGATTCTGTTCTACTTGCGTAATAAGATGGGGAATTTCTGGGTTTCTGCGAGATGAACGGTGTCCTGGTGTTCGGGACCGTGTTACCGAATGCTCGATGGTTGCTCTGTGTTGCCCACCGTCCCGCTGCATCTGCATCTGCAGGTTTCCTTCCGTGGAAGGACAGGATAAACCGCAAATACTGGAAACGCCTGTCCCAGGTGAGTGTGCCAAGTGATGTGTACTGTACAATACCTCGTCTATAACGACGGAGAAAAAGTGCAGTTCGAGTCCGCCAACTGAACCACTTCCCGGTCTCAGTACCTGCCTATATACCCACCGCGTCTCGCCGAGGTACGTATCTACCTGTACTATGTATACTGTGCGGCTAATAGCTACTTTGTATTGCTATCTTTAAATCCTCGGCCACCATACGGAATCGCAGATCCGTACTTTTCACTGCGGTAACGACCGCCCTTGTTGGTACGGCGGCACTACCTACTACCAGTCTACCACCTAGAATACCTACTTTTATACTACCAGTAACTAACAGCAGTAGGTTCTGGGTACCTCTCACTCACGGAGGTTACAACGTGAGACAAAGAGAAGACTCAGAAGAGGTACATAGTCAAGTTGAGACGTCTTGGGTTTCGGAGTGTATGCACGCATCGAAACGGAGCGGAACATGCCATACGTCTGTGTGTGTGGTGGATCCGCCAAGTTGGGCTTGGGATTCATGATCACTACCTCATACTCGCCTCCTCCTGGTGAAAAGAGGGATCGATACCTCAAGCTCGAAACGAAACGAAAGCTGCTGGTCCGGTCCGGTCTAGAGGCTGTTGAGCTTAGATATGACGTATACATACGATCGGGAAGCTGGGCACAACACAATACGCACGCACGCACATCTGTGATTTCAAGAGCCATGACGAATGGTAAAATTCCGGACGGTTCAGCATCATTGATGTTCACGTCTAGAGAGACTTTCGACAACTACTCTACTCTATTACTACTAGTATAGATACGATAGGTAGGCGTAATTCTAACTGCAGCCACGGACTCCCGCCGCTGTGTATCCATTGTATTTCATTGTATTGTATTGTAGATACCGGACTTACTCCCATGCACCGCTTACGCGGCTCGAGCTCGAGCTCTGAGCTTCCGAGCTCTCTTCGGCAGGAGCCAGTCAGCGACGTGCTGATTGCTGATTACACCGTCTTGCCGGTATACTAGTAATACCGTGTCAAGTCAAGTCGGGTCAAGTCAAGTATGTAAAGTCAACGGTCCCGCGTCATCCTCATCTACACCACTCTACCGGTAGAGTATAGTAATACTCTAGATATGTACTTTACCCAGGATTGGGCCCATGGGAATTTAGAAGGCCTCGAAGAGTCTCCACCGAATGCTGACAGTGATTTTTTTTCTTCCTCCATTTTCTGACAGGACCACACCAAAACAAACAAAACGGTTATCTACTCAAGGCAGCGGCCCGGCCGGTCTTCGCCTGTACTCTGACGTCCCGAGCGGGCGGTGGACGGTGGTAAGCCGCGCACGGAGCCTTCGAGCCTTCAAGCCATGCGATAAATTTTTCTCCGCTAACTACCTGTTAGGCATCAGGGAGAAAGGGAGGCTGAATTCGTCGTGCCCGTGTCCGTGCCCGTGCCCGTTCGGGTGAGGTAATTTCGAGCTCGGTTGAGTTTGATATTTCAATATACGATGGATATGATGGATACCCAGGACTGCGTATGGTAGGTATGGTATCGTGCCGTACCTTGGAGTTGTGGCGGTATTCCGAAGGCGTAGGAATTCCAGACAGACCGATTACTGCTTACGCACGGTACCCAAACGGACGAAGGCAGGTAATGCGTATACACAACCGTCCCTGCATCTGCCATCCGTCCATCCATCGCATCGCTCCTCTACCTACCTACCATATTACTCTATACCGCGCGCATAGACACTGTCGTGTCGGGAGCTATTTATTGCGATGGCGTTAAAGCACAAGCGCTGACCGTGCTATGCCACATGCCAATGCCCATCGCCATCGGACCAAGCACCCAACCAAGCACATTCAAGCACCCAAGCAGTTTGGCAGAAACAAGGTTGCCGTTTCGTTTCGTTTCAGGACGCTCGCTGCCGTTGCCGTTGCCGCCCGCTGCCGTTACACCAAGCGATGAGATGCGAGTGGGTATGCTAAGGATATGTATAGAGTGGTTATGTGCGTGCGTGCGAGCCTGCGAGGGAGCCGAAGCCCGGGAGCCGGAGTGGTGGAGGACCAGGAGAACTTCATGGAAGAGGAAGTGAACTGTGAACGGTGACATACACGCTCAATACTTATGGCCGGTCCGGAAATAGGGGAGGTTAGAGTTAATGCAGCTGTATCCTGTATGCACCTCAACTCCACAACTGCCAAGTGACCTAGGCCGGATCAAATTCCCCAACATAAGCTGAGTGCCGTACACACGTCGGCTAGGTGCTTCGAAGTTACCAGGCAAATCGTGTAGATGTGCTCACATGGCCCATGGCTCGTGGCGTGTGCTGGGGGGGACGGGCGGGCGGGAATGGGAATAGCTACACATGGGAATGGAAATGGGAACGGGAATAGGTAGAACGGGATGCCACGTGAAGGTGAAGAACAATCTAGGTAAATACTCTATACTCTATACTCTGCTCGTGTGGGTGCCTTTTTCCTTCGTGAGGCTCGGGTGCGTCTTCCCATCGCGTCTCGTCCGTCCATCCATCTGGGTAGAGTACTTCATGTATCCCCACACTGCAATCAATCGATCAATCGATATATCGCCACCCTCAATGCGGCAGCAAATGGCGGAGATGCGGAGTGAGCAGGTGGAGTGAGCAGGTGGACAGACAGACGGACAGACTCAGATCTACAGACACAAACCTACAGCTTGGTTACTGTATGTATCGAATCGCTTTCCTCGAAACATGTTGGCCTACTGGATATATGGAGGAGGATGAGGATAAGGAGGAGGGGTTGAGTGAGTGATTGACTGAGTGGGCAAGCAAGTGAGTGAGTGAGTGCAAGTGACAAGGAACTGAGACCTGAGACGCTTCCCCTCCTCCAACCACAACAGCTCCTCCTCTTCTATTCGACCTCCTCCTCCTCCTCCTCCACCTCCTCCTCTCTTGCCTTCATCTTCGACATCGCCCTAACCTCCTCCTCCACCGTCACTTCGGATATCCTGCATCGCAACTCAGCCCTCACCTCAGCCCTCCCGTCCTATCATTGTCTCCACAGTTGGCACCTCTCCAAAGACCTCAAACCAACTTGCTTCACATAAGAACTTCTCCCGTTCTTTCGGTTGGTTACATGAATTCTAGTCTTAAAAACGCACGGACCTCCATTTTCTGTTATCGAAAGTGTTAACTTGCGGTCGACTTGCAATTGCCTGCGCGACGTCCTACCCAAGTACCTATTCATTATTCAACCACCTACTCTAACCACCTAACCACCACCCACCCACCAACTACCACCACCAGCAACTCCCCCCCTCCTCCCCCCTTTCACTCCATCCACTCTGAAGTAAGTCGAGAAACACCCTTCGCCCTACACCCCGTCAAACTTCTCCACCTCGCTTTCACACTCACCCTCCGTCTCCCACCCACTTCCTCCTCGACGACCGCTTCCCGCTCACTCTACGAACCCGGCTTACCCCCCTCCCCCCTGCCTCCTCGCAGCTCTCTTGTTCAAAATCCTCGAGCACCTATCTTACCCTCTTTTCGCGATTCCCTCTACCGAGTAACTCGAACCTCCTTCTCGGACATCTTGAGCGAAAGACGGAGTGAGCAACAAGCGACACACTTCGATTCGGTCTGGAAACAAGTTCGGCTTGAAAACGGCCCCCCCGCCAGTACACCTACCCCCCTCGTCCCACACCCGCGCCCGTTCACACTCGGCTTGTTCGGAGGTGTGTTGGATACTCAGCCCTCTATTTTTCACGAATCATGACCTACTACGATAAAAACATCTATGGTGATTCCGCCTTTATGAACCCGGGTCCGGCTCCTCGACCACCAACGCAAAGTAGCCGTTCGACAAACAGCTCGGTCCCGTCAAACTCGGCACACACAAGCGCCTCCCCCTCGGTGATGAGCACGATGAATGCTCCGTCACCCTACGGCCCGACGGCAAACATGATGCCAGTGGGCAACGGGCTGCAACAGAACGGAGGTGGCGGCTCGCCAGGGGATGTGTCGGGTGGTGACGTTCGCAAGGGTTGGGCTTCTGTCAGGGAAGAGGGACTCAGGAACCTGGGTCTCTGGTCCAAGAAATACCTGACTCTACGCGAGACGTCGTTGGACTTTCACAAGAACGAGACGAGCAGCGCGGGTCTCTCGATCCCGCTCAAGGACATCGTGTCGGTGAACCGCGTGGAAATGAAGCCTTACTGCATCGAGGTGGTGCGAACGACGGGAGGCCAAGGAAGTACCGCGAGCAATTCGGATGCACCGCGTCGCACAGTCTGGGTTTCCCTCAAGTCTGACCCCGAGCTCTATGCGTGGATGGACGATGTCTACTCGCGATGCCCGTCGATGGGAGGAGTTTCGAACCCGACAAACTTCACGCATAAGGTGCATGTCGGCTTCGATCCCGTGAGCAATGGTTTCACCGGCCTGCCAGAGGAATGGAGCAAGCTTTTGACCAACTCGGCAATCACCAGGGAGGACTACCAGAAGAACCCTCAGGCCGTCATCGAGGTTCTCGAGTTCTACACCGAGGGCCAGCAACGCTTGCAGAATCCTAATGCTTACCCCGGCATGGCACCCACACCTCCTCCAGCGAGGGCTCCATTCCCCCCACCAGCGACTGGCGGCGCACAGCGCCTACCCGGCCCTCAGCGCCAGGACAGTCGAGACCGCGAGCAGTGGGAGAGGGAGCGCGCACAGCAGCAACAACAGCAAGACGACATTCAGCGCGAGCAGCAACTACGAGACAGGGAAGAGCAGGAAAGAAGACAGCGCGAGCTCGAGAAGCAGCAGGAGCGCCGAGACAAGGAACGCCGAGAACGCGAGCAGGAAGAGGAGCTGTTCAACCGTCGGCAACAGGAGGAGGAGGATCTGCCGCAGAAATCGAGCACGGCCCAGACACCGATAATGATGGGTGGAGGTGGCTTCTCGTCAGCGTCTGCTCGGAACCCGATGGCTGCCAAGAGCGCCGGTTCCAAGACCCCTCAGAAGGCCCCTAGCACTCGGGATATGAACCCCCAGCGAACTGCACCCCGTGCGCCTGGACAGCAGCCTGCCGGTAACCTCCGTGTAGGAGCAACCAAGCCTGAACAGAAGAGGGATCCGTCACCAGCTGCACAGAAGCCTGCCGCTAGCACCGTCAAGCCTCTCAATGTGCCGAATAAATCGCAGGCCAAGGAGGTCCAGGCCCGGGAACAGCGCAAGGAGAACAAGCGTATCTCGAACATGACCGAGGCACAGGTGATGGAGAAGCTGCGGTCCGTTGTTTCAAGCGGAGACCCCAACCAGTCGTACACCAAGATCAAGAAGGTTGGCCAGGGTGCATCGGGATCCGTCTACGTTGCCAAGGTCAACTCGTCGCCGGCCTCCAAGACCGCTCAGGACCTGATTCGCATGAAGAACACCCCTCGAGTGGCTATCAAGCAGATGGATCTGGCCCACCAGCCACGGAAGGAGCTGATTGTCAACGAGATTTTGGTTATGAAGGAGTCTCAGCACCCCAACATTGTCAATTTCTTGGATGCCTTCTTGAAGGGTACAACCGAGCTCTGGGTCGTTATGGAGTACATGGAGGGTGGTGCTCTTACCGATGTTATCGACAATAACAGCCTCAAGGAGGACCAAATTGCGACCATCTGTTTCGAGGTATGTCCAGCCGGTACATTCGAATCCTGAATGTACGCAGTACTGACTTCACGCTTGACTGTAGACTTGCAAGGGACTCGAGCATCTCCACCAACAGTCCATCATTCATCGTGATATCAAGTCCGACAACGTGCTTCTCGATGCCCAGGGACATGTCAAGATCAGTACGTAGTTCCGCAACCATTTGTGGGCTTCAAAGAAAGTCAGAAGCTAACGATCACCAACAGCCGATTTCGGTTTCTGTGCGAAGCTTACGGAACAAAAATCCAAGCGTGCCACCATGGTTGGAACGCCTTACTGGATGGCTCCCGAAGTCGTGAAGCAGAAGGAGTATGGATCGAAGGTCGACATCTGGTCACTCGGTATCATGGCCATCGAGATGATTGAGTCCGAACCTCCCTACCTTAATGAGGAACCTCTCAAAGCGCTTTACCTGATTGCAACTCACGGAACCCCGACGCTTAAGAAGCCGGATACGTTGAGCAAGGAGTTGAAGAGCTTCCTAGCCGCCTGTCTCACGGTAGACGTCCAGCAGCGTGCGACTGCCGATGAATTGTTGAGACACGAGTTCCTCAAGAAGGGGTGCCCTCTCAATAGTCTGGCCTCGCTCTTGGCCTTCAAGACCGGAAAATAGGTTGCCCGGCGGGACAAGAGTTTAAGGGGAGGGTAGGAGGGTAGGAGGGTGTGTGGTAACTCGAGACTCGGGCAACCGTAGAGATTTGCCAACACCCGCATTCTCTTTTGCGATTAAGTGAAGTATGATGATGATTGGTTTTGGGGGGAGAAGGTACAAAGGGGAAGAGAGCAAGATATCGTGGGAGGAGCATTATGTTATGATGGCTTCTGTTCTGATAAGTGTCTGCGAACGGACTTTTGTGTATCTGTTTCTTCTTCTGCTGTTCCTCTGTCTTTCCTATCTTCCATTTTCTTTGTTTCTCATGGGAAGCGGATTGTTCTTTTTTCTTTCTTTTTTTTTCTTTTCGTTTTTTATGATATTAGGAACGTTCCTACGTGTTTGGCTGGCGGGGGGGTGTGTGTGAACGCTCTTGGGGGTGAGGGGGAGTGTGCTTTTTCTATATACCTTTTTTTCTCCTTTCTTGCCATCACCGTTCTTATGCTTCTCGTTTGCTGTCCTGCAAAATACCGGGCCGGTTGAGGCTGTTTTGAGAGGATGGATACCCTTTTATTTTACGCGTTTTGGTACCGACGGGGTTGGTTGTATGAGTCCTGATTTCTTCTATGTAGCACTCGTTTAATGATTCCCCCCTTCCCCTTTCTTCCTTTCCCCTTCTGTTTTTTTCTTTTTCTTTTTTCTTTTTTCTACATGTTTATGATTGATTGATTGATTTGTGTTTTACGGATGTTCCTTTTCTTTTCTTTTCCTTTTCTTTTCTTTATTGACTTATTGATATATTTTTTATAGCCCTTGTTTTTATGTTTTTATGTGTGCTTTTGTAATGCCTCCTGTTTGTTTTATTTGCAAAAAGCGCCCCTCGGGGCTGTATTGAGGGAACTAACTAACTGAATGCGAGATACGGTATGGCGATGGCGATGAGCGGGCGGCCTGCGGACGGGCGGGCGGATGGGCAGACGGATGGTTGGGAATAGATGGATGATGGAAAAAATAATGAGTTCGTACTTCGTAAACTTGGGCTTGTTATTGTACGCCCTTCCTTCCTGTGAAGGTATTTCCTTGCCTTGCCTTAAAACAGACTCCGTAAACTCCCCCACCAGATCATTCATGCTCGACAGAACCTCCAAGCAGCTACTACATAGAAGAATAAGAATACCTAAGAATAAGAAGGAGAAGAAGAAGAAGTACGAGCCAGACAGTGGTATCTCCGAGTTACAACCTCCCCCTCCGCATGGTCCCCACAGTTCCCACAGTTCCCCGCTGGTCAGCTTTCCAGCAGCACCTAACACCCACCCACCGGTCCGCGCTGCCTCGCATTCTCAAACAGACGCCCCAATATATCTCCACCAGCACCATTCCCTCCACCTCCATTCCCTCCCTGATGGTTCCCCGTATTATCCACCGGCATCTCCTGGTGCATCACCTGCGGCGTCGGGTACGGTGGCGAGAACGTTTGTTGCCCCGCCAGTCCCACCGGCACAGGCGGCGCATACTGCGATGGACTCGGCGCTGATATGACACCCTGCGCCTGTGATTGAGGGAAGATCTGGTCCATTATGCTGTAGCCCCCCAGGGCCGAGGGAGCGGTGTTGAGGGGGGGCGCGGGGGGAGCCTGTGCTGCTGCTGGTGGGGGTGGTGCTTGCGGTTGTGCTTGTGGTGGCTGCGGCCGTTTCTTATTCTCCTCCGCGCGCTTCGCGCACAGCATAACCGCCTCGAGCATCCTACTGCGCTCGTCGCCGACGCTCGGGTTTGGAAAGACCCAAATTCCCCAGCACGAGAACGCATCGATATCGTAGCCGGGCTGGAGCTCCGCTTTCGGCGTGGGCGTGAAGCCCGAGGTATGCGACAGCACCAGATGCTCGCCGTCGTCCTCGATCGACTCTGTCGACGACAGCGTCCAGATGAAGTTGTTCACGCTTTGCCGGTTCAGGATTATCAGGTGGTAGTCTTCACACCCGGTGATGGGGTTGGAAGTGGCGGCGAGGAATAAAGAGCCGCTGATCTCTTTCTTCTCCCAGCTGAACGTGCCACCTCCGGCGGCTGAGGTGTCGAACGCTCCTCGGTAGATGTGGCAGAACGACGCCGTCGTGATGATGTGGCTGAGTGTCGGGAGGTACCGTGACAGGACGCTGTAGGCGATCGTGTCGCGCGTGGCGGATTGTGGCATTGTGCGGGGGTGGGCGGGGAACTGGAAGGCGATGGGGTGGTGGAGGAGGGTGGTGGGGTGGTGGAAGGAGGGTGGATGGAGGTGGAGCGGAACTTGGTGAGTTGGAGGCGTGGGCGTGATGCGGGCCGGTCGAGGTGGTTGCTACTTGCTCCCCGCTGTCGGGGTACGGTGCTTAGTTTACCATGCTCCTAACTATCCTAGTGCACGGAAGTGGATGTACCTGTCCAGTGGTGCTTAGGGTGATCGGAACCTTGGAAGTTGGGCCTGCACGGGTTTCGGACCGGTTCTCATCCCGAGTCAATTCGGCACGGCACCGCGATGAGTGACGGTGTCGACTTCTTCTAGGACCGTGTCGAGAGTGGCCATTTTGCCTGTTCAGCCAGTCTCGACTTTGTTTGACCTGTGGTGGGAATGGATGGGTGCCAAGACATGGAGAAGGGCCAGAACTGTCTTGTGGCCGGAGTTTGGCTGACTCTTTTATGTGCTCTACGGGATCTCATATGTCTATTGTGAGCGTCAATGGCGTATGTAAGCAAAAGCCTCGTTTGAAGATATCCTTTTCAGCTGTTCATTCGGTGACGAGAGGTGGAAGTACGTTGAGCAACCTTCACCACCATACTTTAAGCCCCATCGACCCGACAAATCGGCTCAGATCCTCCGAAGCAACGACCAAGTTCTTCTCTCTCTCCCTCCACGCCTAGCCCCACCAACACCCACTACTCTAGACCTAACCTCCACTCCCGCTCGAAAGTCGACACAACCGCAATCATCCTCGACGGCCACCACCCCCCAGTCTCGTGGTGTCGCACGCATACTCCCTCAACACCACCACCACCGCTCACCTCCACCTCCACCGCCACCACCGCCATCACCACCAACCACTCCGATACCCCTGCGAAGACCCAACCCCAACGACAGCAGCCCCCCCGGAAAGCTGTAGCGGCTCAATCCCTATATGCTCACCTCCTCGACCTTAGATACTAGCATCCTACCCACTTCACGAATAGAAACGCACTTCCGAACCACATATACTCCTCACCACCTCCTCTACCGCTATGCCGCCACCCTCCCGAGCAAACAATTATGGCCCCGGCATGCATCCTCCGCCGTTCCCACAGCAGGCCGGTATGCAGCATGTCGGGCATAGCCTGCTGGACCGTGACAGGTATGTTCGCATCCGAATTCGCTGCCGACTCAGCAACACTGCTATCCTAACCAATCCCGATCCCCGCCTGCTATTCCCTTGCCCCCGCTCCTCTCTGCGGATCGGTGGCTGATTGGTGCCCGACAGGTTCCAGCAACACGCGAATACCCATCAGCAGCAGCAGCACAATGTCCATCACCAAGCACAGCTCTACGCCCAGGTACAAGCCCAGCAGCAGGCGCAGGCCCAGGCGGCAGCACGGTCATCACAGCAGGCACAGCAAGAAAAGAGTCTGCTCAGCATCCTCTCCCATCAGCGGAGCACGGCCATGAACGGCTCGCTGTCCGGCGCCGTGTCTGCCGGCGGACTCGGGGGCGTCGTGGCGAGGAGCATTGGTGGTGTCGGTGTCGGTGCGGATCCGAGGGCGCAGGCGGCCGCGCAGGCGGCCGCTCAGGCCGCGAGTGGGGAGGGCGTCATCAGGGAGGTGTGGAAGGAGAATCTGGAGGCGGAGATGGGCGTGCTGAGAGATCTGGTCGAACAGTACCCGTATGTTGCGATGGTGGGTATTCGCATCCCTGGGACTTTGGTGGTGGTGCTGGCAGTGTGATGCTGAGGAGTTGATGGGTGACAGGACACGGAATTCCCGGGGATCGTTGCGCGGCCAATAGGAAAGTTCCCAAGCAAGGCGGATTACCATTACCAGACGCTGCGATGCAATGTCGACATGCTCAAGATCATACAACTCGGAATCACGCTGGCAGACGAGAACGGCGACCTTGCCAAGGTGGATGGATCGGTTTCTACCTGGCAGTTCAACTTTCGCTTCAACCTCGACGAGGACATGTACGCGCAGGACTCGATCGATCTGCTGACCAAATCGGGGATCGACTTCGGCAAGCACACCAGCCATGGCATCGATGTCTTCAAGTTTGGCGAACTCCTCATAACGTCGGGACTCGTCATGCTCGACGAGGTCAAGTGGATCTCGTTCCACTCGGGCTACGACTTTGGATATCTGGTCAAGATCATGAGCTGCACCCCGCTGCCGAAGGAGGAGGCCGACTTCCGGATCAAGCTCAAGACGTTCTTCCCCAGTCTGTACGATATCAAGTACCTCATGAAGAGCTGTCGGAACCTCAAAGGCGGCTTGCAGGATATTGCGGAGGAGATGGGAATACCGCGGATAGGCCCGCAGCATCAGGCCGGAAGCGACTCGTTGCTTACTGGCATGATCTTCTTCGCGATGAGGCAACGCTACTTTGAAGGAAAGATTGACGACGCGCTGTACCTGTATGTTTCCTCAATGTCAACTGTGATACGGGCGGTGATAGGCTGACGACGATTGCGTTTGTGAATAGCGGCCAAGTTTGGGGATTGAACGGTAATAGCCCAATGCCGCTCGCGAATGGTACCGCTGGCAGCAACGGAGCCAGTAGCAATGCCGGCAGTGCCCCAAATCCTCCAAAGACCCCCACCATGAATGGCAGTCAGCAGGGAACCCAGGGTACTCCAGATAACAACAGCACACCTGGCCGGAATGGAACACCTGGTACTCCCGGGTACACACCTGGTTTCGGCAAGGGAATGTAGTTACGAGCAAAACCACAAGCCACAAAAAAACTCGGAAAATGTCATCATCGGTGTTGATGGAAATATTTCTACCCCTCTTTGTTTTCATCTTTTCTGTCATAGAAACTTGTTGTCTGTGGATAAGAGCGTGCACTTTCTAATTGCTGCTGCCGGTCGTCGTGGCTACTATCTTTGCTTTTCGCTTCTTGGTAGTTTCGCAGACAGGCGGGGGAGAAGTGAACGGGATAGTTGAGATCTGTAGTAACGGGATATTGGGAGGTTTTTCATTTTTTCTTCTCCGGTTCATTTTCTTTCTTTTCATGCATGTCGTTGCGTGTTTTTCTTTTGTATTTTGTTTTTGTTTTTGTTTTTGTTTTTGTTTTTGTTTTTGTTTTTGTTTTTGTTTTTGTTTTTGTTTTTGTTTTTGTTTTTGTTGTTGTTTTTGTTTTTGTTTTTGTTTTTGTTTTTTGTTTTGTTTTGTTTTTGTTTTGTTACGTTGCGTTACCGGTTGCTTGCCTGGTGTTTTTCTTCTTTTTTTTCTTCTTTTTTTTGTGTCTTTACGGCGAAAGGGGGACTCATCATTCTTCATGTCTTTTCTCTTGCGTTTTTTCTGCGAGTCCGCAGGTAGTGGTGGTGGTTATGGTGATGGTGGTCATGGTCGGGTGGTGACGGTCGGGTGGTGATGGTCATGGTGTTTCTCGTTTATAAGATATGGATCACGATCTATCACTTCCTCTGTGTGCCTGTGGGAAAGAAACGCCGAGCCCATGTGTGTACTCTACTGTAGGAGCCTGGCGTGACGTATTACGGACCAGGGAGGTAAAGTAGTCCACTACTATACAAAGTACCTAGCTCTGTCCCGGCTGTACATAGCCTAGATATAGTACCTGTCTGCATACCATGCCTTGAATGCCTCCATCCCCGAGTCCGTCCGTCCATCACCACCGCGCCTCGGCCGTCTCGTCTCGTCTCGTCTCGTCGCACGATAACCATACACCGCGATAACCACACTATACACCCCACCCCACCCCCACCCCATCCCGCACCAAACCATGGCGACGATGCCCGGCTCCTGGGGCGCCAGCGACTCCGACTCCGAGGAGCAGCACCCAGCATCCAGCTCCGGGCCACCACACCCGCTGCAGAACCAAGACGCACCGACGTACGCAGCGCGCCGCATGCTCTCGCGCCGGCCCGAGTACCTCTCGCCGCGCCGCATCGCCGTCAAAGTCGGCTCCTGGAATATAGGCAACTTCCAGTGCTGGGGGGACGTGCGCGAGTGGCTGCCGGAGCTCGGCGGAGCGGAGGAGAACACGGCTACGGATATATATGTACTTGCTCTGCAGGAGGTCGTTGATCTTGCGCAGACTAGTAGCTTCTTGAGATACACGGATCCGAAAACGGCGCTTACGTGGAAGGCGCATGTGCAGGTAACTTCCTCCCGCTGGGTGTTTTGGGTGGTGGGGTGGTGGGGTGGTGGCTGATAAAGTGAAAGGCCGCGCTCCCGCCCGGCTACGAATGTGTCGCCTCAACGCAGCTGATCGGGATGCTGCTGCTGGTATACGTCTCGCCCACGGTCCTGCCGGTGATCAGCAGCGTGTCGACGACTACCGTCGGTACCGGGTTGATGGGGTACGCTGGCAACAAGGGGGCATGCGGCGTGCGGCTCGTGCTCGGCGACGCGCTGCGACTATCGATAGTGAACTGCCACCTTGCGGCGTTCGCCAACGCCGTCGACCGCCGGAACTGGGACGCGGCGCAGATCTCGAGCCGGATGGTGTTTGAGGCGCCTGGGAAGGAGGTGGTTGGGCTGGCGGGGGCGAACGAGGTTAAAGCGCCTGTGCCGGAGGGCCTGGATGTGGCGGATGTCGTCCTGTGGTGTGGCGATCTCAACTATAGGATCGATCTGGATAATGCCGATGTTAGAGCTCTGCTCGAACCGCATATGCCGAAGGATCTGCCCCCGACCCATGCGGATATGTCGCCGGCCCCGTCGCCCGTGCTGGGCCAGGGAGAGAAATGGCCGGCCCCGCAGAAGTTGGCGAGGAAACCGACCGCGCTGAATAATGATAACCCAACGCTCCAGGGAACGCTGAATAGCTTGTTGAAGCATGATCAGCTGCTGAAGCAGCGGCGGGAGGGGAAGGCGTTCGCCGACTATAAGGAAGGTGGCGTGACGTTTCTTCCAACGTATAAATACGATGTGGGAACGGTTGGGGTGTGGGATAGCAGTGAGAAGGCGCGGACACCCAGCTGGTGTGATAGGATTCTGTGGAGGGTCAAGGAGCCGCCCCGAGAGAAGACGAAGGAGCCGGAGGAGAAGCGGGATCGAGCCTACAGCGTTTCCGAAGGCGCCGCCATCTCGGACGTTATCAAGGAGGAGCTCTTGTTCGAGACTGTCTACGATGATGATTCGGACGAGGAGGACTTGGTAGTTTCCAGAGCGGAGTCTCCGATTATTCGCCAGGAGCGCCGGAAAGAAGTGCCGCCCATCTTTGACGAGCCCACGTCATCCGTGCAAACGCCGTTCGGGGAGATCAAACTCGAGCAAAAATTGTATACTGCCCATCAGAACGTTTCTTCGTCCGATCACAAGCCGGTTTCTGCAACGTTTATGCTCACGTTTCCGGCGGTGGATCCGGAGCAGCGCGCGAAGGTCCATGCTGAGGTGGCGAAAGAGGTCGATAAGCTCGAGAACGAGCGGAAGCCGGTCATCACTATCATCATCGAGCAGCCGGATGGAACCGGAACATCCAACGGTGCCGGAGACGTGGTCGATCTCGGCGAGGTCAGGTTTTGGGAGCGTAAACAGCGGACGGTTACGGTGGCAAACACGGGGACCTCGAAAGCGAAGATCCACTTCGTTGGTAGGCCCGCGCCTGACGGCAGCGCGAAAGAAGCCATCTGCAAGCCGTGGATCAACGTGGAATTCTCGGACCGCAATGCTGCTGCCAAAGACACCAAGCAAACCGCCGAACTCGAGCCGGGCGACGTCGTCAACATCTCCCTCACCCTCCTCATCGACACGGCGCAGCAGGTGCTGGACCTAAACGATGGCTCGGAAATCCTAGACGACGTGCTGGTCCTCCGGGTCGACGGCGGTAGAGACGTTTTCCTCCCGATCTCGGCAACGTGGCTATACTCTTCGTACGGGACGACGCTCAAAGAGCTTGTGCGGATCCCGGAGGGCGCCGGCGGGTACCGAGGGTACAGAAAACGCAAGGAGGAGCTGAAGGAAGGCCCGCTATACTCCGCGCCGCGCGAGATCTACCGCATCACGCAGTTCATCTGCGACTGCGTCGCCGACGTAGTCAGTACCCTAGGCCCTGATGAAAGGATCGAGGAAAAGCGCTGGTTTGCGCACCCCGGGTGGCCGGTGCGCGCCGATACGTGGGGGCACGCGAAGGATGCCGACAGGAGGCGCGCGGTCGAGGTCGGCGTCTGGGAGGCGCTCGATACGGACCGCGAGTTTGATGATGAGAACTGTGTGAGAGTCGCTCTGCGCCCTGATGATGAAGACGTTACCATGGAGGAACAGGTTGAGGCCGTCGTGGCGGTGTTTTTGCGCTGGTTGGCCGGCCTCAGGGACGGTGTTATCCCCGCTACGTTTTGGACGGAGGTTGTCGCCGCTGGCGGGGACAGTAAAGCCGCTGAAGAGGTGCGAGCTCTCAAACCCTCCCACTACTAGTTACACACAGCTAATGACCACTCCACTACAGGTCCTCGACCGCCTCCCCGAACAGGGCGGGCAAACGCACGCCATCGTCTTCGTGAACCTGATGGGGTTCATCCAAGAGCTGCTCGAGATCCTAGTGAACAAGCAGGAAGGCGACAAGAAGAAGCAGATGGCCGCAATCCTGGAGCGGATCCTGGAGCCCCTGACGGCAGTGCTCGTCAAGCGGCCAGAGAGTATCGCCACGAAGATTTCGTACAAGGAGGAAACCGCGAGCAGGGCGTGGGTAAGGAGGTTCATAGAGATGTAGAGTGGAGTAGAGTAGAGTAGAGTACGGTATACCGGGAGCAGGAGCAGGAGCAGGAGCAGGAGCAGGAGCAAGAGCAGGAGCGCGGCTTATGTATCGACACGACGCGGGGTTTTCTTTTCTTTCTTTTCTTTTCTTTACGGAGTTTGTGTTTTTTGTTTTGTTTTTGTTTTGTTTTTGGGTAAAGCGGGCGGTTTGTTTGTTGGTTGGTTGGTTGGGGACGGAGTTGGTAGTTGCTAGTTGGAACTGGATGAGTTTCGTATTTTTTGTTACGGCGAAAACTTCAGTGTTGATACTGGACTGGTAGCTGTTTTTCTAGAGGCTAGAGGCTATGGTATGCTATCGTCTCCGCTACATGCTTGTTACGTGCAAGATGACTCTGGTTCCTGTGCACTTCAACCTATCCCCTGGACCGTAGCTCGTTTGCGGTTGCAATCGACCGCAAAATCCGTACCACTTTCTAGCACACCCCCACAATACAGAGATTGAAACCCCATAATATTCTTAGATAGTAATTTAGAGAAGATGCAAATAAACATTTCTATTTTGTTACAACTTTGTGGTGGGGCAACTTATTCCAGCAGTTCCCGCTCTCATGACCGAAATAATCTGCTCCCATCCACCAAGTCCTCGACAAAGACCAACATCAGCCATCCGAACACTCCAAGACTCATAAAATACTTTAAAGCAGTTGCGCTCTTCCTTCATACAAATCGGTAGATCACACTGACTCTAGGCCCAACAATTTTCGGTAAATTCTTGGTTGCACCTTCTCCGCGATTAACCCAACGGCAACACCAGTATCCTACTCACTCAAGAAAATGCTTAGGAATATTTCCAAGATCATGGCTACGGCCAGCCGATAGGGTAGTCAACGCTGTGTCGATCTGTCGCTTCGATCCGGTGGTTGATAGTTGTGGTTTTGAAGCAGTGCTTCGGTCAGGTGTCATAAGAATTACTGAAGCCGAAACTCTTTGTGGGAGAGCGTTGGGGTCTCCTCGACAGCAGGGAAGATAACATACGCGTTGGTGATCATTGTGTCAATTGCTCAAAACCGCACAGGCCACGATGTTCGTCAGGAAGTAAGTTGCGTATCGTGGTAATTCCGTATCTGGTCGGCAATATCAATCCCACCCATATGGTGGTTGTAGTCATCAAAACAGGCAGAGACTGCCAGTTCCATCTCAAGAACATCCTCAAATGCCTCTCTAGCCTTCCTGACAGTTTTACTCTTCTTCACTGGTCGTTTATTGTCACCGGTAATCCCAGAGCCTCAACATGTTGAAAGGTTCAATCGTATCAAGATCTCGGATTTCTACGATCCAGGGGATAGGCTGTCGTTCTTGCTCAAACCGGGAATAAGCACAGAACATGACTCGTCTTAAAATTCACGTGCACAATCCAGGCTGGTGGACCAAACTACAAACATGTCAGCGGCTAAGCAGGGTGTGCGCAACACCCCCCGTTCCTTACTGCATAACAGGTGTTGTGTTGTGTTGAGTACCGTATTGACATACATTTTGCGTGCTGCCGAGAGACTAGAGTACGGTAGAGCTCACCGAGCATGCAAGCAAGCATCACGACTCGACGTCACGTCACCGGGCGACCTAAGACCTTCCTCGCCGGGAATGACCCCTTGTATGAAGGTACCGGTGTCTTGGGGTCTTCGAATCTTGGAATTTTGTGAGCCACACTATGGATGAGTAGCACTTTGACGGGTCTATAGCCATTTTCGTATAATTCGTGACATTACTTGATACATATAATCGTGAAATCTGTTCTACCCAGAAACTAAAACACCTTTCCAAATGCTTCATACACAAACAGAGAGCACCGTTCAAACCACCGACTTCTCGACCGCAATCTCCCCCTTCTCCCCCTCCACCTCCACCGCCCTTCTATCCAACACATCCCCCACCAACCCGACCACATCCTCCAGACCCTGCACCCCCTCCGTCTCCACATCTCCAAACCTCCTCACACTAGTATAATACACCTCAGCAAGTCTCTGACACCTCAGAAACCTCATGAACCCGAGCTTTCTGCACTCGTCCTCCAGGTCCTGCCGGAACACGCCATCAATCCTTTTGCGGGCCGCTTCGGAAAAACGTCCCTGCAGTTTGTAGTTGCGGTAGCCAAAGTCGTGCCGCGTGCAAGAGTCAACGAAGTTGAAACCCCCGTTGGATTTTAGGGGGCTGGAACAGCCGTCGGTACTCCAGTCGAAGGTTTCGGAGGGGGTGGTGGTGGTGGTGGAGAGAGTGGTTTTGGAGGTGAGGAAGGTGGCGAGGGGGGTCGAGAAGATTAGACGGTCGGTGGTCGCCTCGAGGGTGGAGGTGGAGGAGGTGGTGGTCCGTGGGAGGACTAGGGAAACGGCTAGTGTGATGAACGAAAGGAGGAGCGGGAGAGGGACGATGAAGTGCATCCTGCTTGCTCGTGGGCTTGTGGGGGTGTGTGGAAGGGCTAGTTGTGTGAGGTGGAGGGAGATGCGGTGGATGCAATGATACTGATACTGATACTGATACCTGCTGGACGGCACCCAAGACGTTAAATACTCGCAGTACAGAACAGAACATCCAGCGTCCGGTGAGCAGAGCATCACGCTGCCTAAATATTTCGGTGTATACCGGTACGGTACGCTCAGCTCTTGGAAGTTGAGTCCAGGGCACAGCCGAGTGAGTGAGTGCTAACGTGCGGCCGTGCGGCCGTGCCGTCAGGGCCAGGGCAGTTGTAAGGCTGAGCTAAACCAACCACCGCTTCGTATAGGTATATGATCATCCTTCTTAGCACATAGTAGTAGCACATATCACACATACAAACACGAAAACAGACATCTCATCGGCCCATCTATCCATCCGCCCGTCCATCACATAGCTATTTCGGTCCCTCCCGCCTTCGCCTTCGCCTTCTTCGCAATTCCATTGACAGGAGAAGAAGTAGATACTATATATCTAAGTGCTTCTGGTGGTTGGTGCTGACAGATCGACATCATACAAGACGGGCTTATACGGGCTTATCACTTGCCAAACTCTGCCAAAACTCCACATTTGGAATTTACCCACCCGCGTGTTTGTGCACAGGACTAACTGACAGTAACCAAGCGAGATACCTACTATATCCTCCCTATGTACCTATCCAGCCGATTCTCTACGGGAGAGAGTCCTGCCGGGTACCGGTAGGATGGGCAGCGAAGTGACAGGATTGAGTTTTCTATCCCAGAGAGAGAGCACCAATCTATTTCGCATGCAGTAGTAGGTTGTGGTGATTACACCATAGAAACCTTTCCCTCCCCTTCCCTACAGGACTTTTATCCAGTGAGAACCTTACACCCGACCACAGATCACTGCGAGTGAGCGGCTGTGGGTGCGAGTGCTAGAGCGTGAGCGCTCGCCACTTGAGTAACTTATGGTAGCACGGGCTCTCAGCTCCCCCGTGCGTTACGTTACGAATCTCCAACTCGTACGTAATCGCAGATTTGCGGTCTTGTCAGCATCTTGCAGTCCGATGTGTAAGTATGTAGATGCGGAAAATGCCCGTGATTACTCAAGAGTCAACGTCGCTCTGAGCTCTGAGCTCTCACCCGAGCGATGTTGGTGAGCTCGGGCAACCTACTTACTTACTTACCTATCCGCCACGAGAAACGTGGATTCTCGGAGTGTGGGATTGTGTTGACGTGGGAACTTTTATTTGTCATCTGGCAGGTACTCTACATCGAGAGAATCTCGAAGTTCTCTATTCCCGAATCCCCACGGGTGGAGGGCTTTTTGGGGGGATTTCTATGAATACGTTTCCCCCCCGTAGAGATGCCGAGTTTGTGCTCGGGAGGGGGGTTAAACAGAACGGCAAACGTCTATAATGCCATAGTTTTTGGCACAGTAGTCTATAATGCCATAGTTTTGTTCGACGTTTCAACCCCACCACCAATTAAACCAACCACCGCTTAAAACCACCACCACAATCCACTACGCAAACCCACTGTGGCGAGCGATGGAAGAGCTGTCGGTGAGAGGAGGGAGCGAGAGGAGGAAGCGAAAGGACTTGTCGGTGGGAGGAAGCGGATGTGGTTAGTACTTACCTACCCTTGTAAAAAAGGGGGGTTTTATAAACGTGAGCGGTGGGTTGGGAAATGGTCGCGCGATCATTAGATTTCACAAGCGGCCCCGCGGTATTGCGCAACTATTCCGCAACTATTGCATCTAGAATCACGTGAGCCACGTAAAACGATGCGGAAATAATATGATGATAGACAGTACACCCATTTTAAATTGTAAACTCGGCAAAAAGCCAGACAATGTGTGAATTTGTCATACGTTGATCTAACGCTTAAGTAAACAGGAACTGGTGGAAATATAAAAACACAAGTTCGAGATATATCGTTGGTGCTCACTTCAGCGTTTTCTTGGCATTTTTCTACCGTTGTCGTCACGTTTCGACAATTTAAACGTTGTCTTGGCATTTTTCCACTGTTTTCCGGTGTGGGGAGCGATGAGCGAGCTGCCACGGGAGGGAGTAAGAATGACTGAGTCAATCCCCGAGATGACTCTAGGAGTGACTTAGTCAGTCCGGTAAATGACTCTAGGAATGACTTAGTCAGTTCGTGAAATGACACTAGTCATCGAACAGGAATGACTGAGCCAATCCGTGAAATGACTCCAGGAATGAGTCAGTCAATTGGTGAAATGACTCAGGAGCTGTGGGATGAGATGTCGACAAGAGGAGGAAGTGAAGGAGGACTCCTGTCGGTGGGAGAAGACGAATGTGGTTAGTAGAGGGTACCAACGTTGGCGGGCATGGTCGGCATGGCGGGGTCGTATGCTCTCTTAGCCATCTGCCTCTTCTTCTTTTTCTTCTTCTTCTTCTCCCACAACTCCTCGTCCCCCCATAACTCCCCCCCCTACATCTCCTCCTCCCCCCGCAACTGCTATTCCCACTCCCACCGCAACTGCTATCACCCCCCTCGCCGCAACTGCTATTCCCCCTCCCGCCGCAATTACTACTGCCGCTGATATTTCCACTCTCATATAGCTTCTACACCCGCCGCAACTCCTCCCCCGCCGCAACTCCTCCCCCGCCGCAATTCTACTCCCCCTGCCACTGCTACTACTACTACTCCAGTTACAACTGCAACTGCTATTCCCGCTGATAGCTCATATCTCAGCATAGCTCCTCCTCCCGCCGCAATTGCTATTCCCCCTCCCGCCGCAACTACTACTCTCTCTGATGCTTCTCTGACATAGCTCCTACTCCCATCACAAAGCTCCTACTACTACTCCCGCTGATAGCTACTCTCATAGGGCTCCAGCTCATACTCCCGCTGCAACTGCTATATACTCCCGCCGCTAACGCTACTCTCGCTGATAGCTTCTCTCTCATTGCTTCTCACGCTGCAATTCTACTCTCGGCGCAACACATAGTGATCGCCCCCCGCCCCCTACTGCTACTATTACTCACCCTGCTGGACTCGCCGCTGATATATTACTGTATACGCCTAAGAAATCCCCTCTTGCTAACATGGATACAGCACCGACTGCGCTGTGTATACCCCCCCTCCCTACTGCTCCTTACCCTACTAACTACCGTGCTTCTAGTTCTGCCAGACCACTGCAGATACCGTCTCCTTCCTACTGCTGCTCGCCCTGCTGGCCCCTCTGTGATTACCCTCCCCCCCCCCCCCCACCCTCCACCTTACTGCTACTGCTACGCCCGCTGATATCTCCTTACTCATATAACTACTTCTCCCGCTGCCATTCTACTCCTGCTGCAACTACTACTCCCGCTGATAGTTTCTCTCTTTTATAGCTAGCTTTGCTGCATCTCCACCCTCGCCGCAACTGCTATGTACTCTCCGCGCAACTCTATTCTTGCCGCAACTTCTTGCCGCAACTCTATCCTCGCTGATAGCTTCTTGCTCAAACAGCTTTTCTAGCAGCAACTCTATTCTCCATTCCCCTCGGCGCAATACATCATCTCGGCACAGCCCCTCCTCTCGGCGCAACTTTCCTCTCGGCGCAACCTTCCTCTCGGCGCCACCCCTCCTCCCGCCGCAGCTCCTACTCTCGCTAATAGCTTCTCTCTCTTATAGCTTTTCTGGCCGCAACTGTATCCTCGCCGCAACCCTCCTCTCGGCACAACCCCTCCTCTCGGTGCAACCTTCTTCTCGGTGCAACCATTCCTCCCGCCGAAAGCTCCTCTATCTCTCTATCACAATGCATCTAGCAAGTCGAGGGTCAGTTGCAGCAGGGCTAGCAGCAGTATGTGCCAGCCTGCTGGCCCGCTCTGGATACTGCCTGTTGGCCCCGTAGGTAGTACTATATACTATAGAGTAGAATATAAATCCATATGTGCTTAGTGCTTCAAGACCAATGTGAAAAATGCTGCATAAGCGAGGAAACCCGAGCCCAGTTTCAAGGCTAAGGGTCCCGATTCATCTCTGATATTCACACTTTGCACTCCTGCTCCCAAGTTTCAACAGTTCAAAAATGGTTCAAAAATGGGTTAAAAATACCAAGAAAACGATGCTGCAACGTTTTAATGCACTTAAACGCTTTATTTTAACTACATAGGAGAGATTTGCAACATATTGAAAAAAAACTCGAAGTAATTCTGTAAATATGTCTAATTGCCGGCCATTTAACTCTCTATAATCGGGATCACTTGTACTACGGCTTCCAAGTTTCACAGGAAAAGCCTGTGAACTGTATATCCACTCCGTCCGTTAAAAACTTGCAACATGTTTATAAATCCAATACGAAATGTACAATGTTTTGAGTGGCTTCTATAGGTCAATAATTTGACATGTGTATAATTTTCAACTATCACGATGTAGTATTTACTTTTCCTACGGGTTTGAAAATAATGGCACAACAGTCGCTCCACTATTTAAAAAAAAACCCCTTTTTTTTACAAGGGTAGGTAGTGAGCATAAACGTTGGCGGGGCCAGAAAGTCGCCTGCCCTCTCCGTCGTCTGCTTCTTCTTCTTCTTCCTATCTCATCGTGTACAGAATGGACGATCAACATCTATATCCTCTCTCCCCTTGTGTGTTCTCCCTCTGTCGACCCGCTTCCCGGTCTGGAGAGATATTGGCAAGTAGACGGGTGTTTTAGTGGTGGTGGTTTCGCAAGGGCTTTTTGCCAACTCCAGGCCGACAGGAGTCCTTTTTAACTTTCTCCTCTCGCCGACAGCTCTTCCATCGCTCGCGACAGTGGGTTTGCGTGGTGGGTGGAGTGGTGCTGTGGTTGAAACGTCGAACAAAACTATGGCATATTAGACTACTGTGCCAAAAACTATGGCATTATAGACGTTTGCCGTAAACAATAAAATCAGCCAGCCGTTTGACTGCCTGGGTAGATTGCTTTTAGTGGAAGGGGAGGAGCCAAGTCCAAGCATCCCGTCCCCCTTGCATGAGAGTTTGGACGGATCACTGATTGAGGTCTGAACCACAAATCATCACGTGGTGTGCTGGTAGGAAGAATGGGCCCACAATCATTCTTCCAAATACACCGATACCAAATTATTAAATCTCGACCTACGAAAAGAAAAGAAAAAGACACAAAACCACATGAGCAAGTATGCTATGCTATGCTACTCGAACTACTCCAACGAACGGGAAAGAGAAACAGAAAGATAAATGCTCATGCACGCTTCCATTGAAAACACCAAATTCCAAAAATGCAGATGCAGATGCACAGGTAGATCTGGTAGATCTAGTGGATCTTCTTGATCCGGTTGTGCGTAAGTGCAATCTGGTTGTCGACATGGTCGCTCTGTGAGAGAAGTTAGCCAGCTATTCTTGTCGTGGTCAGGCGGGGGATAGTTTACCTTCTTCATGATCTTATCAATCTGGTGGTTCTGTCTGTCGACTTCTTCGCCAGTGGCCATCGCAAGCCCCTTCAGCCTTCCGGTAATAGCGGAAAGCTGATCCAAGTTGTTGTGGATCTCGCGCTCCTTCTCGTCATCACTCTCATCGGCCTCGAACTGGTACTTGCTGCGCTCGGCCATGCTCATCTGGGTCTTTCCTGCATAGCTACCGCCTGGGCCACCATTCAACGCCTTGCCCACACGATCCCGACTCTCATACCCGAACTGCCTGGTTCTCTCGCGCTCCTCCCGCTCCGTCTCGTGGCGGTCAAGGATCTTCTTCTCCTCAGCCTGCGCACGCGACTTACTCTTCATCGGATTCTTGACGTGGATGGCGAACATGGATCCATTGAGCGTCTTGAGCTCTCTCGCCTTTTCCTCGGCAACACGGTTATGCGAGGCCGCAACATCGAGATTCTTTTCCGTGTTGTACAGCCGCTCTCCCTGTTGTCCGAGGCGGGCGAGGGTGTTGCGGCCCGTCTCCTCAGCCTGCGCGGCAACACGCAACGCATTGCGAGACGAGGCGACGGACTCCTGCTTGGTGAAGCGGATCTGCTGCTTCACGGCCTCAACGTCCTCCTCCTCCTCTTCCTCCTCCGTCATCTGGCGGTCCGCGTTGCTGTTGTTGCTGTAGCCACCGGAGCTCTGGCCGTAACCCCCCGAGCTGGGTGCATATCCATCGGGACGGGCATACGCGCCGCCCTGAACAGGAGGGGCAGAGTGCGAGTGCTGTGGCTGAGGTCGGTTGCCGAAGAGGGCATCGCGGTTGCGGTCGACGGGTGCGGGAGGGCCACCGTGGCTTGCATTGGGAGCTTGCGGCTGGTACGGGGGAGGAGGGGCTGAGTAGGGGTTTTGGCCAGCAGCTGTCTCTCCAGCTTTGCGGTTGCCAAAGAGCGCGGAGCGGCTGTCTTCGTCGGCTTTTTCGGACTTTTCTTTCTTGCTGAAGAAACCCATGGTGCTGGAGGATGTGGGAATAGTAGTTGGGTAGTTGTTTGTGGTGTTGTGGGACAAATGGGAGCTGTGGGCGAACTAGGAAAGGGAGAAGGAGAGCGAGGGTCTGTTGCCAGAAAGCTAAGCACGTTAGACTCGAGTTGAGCTCTCGCTTTGACCCCTGTTCCCTGCCCCCGGGTTTCAATTGTCCTGCACCATTACATTTCTAAGCAGCGGAGTGTATAATACCCCTCCCCCGCATTAGTGATTGTATTTATTGTCACAGCTTTAACCCCAGAGAAGACGAAGCAGAGAAGTAACAGTTCCAGTTACATACCACGCCGGAGATAGACGCACAGCACAGCAATGGCCAATTACCCACCAGAAACCACCGCCGAAGCCCTGGCCCACCTCCAGACCGCCTTCACCGACTACTCGCTCGCTCATGGCCTGACCGTACGGCCACCACCTGCCTTCGCCGCAAATCCCAACAACGCCCTCTCAACCGCCGCCCCGGTCTCCCTATACCCCTCGCTTTTCCCGCGGGAATGCTTCGAATACGGCCGTCGGGTGCAGGAGGCCTATAACTATGTCTACGCCGCGATAGCGAACGATACGGAGTGGCTGGGAAAGGTAGTGACAGAGTGAGTGCGTCCTCCCTGTGCTGTCAGCTACATGTCTCTCCCGGAACACTAAAGAAAGCTGGAACACAGTCTTGCGGCGGTGGACACCTTCATGAAAGCGCTATTCGACGTCTACATCAAGGCCAAGGAGGAAGGGTTCGCGCACGAGTGGTGTCTCGGACTCTTCAGAAGCGACTACATGCTCCACCGTCCAACGCCTGAGGATGAGCCGGTTATCCACCAAGTGGAATTCAACACCATCGCCTCGTCGTTCGGAGGACTGGCGTCGCGGGTTTCAGAGCTCCACCGGTTCCTTGTGCGCTCGGGGGCATACCCTCCCACCCCGCAGCTTTCACTCGAGTCCATCCCGCTCAACCCTGCGGCGGCGGAACTTGCCTCAGGTCTAGCAAAGGCGGATGAATATTACGGCCCTACTAAATCGGGAAGGGAGAAAGGAATCCTCTTCATCGTGCAGCCAGGAGAACGCAACGCCTTCGACCAGCGCTGGCTCGAATACGCATTACTCGAGAACCACAACGTCAAAACCCACCGCATCGCGCTCTCCGAAGTTCCCACACGTACGCGCCTGGAGTCCGGCAGCAGGCGTCTCATCTACACCACGGCATTGGCACAGGATGTCGAGATCTCCACAGTCTATTTCCGCGCTGGCTACGGGCCTGATGACTATCCCACGCAATTGGAGTGGGATGCACGCCTCCACCTAGAGCGCAGCGCAGCAATAAAGTGCCCCACAACCGCGATGCAACTGGCTGGCGCAAAGAAGGTCCAGCAGGAACTCGCCGTGCCGGGCGTGCTCGAGCGCTTCGTCGCCCAGCCCAGCCATCTGGACCTGCTCCGAAAGACGTTCACTTCTATCTTCCCCCTGGATACGTCCCCGGAGGGCCTGCGCGCAAGGAAACTGGCTTTTGAGGAGCCCGAGAAGTATGTCCTCAAGCCGCAGCGGGAGGGAGGCGGGAACAATGTCTACCGTGCGAAAATCCCAGACTTCTTGAGAAGTATGGACGAGAACCTGTGGAGTGGGTATATCCTGATGGAGCTCATCCAGCCGCCGCCTGCGGAGGGCGTGATTGTTAGAAACGGTGAAATAGTAAGGGGAGGCGTGATTGGGGAGTTGGGGGTGTATGGTGTTATACTCTTTAGACAGGATACAGGTGAGCCGGTGGTGAACAGGGAAGCGGGATGGTTACTTAGAACGAAGAGCGACGAGAGCGAAGAGGGCGGTGTCGCGGCAGGATTCGGATGTGTAGATGGGGTTTGCTTGACCGATTAGACGTGGGATTAGAGGGTGTGAAGAGGTTTCTTTCATGGGATTTGTACGAATATATGAGACGATTTTTAGCATAGAGCTGCGATATATTTTCTCTGTGGTGCCATCTCTCCTTGCCATCTCGTGAAACTACGTTTGTTTGGCGCAGAGTGATAGTCGTGCATCCTCCACGCGCGCCACGCCTGCTATCTAGTGCGGTTACATCCGCCCATAGGTAGCTCCCAGGCACCCACCAAGCTTCCCCACTACACTTACGATGTCGACGGCCATGAGCCCCGCGAGCACAACCACGATCTTCCCGCCACTATACTCCTTCCCTCCCTTCTTCACTAGATAAGCCGCCTCATCTCCCGTCTCGCACCAAGCTAACACGCATCCCGCACACAGCCCAACGCGGCAACCTGGACCGCGCAACGCACCGGCTGGATCTCGTTTATCCACCTGTACTGCCGCACACATAAACTATGGCGGCTGCACGTAGCCGACGCTCTCGACACGGAGCTGTTCCGTAACGCTACCCTCGGACGCCAGCTGAAACTTAAAGATGCTATGGAGGTCCTTGAGGGCATGGTGGCCGAGGGAGGCGCCGAGTGGGCGGATAAGGAGAAGACTACCGTCATCGTGCTGTGGAGACGACATGAAGAGTGGGGGAATGTTATATATGATTGGGTGAGTGCATGGGAGCCGGGTAGGGCGAGGTTTGGAGTGGGAGGGGCTAATGGGATGCGCAGATCGATGCGACGGGGCAGAAGGGCACTGTTCTTACGCTGTATGAAATCGCGCATGGCGATTTGACGCTGGATCAAGGTGTGTTTCTTCCCTGGGTGGTTTGTAGGGGGAGTGCTGACAGTGGTTGGGCTGGCAGAGTTCCACGGGATAGAGGAGACAGTGTTAAAGAAGGCCCTGGGGGTACTAGTGAAGCGGGGGTCGGCACAAGTGTTCGGGACTGGCGACGAGATGGGTGTCAAGTTCTTTTAGAGCACGAATAACTAGCCTATGGATGCGAGAAGAAGGTTGCGTCTAGTTCTGGATATACACAAAGCAAACAGTGACAGCGACATAGGAAACAAACCGGAATCATAATACACAAAAGACCATAGCAGCAATAGCAATAGTAACGCCTGCAAGCCCAACCGCACCGTGGCATACATTCCCCTTCCTACTCGTCACCATTACCATGTGCGATTATCTTCTCTCCCCTCCCCCTCTTCCTCCCCCCAGCACGCATGCATCGAGATCACTCACTTCTCCGGTCCCAGCCACCCCGATTTCCGCACTTAGTACGCCTTGAAGTCTTCCGCCTTACCCGCCAACAGCAGTCCAATGATGAGACCGAACAGGCCCAACACACTCCCGAAGATCTCGATGATCAAGATCTTGACGAACAGCGCCGGATCACTCGCGTCGGCCAGGGCAGCGGAACTGCCGGTGATACCCACAGCGATACCGCACACCATGTTGCACATTCCGACCGTGAGACCTCCCCAGAACAACGCATAGCCCGTGTAGAAGTTCTGTGGCGCGTAGAGATCCGCCCCGGAGACGTTGCCGAGCTTAGCTGAGTACACGATGCCTATTGTAGTGTTAGCTGATGGGTGGAGTGGGACGGGGAACGACGGGACGCACTCATGATGACACCGTAGATGGCCACAACTTCACAGAAAATAATGGAGATCAAGTTCTTCGTCCTGATGCGAGGCGCGCGTACTCCTCCGCCGATGATGGACGAGCCGGTCACGAAGATTCCCCATGCAGCGCCGGCGACCGAGAGGCCAATACATAATGCGATTCCCAGTGTCGCCCACGTGTACGGTGATGTTTCCTCGAGGAACCGTCCGACGTTGAAGTCCTCGCCTTCGTCGTTGAAGAGCATATCTGTTCCCGATCCATTAGCTGTCTGGCTGGAGGCTGGTCTAAGGGGCGATGACGCGACATACAGGCTCCGACAACTACGACGGCGAGAGTCACCGTCGTCAGCCCTGTGTAGTAGTTGTAACCCATCTTGCTGTGAATATGTAGAGAGAGGTGGTGGGGTTCGTAAGGCGGGTTTGTTGTTGTGAGAGTTGAATTGAAGGCCGTATCTAAAGCTGCCAGCCAGCCAGCCGAGTTGTGGTTGGCGTCACGCCAAGCCGCATCCGCTGTGTCGCCGCCGAGCGAGCTGGTTGGCTGGTTGGTTGGTTGGCCGCCTTCCTCGTAACCCCCTGACCATCTCGAGCGCAGCAGGCAGTTATACACAATCATCCAACCAACCAAACTTCACCAGCTTACATATACCCATCCGGTGGTGCGCCCCCGCAGCCTCCCTCCTCCACCACGGCGTCACCAACCTCCCACCCACCCTCATCGCACCACCCGCTGAGGTTGACCCTTCTCCGATCGCGCTCGACGACCGCCAGCCAACGCCGACAGTCGCACCCGTTCAACCGCCACAGCGGCAATTTCTCGACATCCTCGGAAGGTCTCGTCGCTGGCAAACGCGATAGCACAGTCCTAGTGATCGAAGGGCCGCGGATCGCCCCTTCTCTACAAACGATGGGTCCGCGGCGATTGTCCGTCGATGGCGTGTCGCCATCTGCGACTCAAAACAGCCTTGAGTCGAAAATGAAGCTGCCGTTTCAGGGACAACAGGATGGACAACAACAACACCAGCAACACCAGCAACACCAGCAACGCCAACAACACCTGCAGCTACACCCGCAGCAGAACCATACATGGCTCGATCGCGGATCGGGAGAGTTGGCTCAGGACGTCGATTTGGAAGCTGGCCACCATCCGGGCGTACCGCTGTCAAACCTGTCGCATTCGTCACTTCAACATTCCTCCGTCGCGGGCGGCGACGAGCAAGACAACGACGATGGGAATGAGTGGAACTCGAGGCATCCTTGCTTTCCCCACCGAAATCCGCATGTGCCGCCGGACTCGAAGGAATACGAGACTACGCGGATCATTCGCATTGGGAGGGATTACATGTACTCTGGCGATCTCTCGCCGGCCTTTAGCTACGTCTATCCTGAGATATTGGAGCCTTTCGTGAGCGAGGTTAGGTTTCGAGAGGTCATCAAGCGGGTTAATGACGAGCTGTACGAGGCGCATACCCCGTGGAGCCGTGCCAATATCATGGAGGGCGTAGTTGGGATGCTTACGCTGTGGATGTATGAAGATATTGTGGATACCAAGGCGAAGCGCAGGATTGAAAATGTTGAGCGGTATCTGGAGAGGGTCAACGAGGAGCTCGAGAAGGAAGGTGGCGCTAAATTCATTCCCTTGAGGAGAACGGGGTTTCTGAAGGTAATAGCCGACTCCATCCCAATGCCCGAGTATGCTATTGATGATTTGGTTGTAGCTGGACATTCAAATACCCGACCCCGGAATCTTGACCACAGATGACGAAAGTGAGTCCAGCGACGAAGACCAAGATTCCGACCAGCGTCAACGTGGGATGACCGACGAAGAGCAACGGATGAAGAAACTACACTTTGAGGGTCTCAGTCCGATCGAGCGACCACCGGCGCTAATGGTGAATGGCCAGTTCACGTAATACTGAGAACCGTGTTTGTGTGTGTGTGGGCTATCATTGCTTTTGTCAGTGTGATGTATTCCAGCGTTTGTCTTCTCTTCTTTTTCATAACTTGTGGGATGTTTGTTTAGTGATGGAGTTTCGTCTGGCAGGTGTCATTGGGTGGATTGGAGGGTGTTTGGTTCAAGTAGTGTATCATAGTTATGTTCTTACCTGCACTTTACTTGCGTACTTTACTTTGTTAGTGTTAATAATTTCATCTTCACTTCTTTACGACCTTGAGGCTTCAATATGCGGTTTGCTTCAAATTCCAAACCCGTGGGGGAAGAGTATAGGGACTAGAGGTGATGTTTGACAATACCATAGGTAGGATAGAACAGACGGAATGTTTGCCTCCCGCTAGGGCAGAACAGTGGTCCCAGCAGTGATATTGGTGAGCATCTTCTCATGGATCGTCACTCGATCATTGGGCATCTGTCGCCAGCAAACAGGGGTCATTATATACACCTAGCCGATCATTGTAGCCAGGAAATGTGTCGCGGCCTGTCCCGAGTTGAGCCCTAAACGATCGGGGGGAAATCATTTTATTGACGTGTCTATAGACCTAAGTAGATCACGACGTCCACAACAAAGAGAGCCACCGCCGCGAGACTAGCTAATCGGCGTCTCGCCTGCCCGCGAGAGAGAAGTACACTGTCCAATGAAAAGCGCTAAACGATCGGATTTCGCTAAGGTGTGAAACAGCAAGTTCGGCAGTCCGGCAGTTAGGCGCGCGTTTAACTTGTACAAAGTAAGCTAGTCTATATTGGGATCAGCATTGCGCTTATACTGTTGGATATCTCCGTCAATCAGATCGTTTCTAGGATGGACTATGCCCACTAGTTAGCGAGTCGTGACTTTCTGTTAACCCTAATAGTTCACTCGCGTAAGACGCGAATTCCCTCGACCCTCTCCTTTGCCCCACCACTCACTTGACAGCTTCCTTCCTTACTTTGTTTCACCTAATTCTTGATACCCTCCACCACTTCAACAGTACTTTGATCCCTTCTACTACACGCCCACGCCGACATTCAGAAGAACCACCACCGCCACCGCAGATACCCTACTACACCACCACCATCACCACCCCCATCACTACATTCACTGATACCAGCAACGATCCAAAATGTCGGTCGCCCGTCGCGACTCATTCGACGTGGACCCAGTGGACTGGACGACCGAGCAGGTAATCTCGGTTCTATCAGAACACCTGCGAGGCGAAGACAAGGCCACCCTGCGCGCACACGATGTCGACGGTCGCACTCTCTTGTTCACAGTCACCCTCGAGAACTTGAAGACCGATCTCGGAATCACATCTCTCAACCCTCGGGGGAGGATCATGGAGATTGTTACGCAGCTGAAGAGACGCAGTTACAAGTTCTCTCAGTACGAGGAGGAGAGAATGGGTCACGAGCTTTCCACAGCACAGCGCATCTATGGCTTCGAACCGAAGCCAAGTCATGATGAGCCTTTGAAGCTGGCGCCGGACTGGAATCTCGAAGATTTTTCGCCGGTGGTTAGAATGGACGCGATGGCTCCGTGGGCTGCCGTACGTGACGAATCAATGGGAGTCATGAGGATGGTGGAGTGGCAGGGGCAGAAGATTTTTGTGCAGGCGACACGAATGGATAATCCGTCGGCAGGCAGCGGAGATGATCACATGGTTGTCGAGACTGAGGACGCCATGGAGGAGGTTAGCTCTGCCAATCATATCGGCGACGAGGAGATGTCCGATGCTCCCGGCGGAGAGACTGCACATCCACCACAACCACCACCGTCTCCACCGCCGGCGCCAGCAGCACCACTCGTCGAGCAGCGCACCGGGCTAAAACGCATCCAACCGGTCTTGGTGGACCCAGTTCAACCGGTTGTTGAGAGGAGTGTCTCGCCCCCCAAGACAGCGTCACCGACTCAAGCGGCAAGGCCAGCAGGTGCAATGCGCAAGCGCTTTTTGCCGCTAAAGGCGGAGAGGATAGACACCCTGCTGTACACCGATGATGTTGGGACGGATATCGACGTGGACCAGGAGGAAGATGAATTTGTCATCTCACGTGACCAACAGCAACACCCGGGCATGGAATTGTATGCTAACCGCTGCATCCGTCATTTGCTGAAGGTCAACGGCTTGATCATTGAGAATTGGGATTTGGGCTTCGCTACTAGAGCTGCCAGTACGGAGTTTATACGGACTCAGCACAAAGATCATTTACGGATAGCCATTAAACATTATAATGGCGAGGCCTACCTGAGGAAGCACGAACAACAGTCCTTCACAGTATTTGATGTCGAGTCGCCGAGTCACGTTCGAGTCCATCGCGAAAACTCTGAGTCTCTCTCTCTGCGTTGGCCTTCCGGTCCGATCCAGCATGCAGGGGCCACCTCGGTCCAGATCGTTCGGCACGCCGATAATGGAGTTGATCCGAAGTTGGACCCTAACGGCAACCGAGAATTTAACTACCTCGCGAAATGGCTGAACATCGATGGTGCTGATGACGATGTGCCCCCATGGGGCGAATCTGGAGATGAGGGCGAATACGATATGGATGTTTGGAAGGAGATGGAGGCCGAAAGAGGGCCAAAGGAGGGGGTAGTGTCCAAACGTCGTTCTGTCGCAGCTCTTCAGGAGGGAGAATTGCAGGATGTGGTCGATGAGGCCATCCAGGAACTCATTCGTCAATGGAAGCTCACCAAGCTGCCCGTGCTCGAGGCCGAGAAGGCGTACCACATATGGAGGGATGCAAAGTGGTCCAAGTGCTTAGAGCGGGAGCGGGAAATTCGCGAAGCAAATGATCGCATAGACAAACTGGAATCCCGCATTTTTAAGATGTGGCCCGCGTTTTTGAATGCCGGCTACCCCAACAAGGACTGTGCGCGTAAAGTTATAAAGGGAAACCTACAAGTCACCGTCGAGGAGATAGAATATACCAGGTGGAAAATGGCGGTGATGAGGCGCCCAGATGTACCGGCTAGGCCACTGCCCGCGGGTAGGAAAGTTAGTCAGAGAGACGGCAAGATGACTGATAGAAGTTCCAGTGATGAGAATGGAGACGAATCTCCTAGATCCCCTGACAGAAATCCGGATGATGAGGACGGAGCCGGTTCCCTTGGCAGCGATTCGGATACCAATGCGGAAAGCCCCAGTGATGAAGACCCAATGGATGATTTCATTGTGGAAGATGAAGAAATCATACCTATCGGGGCCGATCACGACCTCCTTGATCTCGACCTCGACTACGATGAAGATGACGATGGTATTGTGAGTCAACGCCGCCGTCGACCCCCCACACCCAATTGTGCAGACACGGACATGGAGGATAGCGACCCAAATAAGGACGAGACGGCGACCGAGAGGGCCAATCCCAAGAACGTAGCGCCGCTTGCCAGCTCTTACGCGCCCCGTGGCAGCTCGTCTCCACAGCGGCACAGGACTTTCATCGATCTAACGACGCCTAGTCCAAGTCCAGGCCCCGAACAAGACCCCAAGCATGCAATACCCGCTGTTGCATCGAAGCCCACTGAATCGCGCAGGACATCCCCCCAAGGCAACGCGGCCCGGAATCAACGACTGCGGGATTTGCTTTCTTCGCCGGGAACGCCCGCCGGTGATCCCCACTATAATTTGCTCCGTGAGCTCTGCGTTACTGGTGATGTTACGCTCAACTGGCAATTGAAAATGAGGCTAGATGAGCTGAAGGCCACCAACTTCGAAGGGTGGTTTCGAGAAATAAACTTCTGCTTGAGGGGGCTCCGACAAACGACACCCGGAATTGAGCACGAAATGTTCCTTCGGAAAGCTGTGTGCCGCTTATACATCGCATGGCGGTTCTGCGATCCAGAAGCTAAGGGAGATCAAAAGCTTACGACGGACAAGAAAAATGATCTAGGGAAAATAAAGACGTTTACGAAGTTCATTCAGGATCTCGATCGGATCTTGGAAACGATCTTGAAAATTCCTAACGACAAAGGACCTGGTTCGTCGGAGCGTCATCCGAAACAAGCGGATACACCCCTTGATAAGATGGACATAGACAGAGACGACAATGTTCCCGTCGGCCCTCGAGGGCGCGGTCACAAGCGCCGCCTAGACGTCGACAACATGGACGATAGTGAGAATAACAAGGATATTCCCGCTAGTACCCGCCAGATTCGTAGGCGCAAGGAACTGGTGGAGGACAAAGTTGCAACTCAAACTCAGCTTGAACTCCACTCTGTCCACAAGAATCTCGCAAGGAGGCGACAGGCACTGACGAAGGGGGGTGCCATCAACAACGGAAAAGTGACCATCAACTTCGGACACTTGAAAAAATTCCGGGATATCGATGTCCGTAAAGACATCGCCCAACATCTCAAACCACATCAGGTTAAGGGAATTCAATTCTTGTGGACTACCATGGTGGAGGCCGGACTGAAGACAGGAAAGCCAACAGGCGCGCTTTTGGCACATACGATGGGATTGGGAAAGACTCTGCAGGTGTAAGTTGACACCTCGTCTTGTTTATTATCGGTAGAGACGATGGATATGAGTCGGTTCGATCCGAGCCTGCCGTCTTAACTGCCACTCATTACGAGCTCTAATGTTCTGCGTAGGATTACGTTTCTCTACACTCTCGCTGAGGCTGGAGCATCTGAGGACAAGCGCGATCAGATTCCTAAGGAGCTCCAGAAATCCAAAACTCTCATCATGTGCCCCCCTACATTAATCGATAATTGGGTGGATGAGTTCAACAACTGGCTCCCATACGACGAAGGCCCCCCGTCAAAGTTGCGCGAAGAGTTCATTGGAAAGATTTACTGTATCACAACGGCGGTATCCCCACCCGAGAGATTGAAGTCTCTAGGGGAGTGGGATCGAGATGGCGGGGTCCTCCTCATAGGATACTCCATGTTTCGAGATTACATCTCTAAGAATAGTACTATCTGCGATATTCTACTCAAAGGTCCGAATATCATTGTCGCCGATGAGGCTCATTGTCTCAAGAACAAGAACTCTCAGCTCAACCAGGCTGCCAACTTGTTTACGTCCAAGAGCAGGATAGCGATGACGGGATCCCCGATTTCGAACCACCTGTCGGAGTATTATGCAATGATACAGTGGATCCACCCTGGCTACCTTGGGAAGGAATACGACTTCAAACATAAATTCATGGTTCCAATCATGGATGGGTTGTACTGCGACAGTACTCGCGGGGAGAAACGGCACAGTCTCAAACTGTTGCAGGTCTTGAAGTCGGATCTGGCTCCACTGATCAGCAGAGCCGACATCGACGTCATCATGTCGGAAATGCCACTAAAGACCGAGTTCATGCTGTCTCTTCCTCTAACTGAGCTGCAAACGAAGATGTATTCCCGATTCGTGGCTGATCGAAATTTGGTGTCGAGTTCGGCGGGTTTTTTCGACGTCATCCACCTGTTGTCGTTGATATGCAGCCACCCGATACTGTTCGTTAAGTGCTTAGAGGAACGGGAAAAACCCAAGTTGGAAGATGATATGGTGAAACTGAGGCTTAATAAAAAAGCACTTCCGCCGGCGGAGCAGCAGGAGGAGGATGATGACATGCCGGTTGACGACAAAATCGACGGTAAAATCGTAGCTGTCGGCGACCCCGGCAAAGTAATTGCTTGGGCGCGCCCGATGCTTGATGAGATGGTTGGTAGCAAAATCGACCACAGCTATAAGCTACTTGCTTTTCGGTAATTATATATCCCTTATCCCTTATCGTGAAACTTGACTCGCAGCGAATGTGGAGCCGTGTCTGGCGCCAGGAAGAGAGAACCTACCTGGGAGAGCTGTCTTTCTAGGACAGCCACGACGGTCGTACTCTCGGCGACAGGCTTCGACTTAGCGTTCGCTGCAGGTCTACGTTTACTACGAGCCCGGTCTCTCGGGTTGTGTGTGATAGTTCTGCTGGCTAACTGAACGGTAGTGAAATTCTGCTGTATTCGATCGCCCTTGGTGATAAAGTTCTTGTCTTTAGTCACTCAATCCCTACGCTGGATCTTCTCGAGTCGGTTGTCACTAATACCAAGGTGAACGGCAAGAACCTGAGCTGGTCCCGGCTGGATGGCAAGACTGCGATGGGCACTCGTCAGAAAGCGACGAAAGATTTCAATGCTGGTGGCTGCGACGTTTTCCTGATCTCAACACAGGCTGGAGGATTGGGCCTCAATCTCCCAGGCGCCAACAGAGTGATAATTTTCGACTACAAGTGGACACCGATGTGGGAACAACAAGCTGTTGGAAGGGCTTACCGTCTTGGCCAGAAGAGACATGTGTACGTTTATCGCTTCCGCGCCGGTGGAACCTTTGAGGACTCCCTTTGGAATACGTCACAGTACAAGGCGCAGCTCCAGAGCCGTGTCGTGGACATGAAGGCGCCAATGCGAGAAGCCTTTCGCAAAGGAAAGGAGCATTTCCGCCCTCCGGCTGAAGTTTTGAAGCAGGATCTACGAGAGTTTGAGGGAAAGGATCTGGTGCTCGATCGTATGATCAAGGAGGAGGGGTACGTGTATGACATTGCATATACCGAGACTTTCCGGCCGGACAACGACGATACTCTCACCCCCGAAGAGCTCCAGGAGGCCGACGCCATCCTCAAGAGTGAGCAGGAGGCGCGTGAGCAGGAGGCGCGCAACTCGCTATTGCAGCAGAGTGTCGCCCCACCGCCGACGTTGCCCATGTTCGGAAACCAGATGTCTATGGCCAATCCATTCCCCGCGACACCCGCTCCCGTGGCTCGAATGGCAGTGCCGACTGTGCCGACTTCTGCTCCCGTCGCTCGAATGCGCACGCCAGTGTCTAGTCGAATGCCAATGCCAGCATCGCTGGCGTCAGGCCGCCTAAACCGCCCAGGCCTGAATGGCTCGAATGCCCCGAATGCCCCGAATGGCTCGAATGGACCGAATCCGACACACCCTCCAGGTTTCAATAGATTTGGCTTGCAGTTTAGGCCGGGTTCGCTTCCAGGTGTTTTTAGGGGTCCGAGATGATTTCAGTCGTCCGGTCATGGTTGTAGTCAGCTGGCGTGAGTACTCTGGTGTTCATCTGGAGAGGGGATAAGTGGACATTACTTTCATTTCCTTTCATTTCCTTTGTATCTTGATAGGCTTCTTACTACATTGATGGGCGTACTGGCTTCTTTCTTCTTTCTTCCTCTCTCGGCCTGTTTCCTTTTTTTTACGGCTTTCTTTGCTTTTGTAATCGCGGGCATCTTTCGTTACTTTTGTATCCTTATTGCGGACATCTTTCGTGTGCACGGTGTTTAGGAGGGAGTTCTTTCCTTATATTGGCTTGGTGTTTATTTCTAGGGTTCGTGTAATATTGGTATGGCGTTTGCGGCGCGCTGGTGGTTCGTTATTGTATGGTGGGGCTTATTTGATACTCTGTGTTTGTTGGTTGTGGGAGGAAGGAGATCTGTCGGTATTAAGTTTTCGATGGGCTTTAGCGTTGGGCTCGGGGTGATGATTCTGGTTGATGGAATATATTTGGGCTGTAGTCGGTGAATGCGCACATTGTAGTTCTCCTCATACTTCTTCTAGTCATGTCTCTGCGACGAAGTGCTTTAAACTCTCTGTATTCCGGGGGTGTCTGGTGGATGCCGTAGGCTTCAGGGAGACCCAGCCATCGTCCAGACGTTAGGAATGCTACGACCTTGCGGGTTCCGAGTCCAGACCACCACCAAGGTTCCTTCCAAAGCCCGAACCCACGCGTCCACCCCTGCATCCAAGTGCTTAACCCAACGTCACCTCATCTTCAGTTCCTCCAAAATGGCCACAACGACGAGCACCTCCTCACCGTCGACACCACCGGGCCCGCCCCTCTTCATCTGCATCGAATGTTCCTTCCCAGTCGACTCACTATTCACCGCGTACTCGGGCGCAGACGACCGCTCGCTCGGGCGCGGCGTGCGGCTCACGCAATGCCCACGGTGCAAGCGCTTCGCGGATAAATACGTCGAGCACGATTTCGTCGTGCTGTTCATCGACATGGTCTTGATCAAGCCGCAGGTGTACCGCCACCTGCTGTTCAACCACCTCGCGGGCGGCCGCAAGGACGACGTCCTCGACGGCAGCATCAAGCGTCTCGGCGTCCTGCTGCTGCTGTTCGATGTATATCTCACCTGGGCGAGAATCGAGAAGAGCATTCCTGCGGAAACCCCTAGGCTGCTCGGCATGCCCATCGTTGTCCAGTACCTATTCTTCCGTGCGCCGCACCCCCCCCCCCCCCATGCCGGACCCGTACTAACGCGCGCGCGTGAGACAGTCGCCCTCTGCTTCACCGAGTCGATCCTGTTCCACCTCACGATCCGGCTGCTATCATTCTACCTCTTGCGGTTCCCGCGGCCGAACGCGGTTTCGACCGCGCTGCTCGTATCCTCATGCACAAAGCTGTTCCCGATCCTGATGGTGATCTGGAAGTACGACGTGCCGGCGGCGGCGCGCAGCGTCGGCTGGGCCGTCGTCGTGAATAATGTCGAGGCCCTCAGGATCCTGCTCGATACCGATTATGTTAGGGCGGCCGCGCTGGCGGGCGCTGGTGCTGTGGTTAGAGCGGTCGCGAGTCAGGGGATACTGAGGGCGGCGGGGCTGGTTACTTGGGAGGCGGGCGTCGAGGGCGGGTGGAGGGAGTGGGCAGGGATGTTGGGGCTGGGGAAGTAGTCGCCTACTTGTCTGCTACGGGGGTCATGATCGCGGTTTATAGATGGTAACGAGGCTACGAGACGTAATGGAAGAAACGACACGAAGGCCAAGGGGGCTGGATTTAGAGTACATGCTGAATGGAGGGCCGCAGACTCGCAGTCAACACAGCGAATGATAACATGCGGTATCACTCGTCGCACGTCTGTTCGCCATGTTCTTCTTTTCCTACTCCACTCCGCTTCGTACGGCCATTCCAGCTCGCGAGTACAAGGTATCTAGCAACACACCCCGGCCCACAGCATCAAGCTTAAAGCTTAAAGCTCCATAGTTTCGATTTTCGCAAACCTAGATACATCCATTCCTCCACATTGCCAGTGGCCACCATCCGCGCTATGCACCGCGTACTCCTTCTCTTGCTTCACCCTAGACACCCTCTCGAGTCTCACTCCCTCACCTCTTCACCTCCTTAGCCCCTCCCCCTTACCTTTCTTTCCCCGTAATAGGTATAATTACATACATCTTAAATACATACAAAGCAAAAAACTCAAACTCAAATTCAAAAAAAAAAAAAACTCCCCGCCGCAATGCCCCTCCCAAAAGACAAAAATAAGATCAAACCCCAAAAAATAAATCCCTTCACCCCACCACCGACTGTAGCGAAAAAAACCCCGACACACACGCCCAGGATATATGTAAAGGACTATGTACAAATAAAAGAAAGAAGAAATGCTCCCATCCCTTAACTACATGCATCTCCACCCCATTCACCAAAGAAAATATGGTAGAATTGAAGGTTATGTAAGAAGTATGTACGTACTCCTGCCCCGACGCCTCCTCCTCGTCCTGCCCCTCCTCCTGTCACTCGTCCCCAGTCCCCTTCCCCAGTCCCCAGTCCCCACCCAGTCGTCCATGGAAATGATTTTACGGCGTACTGCAGCGCGCAATGTACAAACAGTCCAGTCCAGTCCAGTCCAGTCCAGTCCAGTCCAGTCCAATGCAGTCCACTACTCGCCCATCGCCCATCCCCTTCGCCCCATCATCCTCCCATAGTAGCCCATATCATTAAAACAAAAAACAAGCAAAAGAAAAAAAGAAAAAAGAGAGAAAGAGAAAGCAAAAAACCAAAACATAACATAACGGAGAACGTAATTTTTATTCCCCCGAAAATGGAAAAAAGCAAATCAAATCCGGCCCCAGCTCGCCCCAACTCCGACTCCATTGCAACAAAAAAAAACAAAAGAAAAAGAAGAAGGATGGATGGATGCAAAAGAATAATACTAAAGAAAAAAAGAAAATGAAATCCCCATCTTTGTTCCGTATCCACTCTGTCGAGGGTATTAATTTCCTCCCCGACACACGCAACAAGCAAGCACACAGACACAAAGCCATTTAGACGGCCCCAGCCCCGGCCCCGGTATCCAGGGACTTACGGCGCTTGGACATGTCCCTTCCCTCGACCTCCTCCTCGTGGCTCCTCTTCCTCGTCGGCGAAGTGGAGGCGGAAGCGGAAGCGGCAGACACTGGAACAACGAGGGTGGTTGGCGCGGCCTCCTTCTGGGGGGTCAGGGACTTGCGACGCTTGGTATTGTCCTCGGTCGAGATGCCGGCCGGCTCGTCACGCTTCCTCTTCGAACCGTCACCCTGCTGGAGCTGCTGCTGGCGGGCGGCCTTGCGACGCTCGATAAGCTTGCGGACGTACTCGTCGACGAACAGCTTGACTTTGGCGACCTTGGCCTCGTCGCACACGTTGAGAGGATCCACCACGTGCTTGTGGTACCGGATTTCCTTGTCGACCAGCAGCTCTACGATCTCCTTAGCGTACTTCTTGACGTTCTCCTTCGCGGACTTGGGGTTGCTCCCAAGGTCCTTGTTGAACTTGTTGACCATGTTGGGCACATGCTTCCCAAACTGCTACAAGTTAGATCCATACATCAAGAGGGGTGGGTGAGTGAGGGTTGCATACCGCGATAGCCAAGTACTTCCGTGTCTTCTCCGCGTCGTAGGTCTGTTTGGCTTCTTTCTCCTTCCGCTTCGCTCGGCGTTCCTGTCGCTGCTTCTCCTTCTCCTCCTCCTCTTCCCTCTTCCTCTTGGCCTCCGCAAACGCCGCAGCCTCCAGGATCAAGGCCTGGATGTCGTTCTGCTGGATTTTGACGAACTGTCTAGCCGGAGGGGGGGGAATGGTCGTCGGCACAGGGTGTCCGGCAATGGCCGGATCCCTGGGCATCTCCCAGGTGACCCGACCATCGTTGGCGTAGTAGTAACATTCGCCATACTTGTATCCCTTGTGCCAACCCCAAGGAAGATCGGACTGCAGTCGCATGCCGCCGGCAGGAGTTGGTATCGAATTCGCACCACTGAATGGTGGGCGCGGCGCAAACTTGCTGTTCCGGTTATTGTGACCCCGGTTGCCCCCGAACCCACGGTCGGCACGTGGACCACTCGGCGGTTGCCTGGTGAAGTTCGGATTTGGCTTGTTGAAGTGCTTGTTCTTCTGCAGCCATGGAGGGATGGGCTCCGTAGAGTTCTCCGGCGATCGCTTGGGGGACTCGGTGCCACTGGTCGACCTAGAGTCGCGTCCGCGGTCCAGGAAAACAGAGCTGTTCTGTTCCGGCTGCTCCCCAGCCAATCGGCGTGGTATCCGGTAGGACGTCTCCAACGCACTCCACATGGCAAGAAGCTCCTTCGCCTTGGTCTGGATTTCCTCGTTCGGGGAGGAAGCGAACTCTTCAACCAGCGGCTCGATACCTGCCGCGGAGATCTTGTTCCTTGTGAGCTTCGGGAAACTGATGAATATGTTGAGGATCGCCAGAACAATGACCTCGTCGTCTTTGTAGAGGGTGAGGAATTTTCCGATGATGGTGTATCCGTGGAACTGCAATACCCTTCCCAGAACAGCCTCGTCGTCGCATCTCTGGATTCTCGCAACAAGTTTGGACACTATCCACTTCTCCTTGGTGTTAGAGAGTGTGCTCATAACGGTAGCAACACTCTTGAAATCCAGATCTCGGCTACTAGCCTTCGCGAGATACTCTTCATCTTCGTCTTCCGATGACTTGCGGATGCGGCGGGACTTTTTAGTTGGCAATTCGTCGTCGTCGATACCGAGCGCCTCGATCAGGTTGCCGGACAATTTCGGTGCGCTGTTGGTTTGCGTTTTTCCTCCAATGTAACCAAGACAATTCGGCTCCCCGCAGTAACATGGCTGTTTCTCGGCTCCATATCTGTCAACGTTGTAATCGAACACCAGCTCCTCTCCAGCCTTAATATCGCGCCTCGCAAAGATTCCCATTCTGTACTTATTGCCGACCACCCACTTCTCCGTCTCACAATTGGGGTTGCACGAATGGTTGACGAATCTTGCAAGTCCACCCTTGATAGTCGCATCAATGAACTGGTCCTTCTCGAGAGACATGAAGTAAAAGTGCTTGATTCCCATGCCGGGGTACTTGGTGTTCCGCTGTCGAAATCGAGGCTCGTCGATGACCTCTCCAACGTATTCGTAGATGAATCGGCCTTTCGGGATGTCACTGTTGGCCCTGACTCCATATCCCTTTTTGTCCGTTTTGAAGATCGAAATGTCCGCATAATCGCGCCTCTGGAATCGCTGGTTCTGACATTCGGTGTGGCAGCCGCAGCCCTCATCGGTACACTCCATAAGAGTAAGCCGATTTATGCAGTCGGAATCCTCGTCGCAGGCGTGGTTGACCCCATCGACTGCGGAAAAAGTCAGTGTGCGGCCCATCAACATAACGTATTCACTCGAAACTTACCAAATCGTGACTCGCACTCGCAAAACATGGTCTCGGAATCATGACCTGAATCGCCGATCGTCTTACTCGAGTAGATGCACTGCTTGATGACTTCGAAGGTGGAGGTCGCATCTGCCGTCGCATCTGGAAAGTGGCCATATAGCGGAGGCTCGTATTTAACAACTGGGGCTGCTACAGCCTTAGACTTCTTTCCCGATTTTTGTTCCTTCGGTTCCATTTTGAGAGGGGGGGAGGGTTCGCGATCTGAAGAGAGTTCTGAAGCGCTGGGACTATTCTCGTTTTCTGCTGGGGGAGACATTGAAGTCTTTATGTCGTTGGGTGTGGAAGTGGTTGAGCCGCCAACTTTAGTCGTAGGAGAAGTACAACCCCCCTGATGTGAAGAAGGGTTAACTTTGGAACTGCTGTTCTTAGCGCTTTCGTTTCCGTTCGGTGGCGTCGCGCTGCAGACTGTCTGAGTGACTTCCACCTCTCCGTTCTCCGCTCCTTTCGACGACGCGCCCACAATCTGTAGTGGTGACTGCGAAGGTGTGGTGTGTGAGTTCGGTGTGCTGTTCACGCCCTCGTTGCTGCTGCCTCCGTCCTGAGCGCCAACAGCCAGCGCGTTCGATGATTCCGCCGGCATCTTAGCACCCGTCGGGCCGACCGTCACAGTAGTGGTAGTGGTAGTGACTGGCAATTCTTCACACTCCTTCTTCGAACTCGAACTCGACGAGTCCGCAGAATCTCGTCTACCTCCCTCTCTGCTACTCGGACTAGGCATTCTAACCACGACAACCTCGAGTCAGCATTCCGCAGCCCCTTCTACCTCTATATATCTCTTTCTCTTTCTCTCCCTCCCTCCTCTCCACCGCGAGACACACCGCGCGCGACGGGGGATCGCTCCAATGACCGAGTACGCACCTTGAAGATGTATGTGTTATTCCTTCCACTTCTGTCTGTTGACAACGTTCAAGCTCCTCTCCACCGTGGTGAAACTCGTCTCTTGTAATTTCGTGGTTCGAACGTGCAGAAGTGTGGGTCGTGCTGGCACTATTGGTAGAAGTCTAATTGTTGGGAGGAGGGTGGTGTGTAGCTTTGAAGAGGTAAAAAGTCGTGCGTTGAATGAGGGGTGGGTGTGTAGTGGCGGCGTGAGCGAGGAGGAGGAGGTTGAAGGCGGGAAGTGGTAGTGGTGTTGGTGCAGGTTGGTAGAAAGAACGAAGTTCCGAGCGGTGAAGGTCTCGGGGGTGTAGGGCCGGAGCGCACTCGCAAGGGGGGTGGCCTGGGGGTGCGAGGAAAGCTATCCGACAAGGCCAGACTGAAGAGCAGCTCACAGTGTGCTGGGTCGGCTTCTCGAAATTCGCTGGGCAGTCGGTCGATCCGTCTCATGTACTCTTCCGTGCGAGCGTGAATCAGCGTGTGAGGGCGTGTGTGTGGTGTGTTCTCGGCGGTGATCCAGATCCCGAACGAACGACGGGGGAGAGCGCGTTGCAGAGCAAGGCGGAGATGGCGGCTAAGGGGATTCTCCGCCAAGAAACAGGACTTGCCATTGTGCATGCGCTGCTTCTGATTGGATCTCTTGACGACAACCACAAACCCCCACCTGCTTCCCGCTCGTTCGGCAACGTCAACCCCCCTCCAGTCTCATCGATCGAGACGTATCCCCGCAGAGTTGATCGCTGATTCGGAACAAGGTGTTGGTTGATTTGTGATGCGACTGGGCCCCGCGTACAGTATACATGGTGAGCGAGCGTCGAGTATGTACAATACCTAGTAAACCATGGAGATCAGCCAGCGGATGCGAACAGCGATTCGATTATCTGTCCCAGAGTCTGCAGCGGTTCAAAGACCTCCAAGCGGAATTTAGTCCTTCCGGTGAATAACTTGAGGTGTCTCGACTGCATGTAAAGCTTCCTTACTGGTCCCCTCCTCGATGCACGCATGTGCGTCGTCGGAGAAGGGAAGACACAGCACGAGTTAAAAGAGCAGCTTGGGTTCCTGCACTACGACCATACACCACCACCACCACCACCACCACCACCACCACCACCACATCACTTCCCGCTCCGTGCACACCCTCAACTCCCAGTGCCCGCCGATCCGAGTCCAGGGTTAATCACAATCCAATCTCTGTACGACCGCACATCTCCACAGTAGGAATGTAGGGACATATATCGCCAGGCACATGAAGCTATGGCTCACGCAGACCCCCCTCTCCCCCCGTCGGCGGTTACGCGGTTAAGCGGTTATCTGCTTGGGCGTAACCAAGTAGCTATCGAGATAACGCAAAAGGGCGTCCAGATCTGTAGCGACGACGCATTACCCGTATCATAGTAATATCTCCACCGCTCCGCGGCCAGCCCCCCTAGCTTCGAATCGATCGATCTCGGCTGCAGGTACATACCCAAGACCCCACATGTCTACCCACATGCTCCGCCCATGGGAGGGGGAGGGGGGATGAGGGGATGGGGGGCATGTCCCTCTCGGCGCTTGTGCGCGCCGATTGGCTTTCCACAGGCCTCCCTCCCCTCCCCCCCGGGGTGTCATAGGCTTGGTGCTGAGGCTCTGCGCCCAATAGGACTGTGTCACAACATCTCACTCGGGCAGAGAAACTGGGCCCACACTTGCATAAGTGGCGTCGTGGTCGCGGCAGCTATTCCATTCCAGCCCAGCCCAGTGGTGCCATAGCTAGCTAAGCGCAGGCGCCACCGATTTTGGCCGGCGGCGAAGAAGAAGAAGAAGAAGATGCGGAACTTTCTTCTGAAATCGGTGTGGGTAAGTGGAAATGGGTAGGTAGGTAGCCAGACTGCGGCAATATTCTGCTTTTCGTGATGCTGCTATATATCATCGCACGGCGTGCTAAGTGCGCAGACTCCGGGGGCGATGGGAGGCTCAGCGTCTCGGCGTCTGCCGCGATAGGTATGCCTTCAACCTGCGCCTACGGTGCTTGTTCCGGCCCTTGCTGTTATCGACCGAGACCATCCACTTCACAAGCACCAAGACGAAGCCGGGCAACGGGATCACCATCCCCAGCGCTCGCGCGCTCGCTCGTGAGTGAGACCCATAATCCGCACCGGTACCTGCATTGTACGTATCGTATCGGAAAACAGCATATGCAATGCAGCGCATGCAGAAGCGTGCGGCGGCCTGCTTCCGCGGATATTTATCTACATATCTATCTGGCGGATGCGATCGGGAAGCAGGCCGTTGTGCAGTGTGCATGAGAAGGGTTGCACGAACACGCTTATGGGGGGTGGGGTGCCGTTTTCTACATATCACACGGTACTTCGCAAAGCTGGGTAGGTGGGTATTCCGGTGATGAAAGGATGGAAGGAAGGGAAGTCTGAGCCATGAGCCATACATAACCTTCCGGTCTCCAAGTCCCCTGGCCCCTGATCTCTGATCCCGATTCATCGGGAGCGACGGGGAGACGGGGCAACGGGCCATGCCGAAGCACGACTACGAAGACCGCCGGCCGGTACCTTACCATCCGCAGCCACCGACCGGATACCATCTCGCGCAGACGATGCGTGATTTCCAGGCGAAATATGTTTCACCCACCTACCTACGATGTATGTAGTCCAGGGGATCTGCACGCTTTCCATGTGTTTATGTATGTATGAGGCATGTATGTATGTACGATGTATGCCTCTGTACCTGCGTCAACCACGCGAGCGAGCGCAGATCACTTTAGTAGGTAACCGAGGAACCAAGTACTTGCTTACTTGCCGCCATAGGATGTTGTATGTACGGTACTCGATATTTACATAGACGCGCTGGCGCATCGGGTGGGAGCTGGAGGCGGGTAAAGCGGAAAGCGGGGGAAAGCGGCCATGTTTCTGGATCCGGCATGCATCTATGATACATACGGCGCGGGGGAGGGGGGGATCTTGTTCGGAACTAGAGCGGTGTCGGCCGAGCTGCCCACAGTACAGACTGGTACAGACATGGGCCCCGTCGACGCCTGATTGTAGGTGTTCCGCAGCTCAATAATCGGTCCGGTGACCCAGCTGGGTACCGATGATGTATGTAGCTGTGCAACCCCTCGCCCCCCCTCCCTTCCCCTCCCCCCCGCCCGAGTGTTCCGTCCGCACTCACACGTTGCCGCAGGTCACAGACCGCATGCACCCTATCTACACCCTACATACATACAGCGCGTACATACGGTAGGTGATAGCAGCAGGTCCCTATGGTACCGAGATCTCGGCCCGCATCTGTGGGCCTGCTGCCCGCTGCCCGGCGCCCATGGTCCATGGGATGGACACTATATATACATCGGCACCGCCGGCGTACCGTATAGAGTAGAGTACTCAGTAGAGTATCTAGAGTAATCCTTGGTTTCGAGAATATTGCATGCATATACACTCCAGACTCCAGACTCCAGAGCCGTAACTACAGTAAGTAACTACCTGACGGACGGCGGCGCACTGTTCCGGGTTCCAAATAACCGGTAGAGTAGGCAAGTAGGAGGTATGTATGTGGCATGAAGGAAGAACATGTTGCAACTCCGAAGTCAGCCAGCCGGCCAGGTGCGGGCGTGTATCTGGTAGAGTGGGCTCGGTTGAGTAGATAAGTGTATGTGTATGTGAATGTAAGTGGGGGAGAGGATCCTTTCGGTATTCTTATTCGACTCCAATCGTATCGTGTGCCATTAATTCGTAGGTAGGTATCCGCGATCACTCGACTCCTCCCTCCCCGTCCCGGCCCCGCTCTTCTTCAAACTCAATCCATCATCCCCCTCTCGACAGACAGAGACACACGCAGACATGAAAAACATTAAGAGTAGAGTAATTGTATGAAAAGAAAACAGAAAAGGAAAAAAGAAAAGGAAAAAGAGAAAAAGGAAAAGGAAAAGGAAAAAAAACCCCGCCGTTTCATGGATCACCGTAAAACATAAAATTCATCGACAAGAAAAAACAAGCCCCCCTCTCCACCGTCCCTACTAATACACGCACCCTAGTTATATCCGGCCTTGCAAGTCCGCTTTTTTCGTCAGACAAAAGAAATCCAAGTCCACCGGCCCACCCCGTCCCAAGAACCCCCGAGGGGCTGCTCCTGAAAGTACTTCGAGTATCCCATCCATCAATCGCCCACTTGGTATCACATACCATCCGGCCTGACCCGCATTTCCATCCTTCCATCCTTCCTTCCTTCCTTCCTTCCTCCCTCCCTCCCGGCATCCATCCAACCATTTTCCTTCTCATTCTCTTACTCTTACTGTTCCTCTTCCTTTTCCTTTTCCTTTTCCTCTTCCTCCTCCCATTCCTCCTCCTCCAGCTTCACCCAAAAATCCACATCATACTACAACAGCTAAGAAACAAAAGTAGAGAGAGGAAAAAGAGGTAACCCAAAACCCAAGTAAAAGAAGTGAAGAAGAGGCCATTTATATATGTAAAAAGAAAAAGAAAAAAAATAGGAAGAAAAAAAAAGACTCTCGCGCCTTTAACCTCCAGATACGGTGAAGAAGAAGAAAGATCAAGAAAATGAAAAAGCAGACTGCCGACCCGATTCGCACAAAAAAAAGAGCCCCCCTTCCTGCCACGTTAAAAAAAAACCGCCCAGGAATAGAAATAGTAACAAGGAAAAAATGCTGAGCGAGCAATAATAATAATAGTAGGGCAAGTCGTGCGCAGTGCAGTACCGGGGACTGTCAGTACTGCAGTGCAAGCGCGGCGTAGGAAGGAAAAGAAGGAAAAGAAAAAAAATGAAAAGAAAAAGAGACGCGAAAAAAGAAAGCCCCTCCCCACCCCTCCCCCGAAATATTTTCCTCTTTTTCTAGTAATTCACAGACGCCTAATGAGAAGCACCACGTCTCCCTACCATTCGTCGTAGAAGTGGAATGCGAAGAGGAATGAAAAAAGGAAAAAAGAAAAAAAAGAAAAAAAGAAAAAGGTCGAATTATAGGAACGTTTCTGCCACGCGAGCTACTGCCATTGGGACCCGTATGCTAGACGAGTAAGTGACCCGGTTGGCCGGCGATCAATCCTCCGTATCCGGGGAATCGGCGCCGCCCTCTTCGCTATCATCATCCTCGATATCCAAGGCTTGTGCAGCGGCCAGCTCTGCTTCCAATTCGTTGCCGAGCCTGCGTGTCTGTCCTTCCTCCGTTTCGAGCTTCTGTCGTTCCTGTTCCTCGACATCCGCCGGGAGGTCTCCACCGTGTACTCTCTGAGCGGCCAAAATCTCCAGTCTCTCCCTCTCGCGCCTAGCCTCCATTTCCGCCTTCGTGGGTCGACCCCTCTTCTTCTTCAATGGCGGCAACTGGCTCAGCTGCTGCTGTATCGAGCCCTGTTGGGAACCGGCGGCACCTCCTACGGCAGCCGCGAGCAACGAAACTCCTCCGCGACCTTGGTCGGGCGTGTACATCTGTGGCTGCCATGTCGCAGTAGAGGTTCCACCCTGCGATTGCTCTCGTAGCGCGATATCTGCTTTGGACGGTCTGCCTCGTTTGCGCTTAGGGGCATTGGGATTCTGCGAGGGATTCGAGCGTTTACGGGTTGGGGCAGCTGTCGGTTGCGGTGGCGGCTGCTGCTGCACTGGAGGCGGCGGCGGCGGCGGGGGGGCCGAGACAGCTGTCGGGGAAGCTGCCGGTGAGTTATCCGGGGATGTGGTGAGGAGGGCGAAAATCTGTTGTGCCTGAAGACTCGTGCGCCCTGAACATAGGATGTTTGCGTCAGCGGGGGTGGGGACCGATTAGGCAGGGTGCTCCGAGTCTGTTTGGGGGGAGGTGAGCGGGAGGAGGAGGGAGGTAGCGCAGACCAGAAGGGACTCTGATGTTGCGCCAATTCGGCGCGACGACCTCGCAGTCCTTAAGGATTTCAACCAAGAGTTGGATCTGTTGTGTACACGAATAATTTTTGGTGCGCGTCAGCAATCAACGTTCCTTGCAACAACAACCACGACAACCACCACCACCACGGCCACCACCATGGTCACCAACGCCACGCCGAAGAAGGACACACAACGTCAGCGGCATGTCGGGCGACACGGGCAAACACCGTGTCTCCCTAGGCGCTGGTGGGCCGCCACTACCACCACCGGCGCCGCCGCCGCTGTAGTGCGCCGAACCGCGCCAAACGTCCTTCTGTCCTTTCTATCACTACGTACCTTTTCCGCATCCGTCCAAGGAGGTCCGCCTGCCATTGCGCCGGAGTGGTGGGGAAACGGTATGTATGGGTCGTGATTGACGCTCGTCCAATTGTTACTCAACGCGCCGTTTGCGTGACCGTTGACCAGAAGTTGTAGTGGGGGCGCGGGAGCAAGCGGTGATAAGTGTGAGCCGGGGACGGTCTGTGACGGTGGAGGTCTTGGGTGACGCGTGAATTGGTGTGCAGATGGTGGAGGAGGAGGAACAACGGCGGTGCGCAATTGCGACAGCATATATTATGTAGTCCGGGGAGAGAGGGAGGGAGGGAAGGGAGCGAATAGAATGAGGTACGGACTGGGGGGGGTGTGGGTGGGAGGAGGGGAGGGGAGGGGGGTGGTTGTGAGGCGTGGGCAGGAGGGGGGGGGGGGGGGGGGGGGGGGGGTGGTGTTAGTAGTGGTAGCGGTGGTGGTGGTGGTAGTAGTAGTGGGTAGTTTTTTTGGGTAGTGGATAGTTTGGGATGGGTTTTTTTTTTGTAGTTTTGGGGAGGGCTGGTGGCCGGGTTTGTGAGGAATGGGGGGGAGCAAGGCGGGACGAGCGCAACCTCACTTTCAACCAACCTGAGTGGAATGGGACTTGTTTGAAGTTGTCTGAGCTGAAGATGGATGGAGGGATGGAGGGCAAAGAGGAAATCAGCGCAATTGGGCTGGTGAAAAAGAAAGGAGGGTTGGAATAATAATATTTGCTTTGCTTTTGAGATGATGCTGCTGAAAGGGAAGTGAACAACAGGGCTTGCGGAGGGCCGGGGTGCAATGGGGTTTGTGTGTGATAGCGGTGAGAAAAAGGTAGAGTGAGAAGAAGGGTGGGTTGTTGGATTTGGAATCGATTTAGGATTTTATTTTGTGAGGGGGGGAGGGAGGGAGGGTAGAGGTGGAGGTGATTGTTGAATTCTCTTTCCGTAAGTTTTAGCGTGATTGATGTTTTTTTTTTTTGCTTTCTTTCTTTCTTTCTTTTTCTTTCTTTCTTTGATCCAGCAGAACGGACTAAATAGGATTGGCTCGAGGGGAAGAAACGAAGAGAGATGGGCACATGGACGGGGGAAGAGGAAAGTGCAAGAGGCGGGTACTTGGTACAAAGTTATAGCGGGAATTCGCTTTACAGTCAAATACTCCAACCTTAGCGGGGGAGGGGGACGATGAGCCGTAGCGAGGAGATTTCCGAGGTGATGGTTTGCAGCCGTTCCGAATCTTTGAATGGTTAGAACAGCTGATTCGGATTGAATAGAATTGAATTGAATTGGGTGAGTGAGGGAGCGAATACACTTCCGAATAGATAACTCAGCACAGCAGTTTTTGCGGCATCTGCGCAGAACTGGAGATACTCTAGCAGCCGCAGTATGCAGTGCCGTAGCAAGCGGTAGCAGTCGCAGCAGCAGTCGCAGCAGCAGCAGCAGTATCACGCAGTCAATCGCCGCTACCAAGGCACTGGGAATACGTGATGAGGGAAGTGCGCAAAGTCAACGTTGAAGGAGGAAGGAGCTAGGGATCAGATGGATGGATGGATGGATGGAGGATAGCTGATGGGGGTTGAGTCGGTAATGAACGAGCGGAAGAGGGGAGGGGGAGTGGGACGGGGAGGGGGGAAACCCAACAATTCCGATCAAGCCAAACAAGGCGCGAGAAAGCGGAAGGGCTAGTTGGAGCGTGGGCGTGAAGTTGGTCGGCTGGAGCTCGAACAAGACGAGGCGTACGATGGAAGCGGTGGACCTCGGCGGGACGAGGGATAATTCGAAAAAAGAAACCACCGGAATGGCCAGACATCGAGAAAATCCCATGCGGAACACGCTTAGGAACTCGACGTCGAGCTTTTCGATCGAATAGAAGGCGTCTTCAACCGCTGTCCGTAGCATGAAGCCCAAACAACGAGCGACAACTTGAAGCCGTACAAACAATCCACGGGCATCCACCAACTAATACGGATGAGAGTATCAGAGTCAGAATGCTTGCGGGAGGTACGGCACTGCTCACCACAAGCACTCGGACATGGCATCCAAGCATACGGGCATACGAGCATACCATACGGTAACTACGGGCATACAAAACATACAAGCATCCAAGCACACACGCACCAAGCATCCAGCCAGCCAGTCATCCAACCAGCCAGCAGCACCAGCGCCAGGCACCGATGCTTGATCTCTCGAGATAGGTAGGTCAGGCTTACTACCGGTACGTACTGGCAAGGCAGGTACCGTGCCGGCCGCGGCCACGGCCCCTTCGATGATCCATCGAGTTCGAACGTACATACGTGTGGCCAGCCACTCTAAGGACAACAACTCACATATACCCAGGCACGTTGACCGTGTGGGCACTCATCGTCTTTAGCATCCTCCACGCTCTGCCCACTCTATCTCTCTGACGCTCATCGTTAGCATCCTTCACGCTCCATGTACTCTATCTCTCTGACGCTCATCTCCGCACCCCAGAGCATCCGCAATCCCCCCCCATCCTGCCCCCATCCATTCATCTATCTCTCTCCCCCCTCGCCGAGCCCGGAGCCCGAGGGACTCTTCTACCTGACGTTGCATTGTAGCACACAACCGATGATGCCTGCGCGGACACACAGGACATGTATGTACGAGTAGTGTACAGCTCACAGCTTAGTGCGATGATGATGTCGTCAAGGCCGCATGCGAGAGGAAGATAGGCAGTGCGAGAGCGCGAGTGAGCGGGTGAGTGAGCGAGAGAGCGCGAGTCAGTCCAGGCAGCAAAGGGACAGGCGTGACTACCACCGATGCTCGAGCTCGTATCACAGCGAGAGCGAAAAATGCGCGAAAATAAAATAAATCAGTAATGGGACGAACCAACCCGAAAACGGGATCCCTGTTGGAGCCAGTTGTCACTGCAAAAGTCACCACACCACCTTTTTCGATTCCTGCATCCCCCAACCCGGCACAAAAGAAGGACAGCGAGCGAGAGAGGAAAAAAAATTCGGAAAAAAAAATCAGAAAGAGAAAGAAAAAAAAAGAGCGATGGACGCTGGTACTGGTGATGCCGGCGATGGTGATGCTGGTTAGTTGTGCTGGTGATGAAGCCATGGAGGGGTGAGGCCGAGGGCAACGTAGGAGAATGGCTGCCACACACACACCACACACGTCGACGACGTCTACCCTCCACCTCCACCACCAGCCATCGATTCGGGATCCGGAGCTGTATCGTTACATCTCATATACGCAGCAGCATACGTACAGCAAAATTCTGCGTTGTCCACTCGCTCGCTTAACCCGCTTTCTCGATTCTTCATCCGCCCCATCATCCCCATCTCATGTCTCGCTGACTAGCCTTTAACGGTTGCACGGTCGCACGGTCGCTGGTCCGCTGGCCGCTGGTCGCTGGCTGTAGTTGGGTGGTGGTGGAGTTAGTGGTGGTGGAGTGGTGGAGGTGCTGATGGTGGTGGTGGAGGTGGTGGCAGTGGTCGTGGTCGCGGTGGGTCGTGGTCGTGGTCGCGTTGTGGTGGGGAATTCCAGCAAAACGTTGCGTTTCCACTCTAGCGAGCGACGCAACGCCATCGTTTCCCGATTCGACTAAGCGTTCCTGGTACCTGGAATGTCTGGAGTGAGAGCAGGTGCTTCCTTTCTTGCTTTCCGATCCATCGACCGGCCTGCCGTATGCGTAGCGTACTCTACAACACCTTCTTCATCATCGTCATCCTCTTCTTCTTCTCATTCTCCTTCTTCTTCCTCTTCCTCTTCTTGCTCCTCCTCGTCTCGAGCTCGTCACGAGCCTCGCTTGTGTTGTACTAGTTATACGCTCCACGCATACGCATCCGATCCCACTCCCCCGCCTCGAGCTCTCGCGTGGGAGGAGACGAAGGAGGGACTCGACCACGAGCTAAGATACGGGATGTTCGGCGATGCTGAGGCTGACATCACGGTGTTGACGGATCATGATCGCATCGATGTCGCACTGCGGCTGCGAGTGGTAGCGGACTTGCTTTACAATTGGGGCAGTTCGAGTCCTCTGCTGCCACGGCCAATGCCTGCTTGCTTCTTGCTTGTACTGCACGACACGGCAGGGTCGACAAGGAGAGTACTATAGGTACCATGTGAGTAGTAGTGCACCTACATACTCGGCCTTTCCTCTGCTCTACTCCACTCTACTCTAGCACATGGAGCATCACCTACCTACTCTACAGCGCAATGATTCGCGCAATGCATGTTAGGCGCGTTGTGACTTGCTTCCGGCTACTACGCTACCGCTACTCGTGACCCCGTGTTCTGCGTGTTCTGCGGGCGTGCTGTGCATGCAGCGTGTTGAGCGCGCAGCACTCGACTTGTCCGGCGCGTATCGGACTCCAGAGCACGGACTTCTCGAAAAACTCTCGAATTTCGACCGATAGCGGAAATAACGTGGCGATGGGGGGGGGGGGGGGGCTGTCATATCATATCGAACCGCTTCGAATCCAACTTCACATGAAGCCAACCGGCCACCACTCCACACAACCTCTTGATGCAGTAACGACACTACGGGCAATACGGAAATGAAGGCGAAATGATGAAGAAACCCCACGTAGGTACTGGTACCACCTACCCAAGTACCCACTTGCCTACCAAGTACCCATTCACCTACTCACTTCACCTGCTCATTCACCTAGAGTACTCACTTATCGTACTTACCCGTCAGGCAGATACTCTAGATAAATCGGAAAGGAAAAGAAAGAAAGAGAATGAGAAAGAAAAGAAAGAAAGAAAGAAAGAAAGAAAGAAAGAAAGAAAGAAAGAAAGAAAGAAAGAAAGAAAAAAGAGCAATTAAGCATGTACGCACTTACTTACTTTAAAACTCCTTAAATTGTTCCCTGAGCAGAAGTAGACTGACCTTCCTCCCTAACCATCCTCCGGTCAAATTTCCAATTTCCTATCGTTCCCGACAGCTTGGTTCACCACTTCCGTCTTCACACTCGTACATGCAGCAATATCAGATCCGCGCTCTCGCAATCCCCCCTCCCCCTCCCCCACCCGGTGGGCCCCTACCCACATCGAAACCCCTCCTTCCACCACCACCACCACCACCACCATCCTACACCAAACCTCCCCCCTTCCTCCCCCTTCCTCCCCCCTTCCTCCCCCTTCCTCCCCCCTTCCTCCCCCTTCCTCCCCCCTTCCTCCCCCCAACTCTGAAGCAAGCAAAGCAATTGTAAAACACAACCCATACGTTGGCTGGAATATATGTCCAATCTAGAGGAAGCGGGAATGGAAGGGGAGGGGGAGAGGTGCATCCGTCACCCACAGCTCGGATTCAGCAACCCACGGATTCCGGATTCTGATATATACTCTACATCGGTGGTTGACCTTGCTCGCTCGCTCGCTCGCTGAGACCCGTCCGTCCGCAGTGTATGTACGCAGTGTACGTACGCGTGTGGAGTCCCGCCCCGTCCCTTGCAGGATGGGATGGGGATCGTAGCGCTCACGCAGCTGAGCATATATCCAACATCCCGATTGACCGCTGTACTGTACTGTACTGTACGGTATGTATGATTTGTATGTATGTACGCGCCACGAGACCAGACCCGCAATCACCCTTCTCCCTTCTCCCCAAAGAGGAGAGAGAAAGCCCTTAGGGATGGATGGGGGAGAGGAGCAAGGTACTTTAATGAAAGTATATTTTTTTCCTCAATGTTACATTCCGACTATATCTTCATTTTGGAAATTCCGTGTTTACCGCCGCGGGGTTGGAACTTGGAACTTGGAGGGGGAGAGGACGACGGTCAATGGACGACGGTCGACGCGAAAAGGAAGCTCATCCACTCAACTCTTCGGGATGCGAGGAAAAGAAAATACCTACTGACAAGTTGCTAACTTGCTAACTTGCTAACCACCTGCCGCCACCAACCAACCATAACCACCGCTATCTGGTATCTATGATACCTTCACCACCTCCACCACCATCATCACCACTACCACCACTACCACCCCGTCATCATCATTAGTTATCACCACCATCACCACCATCATCATCTGCATCATCGTCATTAATATCACCATCACCATCATCACCAACATCATCACCAACAGCAACAACAGCAACAACAGTAGCAACAACAACAGCAACAGCAGTACCAAACACAACTGCCGCTCATCCAAACATCGTGCAACCGTGATATGAATTTTAATGAAAAATCGGCCAACCACGTCCTCCAAGAGGCAGCTACGTTGCTGACGGAGGAGGCAACAACCTTGAAATCTTAGAACGTCGAAATTTTACCCGTAATTACTCGAACAAAAATGGGCGGAGGAGGGGGTCACTTGCAATTGTTCTTTTTGACCATGGGCCCGGGCGCTTGCGCTCGCTCGACGCCCACATCGTGCACCCCTCATCTTTTTCCCTTCCTTCCCATATTTCTACATACAAGGAGAAACAAATCATGTTTTTATTTTGCTTTTGCCCGTGAGCGGGGTATTCTAACCTAGACGATGCTCGAATCGAACCTTACGAGGGACCCGATATCCGTCCGTACTCTATGTACTGATGTACCCTGCGTGTTAGGTTGGTCACTCGGCCACGCGTTTTCCACCATGTCACCTTTTCGCTTGCTTCCTTCCTTCCTTCCTTCCTTCCTTCCTTCCTTCCTTCCTTCCTTCCTTCCTTCCTTCCTTCCTTCTATACATCCTTCCTTCTTCCTCCCTTCCTTCCTTCCTCCCCGTCTTCATCCGCCTCCAGGCTCCTTCCCGCTCCTCGCTCGCTCGCTCACCCTACTCCACTACCTACTCTAGTCTTACCAAGTACTCATCACTCTATGCTACTCGCCCCCGGCAGCCGGGGACCATGTAGGTATAGTAGGTATCAACAGACCAGACCACAGACCAGACCACATGGCTTTTCGTCTCCAGAGCTTCCAGTGGTCTGGATAAATTCCCGATCTTATCTAGACTCTGGACTCTGGAGCGCAGTCGGCGCGCACACCAGCCCCACCAGCCCACACCCCTCCCCCTCACCCCATCGGCAAGCTACCCATTGGCAAGCTACCCATTTGCACTGGCACTGCGGCGGTATATGTGGGTATGTATGTACGGAGGAGCCGCCAACGAAGCGAAGGTCGGGCAAGGTGGTAGGCGGTGGTGGGTAGCTTTCGTACGTATGAGGTATGTATCGACGTCTGTCGTGAACGATGGTGATGATATATACTACACTAGTACTGGTAATTGAGAGTGAGGAAGAAACAAAGAAGAATATGTCTGCTGGTTGACGGGGACGGGCAGAGGAAGGGGATGGAGACTGGAGTTCCAGCTCAGCTCAGCTCTGAACTTCGATGAATCACACACACACACACACCACATCAACAGGTACAATCGGTGTTGCCAATCAATCAATCAATCAGTCAATCAATCCAATCCAATCCAATCGATGCGAGCAGTATGTACAATACAGTAGGCACAGTAGGCACAGTAGGCACAGTAGGCACAGTAGGCACAGTAGGTACAGTACAGATGTCTTGCGGTTCGTCCCGGGGTGGGTGTGGGAGGGCCGGGGAGGGGAAGTGGGTTCCGGAGGGGAAGTGGGTTCCGGAGGGGAAAGAAATAAGAGGAAAGGAAAAGAAAGGACTTTCTCCTACATACGGGACCACATCTCTCTCTATCTCTCTAGGCTCTATCTACCTCACATTCGTTGCCTACCATCCGTAAGTGAGAGCCAAGCAAAAGAAGAAGAAGAAGAAGGCATCTTCTATCATAGGTACTTCATAGAGGATTTCGAAAAGAAAAGGGAAAGGAAAAGAAACGAGGGCGCTGCCTACCTGCACACTGCTTGCTGCTTTACTTGCTGCGAGATGCATTCACCATACATACCGCCGCAGCAGCAGCATGGCATGTAGAGTACAAGGGCCCGCGACGGAACCTATGTGCTGTTCTTTTTTTTCTCTTCTATGTACGGTAGGGTGCAGCACGACTCGACTCGCCTGTGGGTTTTCACTCATATGATCAGAGTCTCCTGCGGGTAGGTGTATTAGAGTAGTACTCGCCAGCCAATCGAGGGCCGGAATTGCTGTTCTTCGGGCTGGCTGGGGATTGGGGGCTGGGGTGCGGCGGTGTGGTGGGCTGGGATGGGTGGGGTGCGGCGGTGGAGAGGTGTGGATGGTGTGGATGGTGGCTGGGTGAGAAGGGAAGGGGACCGCCGAAGGATGGATGGGAGGAGACTGCGTGCCTGCCTGCCTGCTTGCTTGCTTGCTTGCTTGCTTGCTTGCCCTGTATGTACTGCACCTGGCTGGCATTCTTTACGTACCTGTCGTCGTCAGTCGTCAGTCGAGATGCGTGGTGAAGTGGTGAAGTGGTGAAGTGGGAGTGCGTGCGTTGCCGCCGCACTCCCGGCGAGCCCCGATATCGGGGGTCGAGGGTGCGTGGTGGGTGCGTGAGGTGTGGCTTGCTGTAGGCAGGCCGGAGGAAGGCCCGGGTTTAAAACGTTGTAGTGTTGTAGTGTTGTAGTACAGACGGTAGGTACTGGGTAGGTTGGTAGGTAGAAGTGGGTACGTGTTCGGATCGATCCTGACGAGTGAAGGAAGCTTCTGCAGACATACGGTACGTACTTCTTAAATACCGACATATCATAGCTTGCTTGCTTGGGGTGAATGGAGGTCGTCAGAGCTCACTTACTCACCCACTCACTAAACACTAAACCGAATAAGACGACGAAGGCGTTCCTTATGTACACCCCCACCCCCAGAGCCAGCTCTGCTCTGAAGAATCTCTGAAGAATCCGAACCCCCGTGTCCATCCCCCCACCCCCTGCTTGGCATTCCGATTCCGCACTGTGTGCTTTGGGGTGTGCTTCGGATGTCCCCACCGGCCAGCAGTGGATACATCATAGGTACCGGTATCGATGTGTGCAGGGTATGTATCCGCACCGCAGCGGCAGCGGCAGTGACCAGTAAGTTGGTTAGCTTTTCTCCTACGTGTTTCGATTGCAGATAAGAGCTCGAACCTTGGAAGTTGGTGCTTAAGTGGGAAGTAGGATGCACAGGAGAGGACAGGACAGATCAAGTGGGATCGAGGCGAAGGGATGGGATGGGATGGGATGCGAAGGGAAGTCACGGAAGAGCACTCGCGTTTCCGGATCGGGTGTTTAAAGTCCTCCATTAACTGGTGTTGACGTCGTGGGTTCGGATAGTCGGTGGAC